GGAGGAAGGACTTGATGTGAATGTTCCAACTATAGTAGTTCTGTGATGTGAGCTTGGGCACTGGCTTGAGTAGCTTCACCAGGGTGTGGAAGTTATATTGCTTGCCACTGCTGTCTTGGTTGGAATTGGAACCAGTTTCCTCATCATCATCTATCACTTCAACTTCTGTCTTGTTGGTGACTTCATTAGCGGTGGCTTGCAGCTGGGAAACTTTACCCTTCTTGCCTCCTTTAGTTCTACTTGCACCAGCCTGTGTCTCAGTGTTGTCTACCATAATGGTAAGGGGGGTCCCGGCTGGCTCGATTGGTAGAGCTTCAGACTCTTAATCAGTTGAAGATATACAAGTCCTGTACACTAAGTTGGGCTACTGACAAGCTCCTAACATGAGTGTATAGTTTTCATGTAAAAGTCTTGAAATTTAAACTGTATGCTACTATGTATATGGTTACATATATATACCTGATGATCACCTCCAAAGTTCATCAATCCACGATGAGTCACCTCTTATTGTTGCCCCTGAGTTGTGATTTCCTGTGTGTCACTATGACAACATATGTGCATCCCACACATGTTGCCACTTATGCATGGCTCCTCTTAATCGAGAACTAGCTCGTGTTCCATGGACTCCATATTATTCTGTGAACCCCATTGGGATGCCGACGCATCTTTAACTGATATCGAGACAATAGCTGTCGCACAGTTTGATAGTCACCGAGTATCTCGACAGACCGACCTGGGTTTCAGGCGCGAGACCCCTGACAATTGGGTCGGTGTAGGAAGATCCGAGATGAAGATGAAGATGTGGTGCACCCAGAAAAAGGTGCATGAAATGTAACATCAACCATAAGATCGGTTTCTGGTTGATTTCAGGGAAACCAACCACAATGGGGGTTTCTGATCAGTTTTGCTGAAATCAAGCAGAACATGCTCATTGGGTTTATTTCACCAAAGCACATTGCACAAAGCCCCATTGGTACAGAATGGACCAACAGGACACAAGGAGGCAACAGGAGACTTGGTAGGGAAGGCCTCCATTGTCAAAGGTAGGATAGGGCACAAGGAAGGGCCCCACATGCTAAAGGGGGTCCGAGTTTAGCCAAGAAGAGGACCAAGCTCAGGAGCAAGCAGCAGGTTACTGTAAGCGGTCTCACGCCTGAAACCAGGTTGGGGGTTTCTGATTGACTTTGGTGAGATCAATTGAGTAAGATCTACTCAGTATGTTTCAACTAAATGTAACCAGGCAGCTTCATACTGGTAGGTCTCAGCTGACCACCTTGAACACTCCATTCAGAGGTTGCACAGCACATCCATTATTCTCTGGAGGGAGAGTAATACACTCTCCTTTACAGTACAAGTGTTCATAGTACTGTTGCTAATGCTCTCTAATGTTGTCTGGACTGCAATATGCTTATCACCTACAGAGGATGGGAGTTACTGGACCACAGGTGTTGGACACTGCCTACAATAACTGACTGGACCACAGATGTCAAGCAAACACTGCCTACAGTAAGGAACTGGACTGCAGGTGTTGAGGAACACTGCCTACAGTTGACACCTAACAGTGATAAAACACACATGTTTGAGGTGTCATTGCAAAGCACTGCTATTGCAATGATATGTAACTATGAGTCAAGTAAAGAGTATGTAAAGTATAGAGTAGAGTGGATGAGGATCCACTTGTATGCTATGGTAGAATGAGAGTATTTATGCATTCACTTGGTGTTGCCTGTGACACCTCTCCTGCTCCTCCTGAGAGGCCTTCACCTCTTCTTGACACACTCTCTCCTGCTGGTGTCAATCCCTTTGATGCTGCACCTCTACTGCTCACACAGTGTATAGGTTTGTGCAATACTGCCCCTTTGCCTCCATGCTCTTCTTTGCCTGGTGATGTGTGATGACCCCTTTGACACAGCCCCTCCTCCTCATAGACAATCCCCAGTCTACTTGACACAGCTCCTTCTTTCTTCACCAGCAACTACCTTCTCAACCTTATCTTGTGAATCCCTTAACCACCTGTTGAGCCCTGTTGCCAAGCCCCCTTGATCATGTGGTCGCCCCTGTGCTTGGTCCTATGTGGCTGTACACATGTACCCCTTGAGTGGTAACCATCTGCATGATGCTGAGCTCAGTCCCCACTCCTGCATGTGGTTATCTCCCATATGCTTCTCCTTCTAATGCCAGTATCTTCCTTCCTGAATCTCCTGATGCTTGCTCATGACAGCCAACTTGTTGAGACCTGCTGATCAGGCTGATTCTGATTGATCCTTGTGAGATTAACCAGGATCCCAGAGTTTGGTTGACCTCACAAATCATATGCACTACCAACCCAATTAGATTGTCAATTCCTGATGATTGCTGCAGATCAATTTGGCGCACACTTCATACACTGATCTGCCGACCCTGTGACAGTTACCACATAGGGGGACGTGCTCTTGATCACATAAGGGTCGGTCACAAGGTAGACCACATGGACAAGAATGAGACAATAAGGATGGTCACACAGTCAGAGAGGGCCATCAGATAGGGGCCAAGGAATGACCATGGATTGAGAGGAGAGGGAGTCAGACCAAGAGGGTTGGCATTGGTACCATGAGGAGGATGGGCAGTGTCAAGAAGAGTCAACACACAGCCCAAGGAAAGGAGGGGTATGAGGAGGATGGAAACACTCCTCCAGAGGAGTGGGAGCAGTGCCACAGGCAGCACCTCTAAAACACATAAATACTACTACTACTTCACCATAGCAAATGAGTGGATCCTCATCCACTCTACTCTTTACTTTACTTACTCTTACTTAGTTACATATCATTGCAATAGCAAGAAGCCTTTGCAAAGACATCTTGAACATGTGTGTTGTATCACCATGTCATGGGAGACAGCCAGCCGAAATGGAGTCTGTGCCATCAGCCGAAATGGAGTCTGTGCCATCTGTGCAGGCAAGGAGGCACACCAGCAGAGGACCAGTGGAAGAGCCTGGCTCAGTGGAACCCAGGGAGATCCGGTGAGCTATTGCAGCTCACTGGACATCATGGACTGCCAGTGGCAGAGATGTATGGGAGGGCTGTAGAGCAGTGCCACCTTATCATACACGTGGGGTGGCAATGTTGCTGATTGACATTGATTGGACATGTGATATATTGCTTGGAGACAATCACTCAGGAAGTGTAGTAGGCTCGGCAGCTCAGGAGGGTGCCATAGTCATCATTACCAAGCAAGGGCCTGAGTGGTGCCACATGCTGGTCATGAGAAAACACTAGTTGTGGTTATGGCTCAGTGCGAGTCCACATATATATACTGTCCTTGCATGCTACTGGATGAGTGGAGACTCATCCACTCTACTATACCTTCACAGATATCATAACTGTATGCTATACTACATGAACAGTAACATTCCTTACATGTTGCACATTGCAATACCATCTATTGCAATCATCACAAGTCTGAGTCTTCATTGTCGAATGAAGAGTATTGTATATGATGTCATCAACACCTACATCAACACTGTAGCACCTCAACTACAGGCAGAACCTCCACTGTGGGCCTGGAACCTCTACCAGTCCCTATAACCCAACCACTGCCAACAACATCAACTGAGCACTAGCTCCATCACTCTCAGTACTATGTCAACATCTCGACACTCCCACCAGCATTGTACTACACCATCGCTAGGAGCTGAACTTGCTGCATTACCTCTGTACAGAGTGCCAACAGCAGTTAGTTGACATCCATTCCCCAGGCCTCACTCATTGGGTATCATGGTTATCTGTTAAGGAGAGCCTCCTCACCAGTACTCCGAGAAGTACACTCAGTCAACTCTCCCTACCAGAACTCCCTGAGAACCGCTGAGACGGCCCATTCCGCAGAGAGTCGGGTGTTAGGCACATGACCGCTGACACACCATCAGATGTCAAAAACTGTAGGCAGTGTTCTCTCAACACCTGTGGTCCAGTTCATCACTGTAGGTGGTGTTGCTCAACACCTGCAGTCCAGTCAGTTATTGTAGGTGGTGTCTAACACCTGTGGTCCAGTAACTTCCATCATCTGTAGGTGATAGGCTTATTGCAGTTCAGGTGATGTTGAAGAGCATCAAGCAACAGTACTACAAACACTTGTGCTGTATAGGAGAGCATAACACTCTCACTCAGGAAGTAACAGATGTGCTGTGCAACCTCTGAATGGAGTGTTCAAGGTAGTCAGTCGAAACTTATCAGGTATAAGCCTTCTGATCATTTCTGCCAAAACAGTTCAGAAGGAGCTTACTCAATCAACCTCACCAAGATCAAACAGGATCATCGAACTCAGGTTTCAGGCATGCGACCGCTTACAGTTGGTCGCCACCAACAGTGGTGAGTGGGTGTCACGCCTCTCTCTCTTGCGAATACTAGCAGCACGAGAGATATCATGGTGCAAATCTTTGCTTGTATGGAAGCTAGTACTTAAAGTAGCTTCTCCTTGGATCTCTTCCTTCCTTGCTGCAATGCATCTAGTTACACCGTTAGAGCGGGCATAAGCTTGCGCACGTAATAACGTAACAGTGGGGGCGCATGGAAGGAGATCATATGCATGGAAGAGGTCCAAGCATAGGAGCATATGAACAGTTGCCACACGGGAATAGGGACCATGTGGAAATCACATGGAGCGGGAGTAAGACAATAGAGACGTCAACATGGAGCGCGAGTGAAACAATAGAGTTGTCCACATGATACAGATGCGAGACAATAGAACTGTCCATGCAGGGAAACAGAAACACATGGTCTGAGCAGTGGTCCACTCAACTCAGAAGGGGCAGGAGCAATCTCAAGGAGGAGCCCATACGAGACAGGAAGAAAACAGAAGTGTGGGCTAGAGTCACAAAGGTCATAGACCTCCTTCTTGGTCAGGTCATACTCAGAGTGTCTCGTCATGCATACACACACTTCTCTTTCGTACTTAGAGACACACACAACCAGATCAACGACGACACTAAAGTCGTTCGGAAGGCTGGGTGGTATGTACAAAACTTGCTATTGACTCTGGCGAGCATGGTAGCTATCCCAAATAGAGACTGAAGCAGAGCCTAACTCGTCGTACATACGCAACTTGGAGTGACTAATTGGAAGACCTGCAAACGTATTCCCCGTTGTTGCTCGTCCACGATGACAAGCGTTGATAGTAGCATTGTCCGAGCCTGTTTTGACGTTGAAGAGGTGGGTTGTTTCGTGGCTCGTACAACTTGAATCAGGTGGGGAGATGGGTCTATCGTTCAGCAAGAATTTGGGTGGTGGTGCGAGTGGCGCTGTTGGAGTTTGAGTTGTTTTTTCCTTGACCAGTTCTTGCGAGAATCTGTATTCTGCTTTACGAGTTTCCAGCATGTCTGCAGGAGATCCAAAGGGGGAGAGAAGAGCCATATCACCTCCTCGAGATGCTGATGTATCCGAACTGTTACCGAGATCAGCGGCCATAATGCTATCGAGTAGTTTTTGAAGCTCTTCTGAATCTTCAAAGCTCGAATTTGCTTCGGTTGAGACGATACTGGCGATGCTGATCAGCCTCTGACGAGCCGAGTGCAGATGATGTACTGCTGGTGGAGAACGCACTAGGCTGGATTCATCAGCTTCCATTATACCATAGAGGCTTCCAGCACTCGTCACAGCTTCTCCTGCTTCCATTTTCTTATATGGCGACGCGTTGGGGCTGAGAGATGGAGAGCTTCCGCTAAAAGTCTTGACAAGATTCGAGAGAGTTTGTGTTGCTTCGTTCATTTCCAGAAACCCAGGCCTTCGTGGAGGTAAGACGTCTTCAAGCCTGTTGCGCAAGGCAGTTAGCTCATGCAGAGCAGTTGTCGAGTTGTTGTCAAACGGAGCATCGTCAACCCATTCCTGCTCTTCGATGATATCCGAGTCCGTCGAAAAGGCAGACGAGGGCTTCCGATGCAAGCTCGGCCCTTTGCCTCCTCGACGAGGAGAATATTTGGGCAAGAGCACCGTTGTTGGCGGACTTCGTACTCGAACAGCGCTCGGCGATCGAGTGATGTGGTATGGTGACATGAACTTGCGCATACCTGGCGATGCTGGTGGAGATTCCGTGAAGAGGATTGAGGTGCCTACAGACCGAATGCTTCCAGTCTCTTCGCGAGTGCTTGGAGAGCGCAAGCGTTGTCCGTAGGAGCGACGCGAGACGATGATCTTACCTGATGGAGAAGAGGTCGTGGAGCTCTGCGAGCTGATTGTGCTAGCTCGACTGCGTCCCGAACGAGGCGGGATTGGCAGAGACTGACCAAGGAGGGAAGCTGGAGGTCTTCGAGGCGACTGCTTCTTCAGCATGGGCACAGAAGCGCCAGTACTTGGATGCACCATTGTCAGGCTCGCCTCCGTTAGAGAAAAAGTCGGTATGCTCCTAGCTGAGGGTGGCTCACTCGATCTCATTTTGGGCCAGATCTGACCCTCTTCCGACTGCTTTGCTGCTGTTCCACCGTTAGTGTGGCCTTGTGTGGAAGCGGCAGGAAGCTGTAACTGCTTCATCCAGGGATGCCGATGATCAGAGATCCTCGCAGTTGGTATTGCCTTGATGGACTCCCTGGTGGGTGGCCGAGGAGGTGGGGGTGGCTTTGCAAAAGCGTCCGGAATCAGCGGTCGGCGTTTGTACGCCGCAACACCCGAGGATCGAAGTGGAACTACTTTCGAGGGAAGCTGGATGCGATCAAGTTCAACACTGCGGCTCTTTTGGGCCATTGTCGATGCGTCACACACGCGTGGAGAAGCTTTCGACAGCAGATCCTCGCTGCATCTAGTAGGCGGGCCCTGGCTGGGTGCTGTGACTTGCTGAGCCGACGTGCCTCCTGAGCGATCGGGAAGATCTTGCGAGCTGCGTGTCGGCCACCATGATGATTTCTCCATCTCTCGCATCTTCTTCCCGAAAGCGTTGAATGGCCGTCGAGCCAGTAGCTGGAGTGTTTTCAGCTTGGACGGTGCAGGGGCTGTGGGAGGTTGTTCTGTGCTCGTACCTGAATTCTTCAACGATGAGAGAGCTTCCCCGACACCTTGAAACTGAGCAGACTCAGTATCAGTCGGAGGCGTACTAACAGCAGAGATCTCGTGACTACTCAGGACCTCGGAGGAACCATCAGACTTGGGCGAATGCTCTTGGGCCGGCTCCTCAGACGGCGGCTCGTAAAGGTCAGTTGGGAGAGGCAGACGTCTTCGCAACGCCATTTGGTCGCTTTCCGACAGCTCCTGTGCTTTGCGGTTAGAGCGGTAGGGTCTATTTGGAAACATTAGGAAAGAGCTGCTCATCGAAGTCGCTGCTTTGGCTCTTATTTGGTCTTGCGTCTGACTGAGACCATCACGACTTGGGCGACCATCAGCGTCGACCCAGCACGAATCCTCGTTGCTATCCCCAGCAGGGAAATGTTCCATGAGAGTGTCGTCCACGGTCAGCATTGCTCGCGATCGTGAGCCAAATCCACGGCTCGACACTTTTCTAGTGCGTCTTGAAGGCGTCCTGTTTCCAAGAATTGAGGGAGTTGGAGGGAAACAAACCGTTTTTGACCAAGCCGAGAAGCCGACAAGGGGGATTATGTCAGCTTTCAGTATCGGTGTGAAAGGAGAACGTTGTGACCACAGCAGGGCGCGAAGGGCGACTTACATGAACCTCCTTATAGAAGCAAGACTAGTGGCGCTCCTTAACGAAGCCTTGCCTTTCTCAGGCGTAACAAACTTACTGCTGCGCTCTTGAGTCGCATCCAATGTCGGCTGATAGCTCTCATCGGAAGCCTTGCTGGGCAGCGTGCTCTTCTGCAACTTCCTGGCAGCCATGCCAATACTATGCGACCAGTTGCCGAGCGTCGACCTGGCAATGTCCTGACTAAGCACTCCATCAGGAAGCCTGTTGGCCGAAGCACGATCCTCCAAAACACGCGCTTTTGATCGTTTCGACTGTTGAACGGGCGACATGCTGAATTTGCTCTTCAGCTGATCGGACGAGAGTTGACGACGACTTGGTGTTTTAGGTTGGGATAGTATGTCTCCTGTCAAATAGCGCGGCATTGTTGAGGCTCTTGCCTTGGCTGCCGCGGAATCAAGCCCAGGCACCCCTGTGGAGTGGGAAGAAGGAGGGGAAGATTCAAAAGTATCAAGCTCATCATGATGCACTTGAATCGCACCTGTGAGTTTACACGGTTCGAGGCGAGGTTCTTCAGGTAACGGTTTGACCCCGACACTGCTGTTCAAAAAGATAGGACTGGAAATGCGATGGCCACGAAGGGTTGAGATTGTATCAACCGAGTTACGACCTGTGATGGGCGATGCGGCGTTGGCACGGAGCAAGTCGAGTGACTTGGAGCGTGGGGTGTACGGAGGCGTCTCTTCCTGGACGATCATCGGGCGTGGGAGGGGAGAGTTGATGATGTGCACGTCAAAGCTCTATGGATGACAGGGACCTTGCAACAAGGACATGGATAAAGGATCAAAGGGGAAGGTGGTCGTGGGAAAAGGACAACGCAAAGCTCTCAAGCAAGGTTGTATGTTTGAGTCTAGGGGAAGCAAACTAAGTCGACACCCAGCTGCCCTGTGCGCTTAGCACCGGCTCAACTCAAAGAGAACCCAAGCTGGGAATGGGATGGGAGAGCCGGATGTTAATGTGACAGAATCAAAGACCTGCGATATGCGAGGTATCGAAGAACGAAAAGAAAGAAAGCAAAAAAAAAAACAAAAAAACAAAAAACAAAAAACAGCGTACTGACCAGAGTGTGTGAAAAAATCACACAGGCTCGAGCCTAGAACAGACGCTTGTTCATATGATCTCAAGAAGGACCTCTTTGGACCATAGTATCACATGAAGCCCACCCTGCTATTTTTATACGAATGTGTAGGTTAATCTTTTTTTTTTTCTTTTTTTTCTCTTTTTTTTTTTTTCTTTTTTCTTTTTTGCTGCAGCTCCCGATAGGCAAAAAAGGGTCGGCGGACATTGTGAATGATGATGCAGTCCAGTGCAGCTGCAAAAACAAGGTGGGGTTGTTGTTACTGTAAAGCGACACTCAACTCTCTCAGGTGGTCAAGTGGGTTGGGACGGAAGAGATTCTAGGATACCGAGCAACGAATGCGATGCTCGTGCGGGGCAAGCGCACGTTTTGGCTCTCGAGTGTTAGCGGTAACGTGTGGCGACAATTTGCCGAGTTTGCCACTATCATCAGCACGCACTCACGCGTACTCGGCCTGGTCAAATCGACTGACAACAAAAAGACACATGCGATGCTTCCATCCGGCATTCACGGCGAACACTGCGTCGACTCGGCTCAATAGAGCTGCGATAGGAGCTGCCAAAAGAAGGGCAGAACAAGCGCTCCTCATGAATGCAGGTCCGAAAGCGAAGAGGGTCCCTCGTAGGATCACAACCCGCAGCCCTCGCAGCTTTTCTCCTCGCAGCTTTTCCCCTCGTCAGAAATGACCCGAGGCATAGATGTGCATACAGGCATCGATGAACAATGACCAAATGGCCAGCAGCTCGATGGAAATCTTATTGTAGCTCAGGTTCGGCCAACACCCACCATTAGCACTCCCTCAGCAGGCACGCAATTTCCCAAGATCCAAAGCAGGCACGCAATTTCCCAAGATCCAAAGCAGGCACGCAATTTCCCAAGATCCAACACACGCCCACCTACCGCTGAGAAAGGGTTTCAAGTTGGTTGTCGACTTTTGCTAGCAAGACAATATCCTCATCGATGACAAAGTGGGACTGAACCACATCCGAGGGACAATAAGATAGAATGCAAAGGCGTCTTGTCAACACTCAAAAGCGGGTTTGTATTTGGTATGCATTCTTCGACTGAAATGCTTGCAGGCGAGTAAGATTTGCTGTTTTGTGTGTGTGTAGCTAGATTACATCGACCCTGAGTTGTGCTGTGAATGGCAGTCAAGGGGATGTATTGATTTGGTGGGCATCGACCTTAGGGCAGAGTAGCTTGCACCTTGTCATTGTTCGTTGGGTGGTTGGCTTCAAAGATATCGTAGGCGGGTACGACTAGATCGCTTTGATCACAGACCTTCTTTGGGTGCTGGGCCAAAGCACCTTTCTCCAACTCGTCGATTTCCTGCTGGTCGAGATCGACGAGCTTGAGGTTGTTTTCGATACGAGCAGGAGTGACTGATTTCGGCAAGGGGTTGCAGCCTCTAGCGACTTGCCAGGAGATGAGCACGTTTGCGCCTTGCACGTTGTGCTTCTTGGCAATCTTGTCGACCACGGATAGCGAAGCTTGGCTAGCGCCAGTGGAACCGAGAGGAGAGTAGGCTTGCGGTAGGATATCTTGGCTCTTCAACCACTTTACCAACTCGGGCTGAGGATAGGTGAATGAGAGTTCGACTTGGTTAACCACTGGTTTGATTCTGCACGACTTGAGCAGTTCTTTAGTACGACGGATGGAGAAGTTTGAAATACCAATGTTCTTGACCAATCCTTCATCGACCAACTTTTCCATCTCCTTCCACACCTGGACAAAGTTTTCCGTAGTTTCCAGGTCGAGTAGATGCTTTCCAGTTTTGGGATCCTTCTTCGAGTCACGCGGGAGTTGACCAGCAGGAACGTCTTCAGGGACGAAAGCAATGTTCCAGTGCATAAGGTAAAGGTCGAGATACTTTACGCCGAGTTTGTCGAGCGTGTCTTGGACGGCTTGACGAACGTGGTTGTGGTGGAACTCGAACAGTTTGGAGGTGATCCAAATCTCCTCGCGGGGAACACGGGAGAGTTTGATACCCTCTCCGACCTCGTCCTCGTTCTGGTAACCCCAAGCACAGTCGATGTGACGGTAACCAGATTTGAGAGCGTGACAGACGGCATCACGCACTTCACCTTTGGGTGATTGCCAGGTACCCAGACCGACCGAGGGGATAGAGGCGCCGGAGTTGAGCTTAAAGTGAGTCGTGGGCCTGATAGAGAGGCGCCGAGGAGACAGAGAGGGGATTGTCAGCTTCTTGTTCCGTGCAATGCTAAGCTATGCCTAGCCGCCAATGCTGGTCGACGAGACCGATATGATGTCGAGCGACACGACACGGCCATCTCCATGCCAGTGGCAAGGCTACTGACTTACATTTTGAACAAAGTAGATGACTATCAAAGGCCAAAAGAAGAAAGAGGAAGAAGAAGAAGAAGATAATGATGATGAAGGAGACGAAGAAGAGGGACAGAGAATTGCAAACAAGCGGGTGGGTTTATATAGAAGCTTTCTTCATAGCGGATGCTAGAGGAGATTGCCGGGCGCCGGCGTGTCTGGCATATGAGCCTCGCTAACACCTTGGTGGCTGAGGTGGATGTTGAGAAGGCGGGTGGTAAGGAAGAGAAGGCGGGTGGTAAGGAAGAGAAGGCGGCAAAGGAAGAGGCGGGAAAGGAAGAGAAGATTCAAGAGTAGACCGGTGACATGTCCGGTGACTTGTGCACAGACACAGAGATTACCGGCCACACGACTTTTCGGCGATCTCCCTTCTTATTCCGGCCGACAGAGGAAGGGGAGAGAGACAAGAGAGAGACCAGCGGGCACGTGACCAAACCCCTCTCGCGCACGGACCGGCTTGTGCACAGCAAGTCAGCTTTTCACACGGCCTCCGCTTGACCGATCACTTGGCAAAAGCCTCGATTGGTACGACAACAAGGATGATATGCAACAAAGAATGATATGCAACAAAGAATGATATGGACAGGGTAGACATCGATGCAGTAAATGATATCTTGAACAGCTTTACACCTCAACATATTTGCCTTGCTCCTTCCTCGCCTTTGTCATCGCAGCAATGATGGCCGAACCGACACCGGATCCATCCTCGGCCTGGTAGGTCTTGATGTTTCTGCCCTTATCGCCAAAGATATCCTCCAAGGCCTGGTGTAGGCGGTCCGGAAAGCCGGGATACTTGGAATACAAACTGCCATCACAGCCGACCCCGCATCCTTTATCGAGATAGCCCATCTTGGTCACCAAGGCGGCAATGCCACAGGAGCTCAACCTAGCCGATCGTGTTCCGATCAATTTAGCCAACTTGCTGAAGAATTGCCTCTCTTCGATCGTCGTATCGATCCCGAAGAAATGCGTGAACAAGCCGGCGATGGTTAGAAGCTCGTCGGTGGGATCAGCTTCGATGAGAGAGAGGAAAGCAGTGTCAAAGGCATTTGTTTTTTCCAACTTATACGTCTTCTGACCTAGAAAGAGAACTCCTTCGTCGATCAAGTCGCAAATGCAGAGTCGGAAGATCTCGCCCAAGTAGAGACCTGCAATCATCTTTTCGTAGGATTGCTCGTGCGGTTTGTTCGAGGTAAGATCAATGTGTTCGTCATACTTGGTACGGATTTCGGCCATGTGTTCGTGCTTGAACGAGTCAAAGGCTCCATATTCGCAGTTGACCGCCATCTCTTCGTCTTCTGGCAAACCAAGGTGCTTGATCTTGGGCATCTCCTTGAGGCGCTCCATGTAAGCCGCGTTACAGCCCGTACCAAAGATGCATGCAATCCTGGTCTCGTGATTGACATAGTTGGAAGCAATCAGTGTACCCGTGGTATCGTTGATGATCGAAACCAGCTTGACCGGCAGCTTGTACTTGGCAAGCGACTCGCGGAACATAGCAGCGCAGTCACGACCCTCCGTGTTGGGGTTGCCGAAGCCTTTGGTCCATCGAACGAGCTTGCCGTGGTCGATGCTCTCCTGCTCCATAGGGTAACTGAAGGTGAAACCAAGTGCAAGGTCCTCCTCCAGAATCACATTGCCGTTTTGATCGCCAAAGTGATCGCCAATAAAAGTGGCAAGACAGTCGGCACAGAAGTCAAAGAGCTTCTGACCTTCAGTCTGCTTCTGCTCTTCCGTCAGACGGAACTTGGACTGGGTGATTTCGAATTTGCCGGCGCCTTTGAGAAGGACGTGGCAAACACGCAAGTTGGTTCCTCCAAGATCAAGAACGAGGTAGGATCCCAGCTCGTCACCGCTGGGCCAGCCAAAGACGTAGGCGGGAAGCATTGATACCGTCTGTCCTGGTTTCTGAAGACCTTGTTCCAGAACGCCGACGAAACGGTCGGTGATCATGCGAAGACGCTGAGGAGTGATGGTGAAGAGCTTCTGGAATCGTTCCAAGTGCTGCTTGAGCTCCTCTTCACGAGCGTGTGGAGACTGTTCATGCTTGTGAGAACTCGTGTGCCACGAGACAATCTGTTTGGTGAGCCAAGATCGAGTGAGCAGGTTCAAGGTCAGCAAGGCACGCTCCATACACGAAATGCTGGAGTGGACCAGGTGGGACATTTTGCAGGTGGCAAGACGGTCGAGTAGGAACGCGGTGATGAGAGAGTTGATGGTGCTGGTTGATGAAGCGGCCTTGCAAGCAGGATCAACCAAGGTGTCTGTATGCGTCTGCAGGCTTATCTATATCCAGCCTCGAGTCGAGAAAAGCCTTACTTACATGCGTCTCGAGCTTTTCGGTACCAGAGCCACGACGTTTGCCGGTGATGGAGATGGAGCCACGTCGGCTACCCTTTTCGGAAGAGAAGGACATTGTTGCAGCAGGGACTTTGTCACTATATGCGCGATTATCGAGGTTCAAAGAGAGAGGCAGCCATATATGACCAGAGGAGGAGAAGCAATGACAGCGAGCCGAGAAGACGACAGAAGCAGAAGCAGAGTCAGTGCTGTGAGTGAGTGAGTGGCTGGGTTAGTGGCTGGGTTAGTGGCTGGGTGAGTGGGTAGAGTGGGTGAGTGATGATTGATCAAGTGCATGCCGCCGCCACTTGAAAAATGATGAGCGAGCAAAACAAGATCAAGCCGAACTTACGGTGCCAGATGGTTGCACAGCTGAGCGAGAGAAGAAGCAAGTGCTATCGGTCGTCGTTGTATGTGTTGTGATGTGATATCAAGCCACTTGAGCAAAAGAAGGAGCGAGGTTTGCGTGGCAGCACAAGAGACAGTTGTCGGCAAGTAAGCAAGAAAGCAAGAATGACTGAGAGTGATGATGAGCTAAAGGTGAGAGACACACTCACCATCGCATGGGATGATGAGCACAACAGAATGCTCACTCACCGCCAAGAACACTGCTCTTCTGCCTCGCTCTTTTTTTTTTGCTCTTCATTTTGGCTAGGCCAGACAGGAAGAAAGAGGCAAGATGTGGTCTGTGCGCCTGGCTCGTCCAGCCATTCTTTTTCTTTTTCCTTTTCCATGTTTGTCGCGTCGAGCTAACACTTGATAGCAAACGGAAAAAGAAAAAGTTCACCCCCCCCCCCACTCTCCCCCACTCTCCCCCACTCTCAGCCCACTCTCAGCCCACTCTCAGCCCACTCTCAGCCCATCTGTGTGTTGTTCTCACACACATTCTTGCCGAGATGGCACCCTTTGGTTCTGCTTCCATCTCAAGCCTCACAAATGACACTCAATGCTCTCACACAGCCTACGTTGGAAGTTAAAGATTGCTAGTAAAATGCCACCAATCAGAGCTACTAACAAGCTCAACTTCACGGGTGTATAACTTCAAGAAAAATGCTCTGTATTTCTTTTTCTTTGTGTGTGTTACAACATGAATGTGTATATATATTTGATCATCATCCTTAACACCTGCTATGTTGTAATGAACTCTTCTTTCATGTAGCCCCTGTGTTGTTGCTTTCTGGTCGTTGCCTCTCCCTGAGTGTTATGGTTGCATTGTTTATATATCCCACATGCATGTTGATGCATGTCGATATGCAACTCTGACTCACTATTATCTAACTTGAACTCCGCGGACCCCGTGATCCATGTTAGGATGCCAACAAATCTTCAACTCCCTCCCTCGACAGCATTGTCAACCCTATCAAGCATGTGATCTGAGATGTGGCCAGACCTTTTAAAGGTTTTGTGAGGATATCTGCAATGTTGTCTGCTGTCCCAACAAAATCAATTTTGATTTCTCCCTCCTGAACATGATCTCTGATGAAATGATATCTTGTGTCAATGTGCTTCAATTTCCAATGCTTAGTGGGGTCTTTGCTTACCTGGATACATCCTTGGCTGTCGGTCCATAGTGTTGGTGGCTGAGCCTCAATTCCCAGATCCCTAAGGAGATATGAGAAGAAGAGGGCCTCTCTCATTGCTTCTGAGGCAGCTATGAACTCAGCTTCTACTGCTGATAGTGCTATGCACTTTTGAACATGTGACCTCCAACTAACCAGACAACCATATATATATGTTACTCCTCCTGATGTGCTCCTTCGTCCATTTGTTGGGTCCGATGCCCAATTCGCATCAGTATATGTAATGATGTGTTGTCCCGAATGTTTATTCATTCTGTCTCCGAAAGCTAGCTTGTACTTGCTGGTTTGATTGAGGTACTTTACCAGGTGTAGTGCTGCTTTCCATGCATTTCTTGTTGGGCTCGACATGTATCTTGCAAGTGCTCCTACGGTGAATGATATGTCGGGCTGTGCAGTGTTGGATACCCATAAAAGTTGTCCAACCAGTTCTTGGTACTGCTTTGCCACTAGTGGGTTGCATTTGTCGCCACCCATAATACCTGTTAGGCTCTGCATTGGTATCCATGACTTCTGATCAGTTGTTTGTAGCCATTTTCTCACCATAGCCTTAATATAAGCCATCAAGTCAAGTGTCATCCTCTTTCGTACCCTGTCTCGGTCTATGCTTATACCTAAGAACTCCTTCACGGGTCCTTTATCCTCCATTCCCCACTTTGCCATTATCTCGTTTTTAGTGTGATCTACTTCCATACAACTGGGTGATGCTATGAGCATGTCATCAACATATGCTGTGATGATTGTCATGCTATTGCCTGTTCCTCTTAAGTATAAGCATGGAGTGCTTGGCATGCAGTGGAAAACTATTCTTTGTAGGTGTGAATCTAGCTCTACATTCCATTCTCTGCCTGATTGTTTTAAACCATATAGTCCTTTCACTAGTTTTAAGGCCTTTCCAGAGGAAACCTTCATCCCAAGCAGTGGTTTCAAGAAAATATCATGATGCAGCATTGAGTTCAAATATGCCTGCTTAACGTCAACACAATCTACTTCCCAGTCTCATATGGTTGCCATAGCCAAAACTCCTTGAATTGACTGGATAGGTGCTATGGGAGCGAAGACCTCCATATAGTCAATACCCTCTCTTTGAGTGAAGCCCTGTGCCACTAACCTTGCTTTGAACTTGGTTGGGATTAAGTTCGCATCCGTCTTGATCTTCAATACCCAACGCATGTCGACAGTAGTCATGCCCTTTGGGAGATCAGTGACTTCCCACATGCCCATGGCTTTAAGTCCATCCAGCTCCTTATGCATCACTTCCTCCCAGTGTTTCTTATCTTCTCCAGATAGTGCCTCACTAACAGTTGGGTCCATGTTCTTCCTTTTGTTGTCACTGATCGCTGTAAATCCAGAAAGTTTATCATTATTCCATCTATCGGCAACGGGGTTGTGTTCAATCGTTTCCTTGGTAACTTCATTTGAGATCTGTTCCTGGTCTGTTTCATCGATGTTCTCCATGTCCATGTATTCCTGCAATGGTTCCTTTTCCCTCTCATCGAAAAGGTTCTCATCTGTGTATCTTAGATCGTCGAAGTTTTCCTCGTTTGCTAGAGCTGGTGGTGACTGTGTAGTCACTGGTTGCCACTCCATCCTGTCAGACCAGCACTTGGTCTCCATGAACCTTGCTGAATTACTCCAGAATATGTTTGGGCTGTAGTCTGGGCTGTAGAAAAGCCAACCTCTCCTTTCTAAACTATATCCTAGGAATATGGATGCTATGGCCCATTGGTCAAGCTTCTTATTATCTCTTTTAGCTTTAGGAATGTTTACCCATGATAAACATCCAAACACATGTAGAAGTTTCATAAGCCATTTTGGCAATCTTCCAAACATAGCCTGATATGGGAGGTCACTGTCTACACTCGGGGTGAGATTCATCTTGAACACTGCAGCCCATATTGCATATGGCCAAAACCTTTTCAGCAATTGTCTCTGCATGAGCAGGGCCTGCATTCTCTCGCCTAAACTCCTATTCATCCTTTCGATGCATCCATTCTGTCTGCTATCATAACCTACTGTCATTTGCCACTCTATGCCTTTGTCATGTGCCCATTCATGGGCATCGTTGCTCCTCCATTCAGTACCTTGATCAGACCATATTGCTTTCAGGCTCTTTCCTGTCTGTGTTTCAAGGTATGCTACTATTGATTTTAGCTCCTTAAAAGCGTGGCTCTTCTGTAGTAGAGGTTGTACATATACATACTTGCTGTAATCATCAACCAATACCAGAGTGCATGTGTGCTCTGTTGCATGTGATGAATCAACTATCAAGTCAATATGGATGAGATCAAGTGGAGAACAAGACCTCTCTCCACCACCCTGGCCCATCCGAGCTGCTGTACTTTTGGATCAGATGCATTGCTCACATGTCAAAGCAGCATTTGGGTTTAGGCTTACTGGGTGATCGCCTTTTAGATGATTAATGATAGCTCTTGTTTTGTCTTGGCCTGGATGCCCCAGACGCTCATGCCATAATTGTTGTTCGGATATCTGGGGTTTGTTCTTAATTTGCTCGAAATCATCATCAACACCTTCAAATAATGATGTTGATGTGATCATTGCATTTTCCTGCCATGTATCACCTCAGAACTCCAGAAGTCCTTGCTCGCGATTCTTGATCATTTTGAGTAACATGCCATTTGCTAAATATATTTGTCCTCCGGTTGAGTCTAGTGTCACTCGTGCTCCTTCATTTGTCAGGGAATTTGTTGACAACAAGTTAACATTGAGATGCTGGACATACAATACATTTTGAAGAAAGATATCTCTGGTGTTTGTTGATATGCTAGCATCTCCTATAGCAGTGGCTTCTAGAACCTCGCTTCCAGTGGTGAGTATGCACTTTCGGCAGGTTTTCGGACCAATTAGCATGTTATAGTCATTTACCATGTGGTAGCTGGTGCCCAAGTCTAAGATCCAATGAGAGGTCTCTTTGGAGTCTATGAGCCTCTGCCAGCTAGGTGTGAAGGAGCACCAGACTTCCTATTTGGGTCTGGCAAAAGGAGAATTCTCTGGTATAGTCACCGATGCATCACATTGACTGATCCCATGTCCAGGCCTCTTGCAGATCCAACATCAGAGCCTTCGGGGTCTTGTGGCAACCTTGGTGCTGGTGCTGTCGGTGTCCTTTTCGTCCTTCTCGTCCTTTCCAGGTGGTTCGTCCTGGTCATCACTGCCGGCGACTCTGGCACTGGCTTGTCGGGGATCAACCCTCGGTGCAGGGTTGTTTTCGATTGCTGATTGCCGGATAGATAGGGTGGTGGCGAGGGTGCTAAAACTGAGCTGGCTCATGGTGGCAACAGTCTCTTTGTACATTGGGTGTCAGATAGTACACTTTTGTAGATTAGAGAATAGAGTGTCATCAGCGAATGGCTTTCCCAGTAAGCTACTCTCCATTTGGATGGTCCTTATCTCTTGGATGAGCTTTCATGCATCTGAATTGTACATCCTGAGCTCTCCTAGCTGAGCAATTAGTGCAATGTGACGAGATATGGTGGTGGCCTCATTGGTGAGTCCATTTTCAATCTTCTTCCATATATCGTGGAATGTATGGTGCTCCCTGATGATGTCAAGGATCAAGTAGTTGATGTTGAACTCTCCAGTGGTGTCGATGGTGCTGCATAGTGCATTCGTTAAGGCATCATCAAACATTCGGTTCCACTTCGGATGTTTCTTGTTGCACACTCCATCGAGGTGCTTCATAGCATAAGGAACACATCATAGGAAAGACTTGATATGGGCACTCCAACTATAATAGTTATGGGATGTGAGTTTTGGGATGGGCTCAAGTAGTTTTGCTAGGGTATGAAAATTGTATTGTTTTCCATTGTTGTCATGATCCAAGTCGGAATCAGTTTCTTCCTCGGCATCATCGTCAATCACCTCAGTGTCTGACTCGTTGGTGGCCTCATTGTCAACAGCTCGTGGTTGCATTATCTTTCCCTTTCTTCCTCCTTTGGCCTTGCTTGTGGTGGCTTGAGCTTCGGCCTCTTGTACCATGTTGTCGATAGGTCCCAGTTGGCTTAGTCAGGGGAGCTTCAGACTCTTAATCAGTTAAAGATTGCAAGTAAAATGCCGCCGATCGGAGCTACTAACAAGCTCAACTTCACAGGTGTATAACTTCAAGAAAAATGCTCTGTATTTCTTTTTCTTTGTGTGTGTTACAACATGAATGTGTATATATATTTGATCGTCATCCTTAACACCTGCTATGTTGTAATGAACTCTTCTTTCATGTAGCCCCTGTGTTGTTGCTTTCTGGTCATTGCCTCTCCCTGAGTGTTGTGGTTGCATTGTTTATATATCCCACATGCATGTCAATGCATGTCGATATGCAACTCTGACTCACTATTATCTAACTTGAACTCCGCAGACCCCGTGATCCACGTTAGGATGCCGACGAATCTTCAACTTGGACCAAGTCTTGTGCAGAAAAGGATCCTTCCAAATGACAAATTTCTGTAGCGTGACAACCAAAAATATATACAAGACGGATTGCACAATCCTCCCCCTCTCTCTCTCTCTCTCTTCTCTACTTGGAAGTGAGACGAAGTTCATGGTTACGACGACCATTGACCCAATCAGGGTTGAGCAAAGTCAACTCGGGCGTACCGAGCAAAGCACGGTTGACAGCCTCCCATCCCAGCGCGGATGAGTGATCCTGGTTTCCAACCTCGTACTTCCACGAACCGAATCGACCACGGCTGTAAATGTCATACTTGTCCAACGCCGGAAGCAATGTAGCAAGAGCAGCGTCACGTCCAAGCGAAGGAGTTGGGTATCCGAAAGTAAACTTTCGGTGGTATGTCGAAACAATCTCGTCATCAGCGTTGATCAGGTTGGTGTTGATGCATCCCTGGATCGTCTCAGCCAAAATAGTCTGTCCGTTGACCGGTTTGAGGTGCGACTCGGAGACTTCCATCATGAGCGACCAGTAAGGCCCCTCGTTTGCATCCTTGGATGGAGTACCCTTGGATGGGTCAGCATACTGCAACGTGGGCAGCTTGACATCGGCCTGAGGACAGTTGTAGGGCGAGTAGTTGGAGAAGATCGTTGCACGGTAGAAGGGGCAGTCATCCTCGGGGAAGTAGAGCCAGCACTTGTCGCCGATACGAGGAGGAAGCGAACCTCGGATACCGATACCGATCACGTGAGTCGAAGACGAAACAAGACCCTCCTTGACAGCAGCTTTGAGCTGAGCGTGCTTCTCCTCGGCAGGCAGTTTGACGTTGTCGATAAGAAAGTCGAGCTGCATGGTGCTGATCAGGTGCTTGTACTTGATGCTCGAGCCATCATCGAGCTCAACAGTGTGGCCAACAGCATCAACCGACTTGACACGCTTGTTGAAGAGGAGCTTCTCCTGGGGCAAAGTGCGGGCAACAGCCTTCCAGATACCACCCGTACCGTCACGCGCAGGGAACTTGAAGGTAGCGTTGGGACCCCAGTTGCCAGCAACCTTCTTGTTCAAGGTGTTGGAAACGACGAGCTTGAGCGAAGGAGCAGCAACACGCTCACCAAGCCACTTGCACTGCATCATGGTTGTAGGCACAGCCCAAACCTTGAAGTTGTACGGACGCATGAAGAGATCGGCAAGACCCTGACCCATCATACGCATGATCCACTCGTCAAACGTGGTAGGAGCATCCTTGGCACGAGCACGCTCCTCGGCAGCGTCGATCATTCCTTCGATGCACTTGACCTGCTCCTGGACGGGGAGAACGGAGATGTTGTTCTGGTAAGGGTAAGGCACCCAGACGTTCTTGGATCGGACGTACGAGACACGCTGGTGCTCGAACCAGTCCTCCTTGTTGGGAAGCGCCTCTGCGATCATGTCGTCAAAGTACTGGTAGTGGGAGAAGATGACGTGTCCTCCAACATCGAAAAGGAAGCCCTGGTCGGTGGTGTCGGTGGAAGCGAGACCACCAGCCTCCTTGCCGGCGTCGACGAGGAGCCATGGGCCGTGGTTCTGCGATCATTGCGACAAGGAAGCCACCGTGGAATCAGTAGGTTTTCCTTCCATCATCAACCGTAGCCGGGGTGTTGGGATCAACTTACGAGTTGGTTGAGGCGCTTGGCAGCACCAAGACCGGTGGGGCCGGCACCAATGACGAGGGTCTCTACTTCTGTGGTAGACATGTTTGCGGATGGAAATTGAGTGGGGGGAGGGAGGGAAGGAATAGGGTGGGATGGAGGTGGTGAGGACTAAAGGTGGAAAAGTTGACGAGCAGAGTTACACAACAACAACGGAAGCCAAGATGGACACACGCAACACACACGCACGCCGCCCTGTTATTTCGAATCGAATCGGGAAACCGACGGCTGCAGATCGGGTGGGCAGGCAAGCAAGCAGGCAAGCAAGCAGGCAAAAAAGATCGAAAAGAAAAGATCGAAAAGCGAAGATCGAAAAGCGAAGATCGAAAATCGAGAAAATGATTTGGCTGCGAAACAATCAATTCTGTCCACTCTCCCGATATCTTAAATCGGGGTGTGCCGTAGCCATTTGATCTGGTCGTCACGTCACGTCGCGTCTTGTCACGTCGCGTCTTGTCACGTCACGTCTTGTCACGTCACGTCTTGTCACGTCACGTCCTGTCACGTCGCGTTGCGTTGCGTCGCTTCGCGTAAATGGGAACAACACTTTTGGCGCGAACTCAGCCTTTCGTCGCTGAGTGAGTGAGTGGAGGGCAGGACAAGACTGGATAACTCAGCCTGTCCCTTGACCTTCACCTCATCAATACCACCCGTTCTTGCCTCAGTCATGACTCGATAGATCCACTCCAGGATCGGCTGAATAGCTATACCGATACCGATGCCGATTCCACACTACTCACGATGCCCAGCCTCGCCATAGCTGATATAGCCTGCATCTCGAAACGCATCAAGGCCTGCTGTCGAAGGGCCCAGCTGTTGAGCACGGACGAGATCCTCCTCAGTGCACCGCAACAGCTACAACAAGCTCTACGTATCTCTCAAGCAGATCTCGACCTGCTCTTGCTTCAAGTTGCTACCGCTGCAGCGCCTCCGCCCGTCTCCGTCCTCGATGCTTTGAACGGAAAGCTCCCTGATCAGCTTGATCCGAGTCTCTTTGACACCGACAGGGACCATGTCGAATCATCCCAGGAATCTGAGCAGAGCAACGATGACAGACTCCCACCTGCTTCCTTTGTTCCTCCCACGCAAGGCTATGATGGCAACTTTCCTGCAGCGCAACGCTTCGTGTTCGATTCGGATGAGTACTCGGACAGTGATGCCGAGGCCCAATCCGATCATAGCATGCACCTCCATGTCGAGATGCCGTCTACTTTCCCTCCTCGAGTAACCCAACGGGACGTAGACATGCAAGGTCAGGAAGAGCAACGTGCAGATCCCGGCCATGTTTCCATTGCAGCCACCGCGAGAGACGTCCTAACTCTGGGTCGTGATCGACATGTGCTCACAACCGGGTCTCGAGAGCTTGACGACTTGCTCCGAGGTGGTTTGCGCTCCTCTGTCCTTACCGAGATCGTCGGCGAAAGCGGTTCGGGAAAGACTCAGATCGCCATTCAGGCTTGTACCTACGCTGCGCTCGGATTTGCACCCCTGCCGGAAAGTAATGACCAGCAACCTCCTCCCTCATCCCCGCCATCTTTGGACGGCGAGCTTGCTGACGATGCTACCCTCAGTGACATTTTACAAGGCTATGGCATGGCCTCATGGTCAGATCCAAAGGCCTTACACCACGGCCTAGGTGCATGCTACATCACGTCTGCGGGCGAAAGAGGTGCCCACTCGATCGTCAATCGAGCCTTGCAGTTCACGCATCAATCCATTCAGGAGCGCTTTCACCGAGTCTACCCAACCATCGAGGCAGAAGGCTCTCAGCACATTCTTAACCGCGAAATACTGCTAGCTCGAGCACTTGAGCTTGGACGCGATCAAGTGCTTCGCAACCTTCACGTAGCCTGCGTTGCCGACGTTGAAGCTTTGCAGCATGCTCTCAAGTACAGTCTACCTGGCCTCATCAGCCGCTTAGCCGAGCGATCTGGGAAACATCCTATCCGCTTTGCACAAACTCATGCGCCTTGCGCAGAGATCGGCATTGTGGTTGTCGATAACCTGCCTTCGCTGTTCCAGGAAGATGCAGTCGCCGGTGATATCGACTCTCTCGTCCAGCGTTCCAGGATGCTCGTCGAAATCGCAGAAGCACTCAAACGGCTAGCTGCCGTACAACATCAGGGACCACCGTCGGACGAGATAGCTTCCGCTGGTCGTCCTGTGCTCGTCCTCAATCACGTCAGCGATGCTTTTGGGATCGACAAGGAAATTGCACGACGTTTTGTCTTGGATTCGGCTGATCGTGTACGGTTGCATCGCTTGCAGAAACAAGGTGCGTCTCCTCGGACAGGTACGGGACAGCTTCCTCAGTCCGCATATCCCGACCATCCAGCAGCGATGGATTACGCTACACAATCAGCCTTTGTTACTGGCTTGCTTGCATCTCTCCCGCCAACGTTAGCCGAAGCAATTGGCGCACGTAGTGTCGATGTCGGCAGTGGCAACAACAACAACAACAACAACAACAACGACGACGGGCCACTGTACGTTCTAAGCGCCAAAACAGCACAACTGGGTCATACATGGACCAACCTGATCAATGTCCGACTGTATCTCTCCAAGACCAGAGGCCGTGTAAGCATGTCACCGTCTGCATTGCACTCTGTGCGAGAAGGCGCTGGCATTACAGAAAGTGGGCATACCAGCACTGGTTCAGTGAGGATGACGGTTAGAAAAGCAGCTGTTGTACTCAACCCCTTCGGACCAACCATGCTCGATCACGAAGGTGGCGGGAGAAGGACAAAGGTGGTGCAGCTACGATTTCTCATTACACCTGCTCGAGCTGTTCATGCTTTAGCGGCGTATTCGATTACCGATGCTTCTGCTTGTGCCGTCAGTGCGGATGTTGCGGATGTTGCGGATGTTGCGGATGTTGCGGATGTTGCGGATGTTGAGGGTGTTGCTCTACCGGCTTTGGCATTGTCGGCAGAAGTCGCTGCTTCGAGTCACGTACAGGGTGCAGATGCGGATGATGGGGAGCAAGTTTTTTTGCCCGAGACTGAATTCGCTCCAAGATCATCATCACTTGACCATGGATCGGTGTGAGAATGATGTTTGGCATAGTAGGCATTTTCAGACCAATATCGCACACGTCGCCATCACAGCACCGAACGCTATTCTTAAAAAACAAAAACAAAAACAAAAACAAATGCAATTTCTAAACAACACACTCTCTTACCGCAAGGAACAAGGTGATGCTAGCTCGCACTCGACGATATGTCTTACCTTGCGCCTTCTGTCTGAGTCTCACCGAGTGCGGTCTGCCAAGCAAATTTGGTATCATCTCCAACACCGCGCCAGATGGAGTCCCAGAGGTGCTGACCGACGTGACTTCTGAAGCGATCCAATTCTGTGCTGAACCAAACTCTGGTATCGCGGGTGGGGATAGTGTGTAAAAGGGTGTCTGTTGGGTCGCTTTTAGTTGTTTCGCTTGCAGCCAATTTGGAAAAGGCACTCTGAAAGCCAGCTGTTGCAGCATCCTGATCAGCTAGGAGGAAATGCTGTTCTTCGTGTGCAACACTTGCAGCGCTTGGGGTGAGAAGCAGCTTGATGTGCGCGTTTAATAGGCCTGCGAGGATGCCGAGCGCTGGCTGTGTGCGAAGCAGGGTGGAGTTCGTCAGGAGCATTCCGAATCCAACCGAGACGACTTTTTTCTGTCTTTCTGCAACCGAGGGCAGTTCGGGAATGATGAGACTCTGTGCGATCTGGAGGAAGAGTCCTGGTTGGACCGCTTCAAACAAGCCAATCGCATAGTCAGCGCCTTTGGGGGTAAGGGAGATGGAAGAGATCAGATGGATCGTGCATTTCACCAGTTTTCCCGTTTTCGACTGTTGCAGACGAGTGAGAAGCATCGTGAGGATCGCACATTTGTAGGGATCTAGTGCCGAGGAGGGTACGGCTTCGAAGAGGGTTTCCAGCAATTCCAGCGCAAAAGCCTCGTTGATTCGTGTGGAAATCAGCTTTTGATAGATGCCCAACATAGCAGCCAGTTGACCTTGAGCTACGATCCTCTGCGCATCCTTCGCTAGGAAGGCGCGCACCAGACGAACCAAGGCTGGGACATTACCCCGATTCTCCCAAGATGCGGGAGTAAGGATAGGTGGGAGTAAGGAAGAGTAGGTCTCGGGTAAGCCAGCAGTGGGAGGATGTAACTCGAGCATCTGCGAAAGGATTTGGAATACGTAGGGTTGGAATTCGGCAACATCCTGAGTTAGAATCGCTGTAAACCTGGGAAACAGTTGGTCTTGAAAGCCTTGCAGACTCTCGGCATCCACCGCCACCGTATACCGAATCAAGGCGGCGATGGATTCGAAGAGATACTGCGAGAAGCGCGGATTGGATGGATTTTTACTGATCTCCCCCAGAATGCCAGCCAGGTGGGAAAGAAGGGTGGTGTGGGCAGGAGCGATCGCCTCCCGGACCGTAGCGAGAATGCGAAAGATGCACTTGACAAGGTAGTCATTCTCGGCTATCTTCTCGGGAGTGTTACCGCGTTCTATGTTGGTCAAGAGGGCCATAAGGATTGGTTCCGAAAACGGAGTTATATCTGTCGATGTAAACAGCATCTTGCCCTCCCTCTTCAAGGCTAGAATGCTTTCGATCGTTATGCTTGCATACGAACAGGTTACGTACTGCGAACTCTCCAGATGCTGCACCAACAATGGCAGCACGGACAAGAGCTGCTCTTTGGTCAACTGGTTCCTAAACGTATGCAGATACTTGATCGCATCGACCTGAAGGATCGGACTTGGCGAATGCTCACTGCTCTGTTGCAAATCGGCAAAGACATTATCGCTGAAAAACTTGACCACATCCACCAGTTCGTTTGTACTCGTCACCCCGCCCTGCGCGGTGCAAGACTTGGAGGCGATCGAAGTGAGCAGGTAAATCGCTGTATCCTTCTGTTTCCATCCTGCTTGCGGATCGGCTCTGTACTGCTCCAGATATTGCATGATGTAGCCGGATACGATCCTGGTGACTTCTGATGAGAACAACTGCATTAGGGATCGACAGAATTCCGAGGCGGCTTTGCGTCGAGTGTCTGCCTCCATGGAGGTTTCTAGATCGCGACGAATATATTCGATCGGGTTGTCTTCGAAGAGTTCTTCATCTGCTTCTCGGATAGCAATGTTGGGTAGGATGATGGCGGAACAGAGTTGTTCGAGAGACTCGGCACTCTGGAACATCTCGCGCGAGCTGCCCATTCGAACTACGGTGGAGAGGAATCCAACCGCTTTCGACACCAGAGTATCGTACTTGTGCGAGAGTGTGCTGGTTTTCAACATTTCCCAAATGCCTTGTACAAAGGTAGGCAGTTGAGGGAAGGCGTCCAGGTATCGCTTTGCGTACAACTCGGCAATCTCGCAGATCGAGGATCGGATTTCTTGAAGAGTACATGGCTCGTCCGGATCTGCATCAAGTTCTGGGCGAGACTGCGAGATCCATCTAGCCAAGATCTCGGTGATCGGTGCCATATTGTCCTCTATCTGCGGCGGAAGATCTTGACTGGAAAGATCATAAAACACCTGCAGGGCTACGTTGAGGATGTTTCCCAACACGGGAATCGACTCTGGCGGAGTGTTGGGGTGCAACAATCTCTGATCCGTCTTGGTAAGCAACTGCAAATGGGCGAGTGCAAACTTGCTCAGCACGTAATTGATCTCGCTATAAAGCGCATCACTTCTAAACGCACTTCTCCACCGATAAAAGATCGTATGACTCGTCCTCAGCACCGCCAAGACCAATCGATCATCTCCCTCGGCCAACTTGGGCACCAGATCGTCCATCAAACTGGGCCATTCTTGGGGAAAATCCTTCTCGGCTACCAGTGCGATCGCTTCCTCCAACTGACTCCTTACATTTGCCGGTGCGGGCGGCCTTCCATCTGCAGTAGTCGAGATGGAGACTAGAAGCGGAATGATGGCTTGTTTGAGGGCGATTTTGTCTTGGGGCTCAAGGGGAATCGAGGCGGATTGTTCGGCAGAATCGATATCCCAGGCTGTTTTGCAGATGTTTTTGAGCTTGATTGCAGCGGACAAGCGGATGGGATCGGAAGTTTGGATGAGAGAGGAGGATTGGATGATGTGGATGAGCAGTTGGAGGAATCCAGGTTGCGATTGAGCTTCGAGCAGGTGTTGTTCGGCGGACTTGCGGTGGACTGGGTCGAGGGTTTGTGAGAAGAGGGTGCAGAGATGCTGCAGATCTTCAGCTGAGGGGGTTGCCATCCTTGCGATAATGTCTGTTTGGTGTCAGTGAGCAGCGACGAGGGAAGGATGATGGTGGAGTGTGTCAGAAAGTGCAATTTCCTGTCTGTGCGTTCTTTTCCAGAGAACAACACTTGAGAAAATTCGGAAGCAATTTTTGCTTTTCTTATCGTGCGAATGGATATACGCGCATATTTCATTCGTGGGCAAAAGAGGACACGTGACCTACGCCCCCCCAACTCACACCCGAGTCATGCAATTTAACACTTCTTTTCCAACAGTTTTTCACGCGTTGTCAAGTTAGGGACATGGACAGCGGGAAATACTTTGTTTGGGATAATGATCAAGTCTTGCAACTTGTCACCATCCTTTTTGACAGCAATGACTATCAGAGGTTGCTACTCAAAGGTTGCTCGACAAAAGAGCAAGAGAAAGGATTGAAGACAAGCAAGAAGACACTCTACAAGCAGATCTATGATGAGATCTTTCCCAACAGCAACATCACAAACAGTGGTAGTCATGTCAAGACCAAGCTGCACTGGCTTGAGAGTCAATACATCACCATAAAGAAGACTTTCTCACAGACTGGCTCTGGTCTTCTCCTTTGCAATCTCAGCCCTGATCATTTGGTATGTACTTCTTTGTGCTCAACATTGCTCTCTGATGGATGACTAACCTCTGCAATTGCCTTTGTATCTTCTTGTATGGATTGTCAGGGGTCTCGTGCCTGAAACCTGATATCTGTAGTAGAACTGCTTCTATTACAAATCCCATCGAGATATGTGGTAAAGTACCATGTAATATTATTTTGGTTGAGATCTGTTGTAGAAGGCCTCTATGACTTTTCTTGCTCAAATATGTGATAGATTGATTGCTATTGCAGGTTTCAACTGACCACTGTGGACACTCCATCCAGAGGCAGCTTGGCACAATCAATAATGATAGATGTATTGCAATGACACCAAGGTCTGGTGTGAGTAATGCTGTGGATGCCAACATGAGTGTCCAGTGTGTCAACTGAGTGCTTGAAGTGATCCCCAGACTGCAGTGGACAACTGCCTTTGGTTCTATCACTATCCAGACCACTGGTTTGCTATGAACTGCCTTTGGATGTCAGTGAGCAGTGATACAACACATGTGCTACAATGGAAGCAATCTACTTGTGATTGCTACTTTGCTGACTGAAAACTAATGTATACTTGAGTAGAAGTGATAACTAGTTTGTATGGTGTAGAGTGGATGGCGATCCACTCACTTGCTAGGACAGGGAACATGGTTATATACCTTTCTTGCAATGTTGCCCACAGCACTGCTCATCCTCCTCATTCCTCCTATGCTCCCCATCCACCTTGCAATGCCCCTTATTGGCACCGCTTCCTTGTCTCCTGTGGATGGATGGGCCTCCTGCTGCCTCATCTCCATCAGGGGCCAGTCCCACTTCATCTGAGTAGCAACTCACACCCCCTTCTTCTCATCTTCCTCCTGACTCTGGCACCCACCTTCTTATGCCAGTTTCATCATCGTGTAGGGCCCCTACCTCATCTGATGGTGTCCCCTCTTTGTTTGGTGACCTCTCCTCACCATATCAGCAATAGAGGCATCTCCTTGAACTGATCCTCGTAAGATCTGTCATACCTATTGTGGTATTACCTGTAAGCGGTCGCACGCCAGAGACTAGTTTTGGGTGTTATCCAATTGGTATAGGTGGGATTGATTGAGTAAGATCTACTCAGTATGTTTCGACTAAATGTAACCAGATGACTTCATACTGGTAGGTCTCAGCTGACTGCCTTGAACACTCCATTCAGAGGTTGCACAGCATGTTCATTGTTCATTGGAGAGTGAGTGATACACTCTCCTTACAGTACAAGTGTTTGCAGTACTGTCGTTAATGCTCTTGGATGTTGTCTGGACCATGATATGCTTATTGCCTACAGAGGACAGAAGTTACTGGACTGCAGGTGTGAGACACCACCTACAATAACTGACTGGACTGCAGGTGTTGAGCAACACTGCTTACAGTAAGGGACTGGACTGCAAGTGTTGAAGAACACCACCTACAGTTGACACCTAACAGTGATACAACACACATGTTTGAGGGTCATTGCAAAGCACTGCTATTGCAATGATATGTAGCTAAGAGTCAAGTAAAGAGTAAAGTATATAGTAAGTAGAGTGGATGAGGATCCACTCATATGCTATGGTAGAATGAGAGTATTTATGTGTTCAATTGGTGTCGCCTGTGACACCTATCCCATTCCTCCTGAGAGGCCTTCATCCCCTTTCAACACTATCACTCCTGCTGGCATTGACCCCTTTGATGCTGCACCTCTACCATTTGCACAGTGTATTGGTTTGTGCAACACTGCCCCTTCGCCTTCATGCTCTCTCTCTGCCTGATGATGTGTGATGACCCCTTCAACACAGCTCCTCCTCTTTGTTCAGCCAATCTCCAGTCTTCTTGACACAGCTCCTTCTCTCTTCACCAGTGACCACCTTCTCGACCTTATCTTGTGAATCCCTTTAGCCACTTGTTGGACCTCATGACCAAACCCCTTGGTCATGTGGTCACCCCTGTGCTTGGTCCTGTGTGGCTATATGCACATACCCCTCAAGCAGTAACCATTTGCATGATGCTGAGCTTGGTCCCTGCTCCTACATGTGGTTATCTCCATATGCTTCTCCTTCTAATGCCAGTATCCTCCTTCCTGAATCTCCTGATGCTTGCTCATGTTGGCTGACTTGCTGAGACATGCTGATCAGGCTGATCCCAATCAATCCTTGTGAAATTAACCTGGATCCCAGAGTTCAGTTGATCTCGTAAATCATATGTGCTACCAACCCAATGTCATGGGCCTGAATGCTCAGGAAGCAGGAGGGTCACTGGTTCATATGGAAGGAGCACAGGTATCAGAGATCTAGTCGATACCAGTAGAGAGCATGGTCATAGTGCAGTCTCCATGGAGACCATGGACTCCTACAGACTCACATGCAAAGGAGCACTGAGCCATATGCGAGGAAGGGCCAGGCACAGCTACAAGGAGGACCAAGCTCAAGGAGCAGGCACAGCCACAAAGAGGACCAAGCTCAAGGAGCATGCAGATGGTTACCACTCAGGGGCTCAAGAGACGAGAGTCAAAGGAACCATCACTGGTCAAAGGAGAAGGAGTAGTGTATAGGGAACTGGCAAGCAGGTCCTGAGGAGGAGGAGCAGTGTTGAAGGAGTCAACACCACTCAGGAGGCACAGGGGTGCCAAACAAGCAGGATAGCAAGGAGGAGGAGCAGTGTCGAAGGAGTCGACACAGCTCAAGAGGCACAGGGGTGCCAAGCAAGCAGGAGAGGCCCCCTGAACAGTACTTGATGAAGAAGGTACCCTCTGGAGAGAGAGCAAGAGCAGTGTTGCTGGCAATGCTGTGAAGAGGTATATAACCATGCTTTCTCATCATCAAAGGTCAAGTGGATCCTCATCCACTCTACACACACATCATAACTAGTTATCACTTCAGCATAAGTATATATTAGTTTCAGTCAGCATAGCAGCAATCTATCAAGGTTGCTCCTCATCATAGTGTGTGTGTTGTATCACCACTACCTGATGTCCGAAGGTGACCCATAGCAGGTCAGTGGTCCGGATTAAGATAGAACCAAAGGCAGTAGTCCACTGTGGTCCAGGGATCACTTCAAGCATCAAGTCAACACACTGGACACTCATGTTGATGTCACCAACCTTATCACCAACCCCATCAACCTCATTACCATCAACACTCAACAACCTTATCACTGACACCATCAACCACATCATCATCAACACTCACACCAGACCTTGGTGTCATCATAACCTATGTATTGATATTGATCGTGCCGAGCTACCCCTGAACAGAGTGTCCACAGAGGTCAGCCGAAACCTACAATAGTATATACAATGAATGCCACCTGCTGTTATTGTGCAACTTGATAGTCGCCGAGCAACTAGCTCACCAAGACTGATACCAAGACAATAGCTGTCGCACAGTTTGATAGTCACTGAGTACCTCGACAGACCGACCTGAGTTTCAGGCGCGAGACCCCTGACACCCAATTAGCTTCGTCAATCCCCAATGATTTGCCACTGATCAATTTGGTGCACCCTTCATATGCTAATCTGCTGACCCTGTGACATTACCATGATTGCCGCCGATCAATTTGGCACACCCTTCATACGCTGACCCACTGACCCTGTGACATTACCTTTCCCGCTGCATTCTGTGATACCGAACTTGTTCCTGTTGATCCTGGCAGATTATGCCATAGAGTCATTTCTACTACTGATCTCAGTGAACTCTGCCTTAGGCTCTCACATAGCCCGATCCTTCAATTTCTGCACTCCTCTTCATATGGCTTCAATCTTCTTGCTTCCTGCGCTTCCGGTCCCATGACATGAGGTTATATACCATTTGCGCAATGTCGCCTGTGACACTGCCTTCACTCTGGCACGCCTCCTCAACACTGCTCCTCCTTCTCTGGCGCTGCTCCTCCTCCTCTTGTCCTCCTGTTTCCTCTTACGACGCTGCCCATTGGCGTCGCTTCCCTTGCTTCCTGCAGATGGACAGTCCTTGTACTGCTTCATGACCAACAGGGGCCACTCCCACTTTGTCTGGGTGGCAACTGGCACCCCCTTTCATCCCTCCCATCCTTCTGCTCCCAAGTTCATTATCAAGCTGGCCTCCTGCTTCATCAGGGTGGCAAACTCGATGACTCCAGCATCTATTGTCTTGTGAGATCTGTGAAAACGATGTCCTCTTGCCAATTCTTGCGAGATCTGTCATATGATCCTGATACTACAGATTCCAGTGGGCTTTGCTGTAGTATCCTGCTCATACTGATGTGAGTGAGATCTGCTGTAGAACCTTTCTACTGCAGATCTCAATGAACTCTGCTGTAGACCTTTGTTTTGCCCAATCTTGCAATTCCTGCACTCCCTTCTCATATGACTTAGGTTCTTCCTACTTTCTGCGCATCCGGCCCCATGACATGGATTAGGACTTTGCATCTCACTCACCTGCCATCACCAAGTATCCCTGGTTCAAGATGTTTCACAAGATTATGTTGAAGCACCCATCTGCTGGCCCTGTCACCCTTATGACTAGTGGTGCCTACAATCCTCTTCAAGCCTCACAGTCCAGCAATGGTGATACAGGTGATGCCATGGAAGAAGATGACAATCCTTTCCCATCTTGTCACTCAATTTCTGGCCTTGAAGCCCTTGCTGAAGCTGCCCCTGACAATCCCATTGTGCCAAGAGTCCTCTCTTTGTCTAGTGCCTTCCCTTCTCCATCCATTTTGTCCATTCCCTTTGGTTCACCAGGTGCTGCTCCATGCAATCATTTGGCTAGTGCTGCCTTTGGTGTTGATCAAGGACCTGAAAACACTGGCCTCAGCTTCCCTACCAAGAAAACTTTTGCTTCCAAGAAACAAGATGACATTGCTGATCTTGTGCAAGCTTGCACAGCTGAATCTTTTCAGGCACACATCAAGGTAGGGGAGGAAAGGATGAAACAAGAGGATATGTGATTGCAGAGTCAGCAAGAGGAGGGTGAGAGGTTGGAGAGAATGTGAGCAGATGACCACTGCTCCTTCCTTGGAATGTTTCAGATGGCATGCAGTGCTAGAACTGGCCCACAGTCCAACTCTAATGTTGATACCATGCTTGCCAACATGCCTGGCTCTAGCTCCAATGATTCAGCAAGTCGCTGCCAGCACAACATCAGCAATGATGAGGTCCAGCACATCAGCAGCAATGCTGAGGTCAGCAATTCTGTGTTCTAGGCTCTATCTCTTCCATTCTCATGTAACTGTACTGTAATCCAATTGGTCAAGTGTAACTTTGTCTCTTTGCTTTGTGTCTAGACTAGAGTGATTGTGCAAACTGTCTCATGCTGCACAGCCTTCTGCACAGCCCAGAATCCAAGAAATTAAGATGATCAGGAGACACCCAGTCTGTGTTTGAGCTTTCTTCATCACCATGTCTGCTTTCACCAACTCCTCACCTCAACTCAACCTATCTTCTTGTTCTTGCTTTATTCAACATGGTTTGCACTTCTGACAAGCAGGAGCTTCTGGAGGACATTGAGATGGTGATTCTTGCAACTTTGCTTGTTGAGACTGAGCTCAAACTTGAGCTTGCTTCTACTGTGGACACCTGGCATCCAAATGATGACCTTGACAACTCAGATGATGATGATTTCAACCATGCTGTCTTACAAACTTTAATCACAACCCATTCCATCATCAACCAGGAATGATACTCCCTCCCATGCAACTATATGCCTCAACACAACCAGACACTACTTGACATGCTCAACCACTATTCCACAACCAGCTGCAAGAGGTTTTGAGGACTGGTGCACATGACACCCAAAGCATTTGAAGCACTGGTTCTGTGACTCAGCACCACAGTTGCTTTTCAACACATCACCAACTCTTGCAAGGTCAGACAACAGGTTGCAGTTGGTCTGTATTGCTTGGGATGTTCTGGCAATGGTGGTGGTGTTTGTGACATTGCATTTGCTTGTGGCTGCAATTGGGGCTCAGTGGATGCTTGGTCAAGGAGGACAGTTGATGGGCTGTATCAACTGAATCAAGAGGTAGTCACATTTGCAACAGAGGATGAGAGAGCCAATGCTTCAGCATGGGTGGTAGAAAAGTCTGGTGTAGAGGAGTGGGGCCAGGGATGGCTTGTTGCTGATGGTACACACATTAATCTTGCATGGAAGCCAGCTCTGCATGCTTGAGGGAACTTCTCATATCAAGGCAACTATTTGTTCAATGTTTCCCTGGTCTTCCTTTGACACTCACTTTGCATTGTTGAATCCATCATTGCACACCTGGGCTCTTCACATGACTTGCACATTTGGGCTTCAGGAGATAGCAGGATTGTGGCTAAGCCTTGTCTTCATCTAGACAAAGGCAAGTTTGTATGGGTTGATGCTGGGTTTGGCTTCTCTGCCTTCTCAGTACTGAAATTAAACTGCACGTAAGTGAGGCCCTTTCAACAACAACACAGCTAGCAAGAGTTGTGACATCTGATACTTCAACTACTTCCTCTCTTGTGTATGGGTTTGTGCTGAACATGGCATTGCATACCTCAAGAATTGCTTCCAATGTCTAATGGGTTACCATGGCAATCTCTATTGCAAGGAAGACCATGAAAGGGCTGCATATACTATCCAAGCATGTATTGTGGCTCACACCTTTGCAAGTCAATATGATCATCCAGACAATGTGGCTGATTACCTCTTGCATTCTTTCTCTGAAGAAGACATTGCAGATGTCACATCTGGTCTCCCTTTGTACCATCAAACAACTGAGGAAGCCAGGATTCTGCAATGAGACAATCAAGTACAATATAAGCAGATGATTGCTGATGCTACTCAAGGTATGTTGCAGAATCAGATGGACAAGTTCCATGCTGATTGGGCTGTGGATTCTCAGGGAAGAGTTGTTCAGTGCTCTCTTTGTTGCTAATGGCAGACCATTTGAGGATAGCACAGCTGTATCAAGGAGCAAAGCTATGACAACTGTGGCATATAACAAGCTCAAAGGTCAGCAGAGCAGGCAAACTGAATCTTGACAAAGAGGATGAAGGCAGAGGCAGCAGGCAGAGGGCTCAGAGCATACAGGGGATGTTTGACTGGCTTTGCAGACATAGCAATGGTAATATGAACAGTGTTAATAATGACTGTATCTACTTTGATGGTGCAATAAGAGTGTCAAAGATGGTGGAGCTACAAGGTGGTTGGTTTTGAAATTTAGCCTCTGAAAACTCAGCTTACATTTGGGGGGCACCAGTTTCTAGAGCTTGCCTGAGTATTGGAATAAGTTGAGGGAGATGTAACAAAGTAGGAATTCTGGCCAATGAAAATTTTTGCAATGGTCTCGCTCATGCACAAGTGGCAAAAGACTTGGAGATCTCTGGACTCAAACTTGTACTTAGCACACCATAATCACAGCAAAAACTCTAGCCTGCAACTGATTAAGAGTCTGAAGCTCAGCAGCTTCTAGCACTCTGCAGTCAGCAACTGCAAGCAATCAGCATGCCACCAAGGGTAGACAGTGTAGCCCTGCTCAAATGCACCATGCAGATGATCAGGGAAGCTCACACTGATTGGAATGAAGACCAAATCTTGGAGTGCACCTTCTCCATAATGAACCTTCAACCTAATACCAGCCAAGCAGAAAAGATCCCCAAGTTGGTACTCAGCATCATCTCGCAAATTGTCAAACTCAATGAGAACAACTGGGCCATCTGGGAGCCCATGTTCATGGACTGCATCCACCCAATCAAGAATGCCAAATGTATCCTCACCAGAGAGATCCCTAGTGGCCACACCAACTATGATGAAGAACTAGACAGCCATTTGCTGGGTCTCATCCTGTCCTCCTGTGACCACAGACCCACTAGCCATATTGACACTTACACAGTGTGGGAGCAAGATGAGGAAGAACAGCTCAGCTCTACACTGTACAAAAGGCTCAAGGCTGCACTCACAATCAATGACAAGGTCAAACTCTCTGCCATTCATGATTGTGTACATGAGATCAAGCTGGTCCATTGCAACATCATCAACCTTGGTAAGGAACTTGACCAAATCTGGAACAATGCTGCCAGGCTTGGCAGCTGCATGGACAAGAAGCTCAAGAAGCTCAAGAAGTCCACCCTGTACCATTGTGTCAAAGACAACTGGCTCTACACCCAGACAGTAGACTCCCTTAAAGCCACCCAACCTGGTTGTAGCTATGAATATGCCTATCACATGCTTGCCAAGAAGCATCAGGAAGCCAAACTTTCAGGCTGCATCTGTGCTGCAGCCAGAGTTGCTGGCAACAAGAATACAACAGGCCAAGCCAATGGGCCTGGGCAGATACTCAACCAAGAGGGCTACAACAGGGGTAGACATGACCCTGTGAACCCCAATGAGCCAGCAAAGTGTTACAAGTGTAGGCAACCAGGCCACATTGCAATTAACTGCACTAGCAATCAGGAGCAGACCCCCACCCAGCAGGAATAGGGATGCAGGTGCACCTCTTTCATCAGCAATACCAACAATCGAAATCAAGACAATGCATGGGTCCTCAACTCTGGAGCTACACATCACATGGTACATGATGAAGGCAAGCTCATTGCCCCAATGGCAAAGCAAGGAATTATAGATACAGCTGGGCAAGAACAATTGTGAGTGCAGGCAATAGGTGATGCAACCTTGCAAGTTGGAAATGTTAAGATACCCCTCACAGATGTACTTTATGTTCCCAGTCTTAGCAAGAATCTATTGTCTGTCCCAGTGCTGACTGAAGATGGTGCATGTGTGATATTTGAAGAGTCTGGAGCCATCATTCTCCAGCATGATGGAAGCATGGTCAAAAGCAAAACAAACCAATGCAAGAAAAGTTGGGAGGTTCATGGTGACTCCCTGGCAGCACAGCTCAATGATCCCCTTGAGGGAATTGATGCTAATACAACACCAGCAGGGCCCACAAGCCAAACAATGAGCAAACTATGGCATGAATGATTTGGTCATCCTGGCAGGAACAAGACCAAGCAAATTCAAGCTCATTACCTAGGAAAAGAAACACAGCTTGAACATGACACAAAGGATTGCAACTGTTGCAGTCAAACAAAGCAAACATGCACAAGGATGACAAGCAGCAAAACAGAGTGAGCCCAGGCACCCCTGGAACTGGTGCATATTGACTTGATGATGGACCTGCAAGGCCATCCCAACTATCACCATGCACTGGTAGTTGTAGATGACTCATCATCCTATGTCTATGTAAAGCCACTACTCAATAAGGCCAAAGCATTCCTCGCTCTAAAGGCATGGATTAAGACAGCAGAGACAGCAACAGATCACATGCTAAAATGCATTTGTAGTGATCATGGAGCAGAATGGTCAAGCTTGGCAGCAGAAGAATGGAAGCAAGAGGCAGGGTTCAAGTGGCAGAAAACCACCCCATATGTCAGTGTCCAAAATCGAAGAGCAGAGTGCACAATCAGATCTCTTCAAGAGAAGATGTGTGCAATGCTTGTCCAAAGATCAGTGCCAAAGGAACTGTGGCCCTATGCCATCATGGCTGCTGGACATACACTGAACCTGACACCCTCTGCAAATGTGAACAGGATTCCATATGAAGACTTCTACTGTAAGTCTGCACATGGTTTAGCCAAGCAACTATGTGTCTTTGGCTGCCTTGCATGGGTCCACCTCCCCAAGAAGGATCATGAAGGCAAGCATGGCACAAGAGCCTTTCCAGGTATCATGGTTGGTTATGACAATGAGCACAAGGGCTGGAGATTCTATACCCCTGGCCATGCCCCATCTATACAGTGGAGCAATTCAGCTATGTTTCATGAAGCCAAAGGATGGCATGATTGACCCAGAATGCAGAGCCCACTGCAGTTTGGGCTTGAGAGTCTTAAGGTAGAGGATGCTGAACCAGAGACAGACAGGAATGAGCCCAAACTGGAGGTGGAAGTACTTGACATGCAGGATCCACTTCTTAACACACATGCTGCACTGCCCACCAACCCTACTGATGATGACAGATTGGAGATTGCTGTCAAAGAGATGATTGGAGAGGCACATATGGTTGCCCTGAATCTCACACTGACATTAAGGGAAGCACTCACCAGTGACAATGCACAACAGTGGCAGGAAGCCATATGCAAGGAGCTGGATGGACTCAAGGCAATGGGTACATGGGAAATCATGGATATGCCACCAAATGCCAAACTTGTTGACTCCAAAATTGTTCTCCACCTCAAGCTGGATGCTGATGGCATACTTGTTCAGCACAAAGCAAGACTTGTCACACGAGGTTTTACACAGTGGGAGGGTATAGACTTTGAAGAAACCTTCATGCCTGTGGCACCACTAAGTGCAATAAGAGCCTTGCTATCCTTAGCAGTGGAGTGCAATTGGGAAGTCCACCAGCTTGACATCACAATGGCCTACCTCAACTCAACACTCAAACATGTAATCTATGTGAAACCACTGGAGGGTGCAAGGGTGCTGAATGGAAAAGTTTACTGAGTCATCAAAGGACTATATGGACTGAAACAATCAGGATGGGAGTGGAACATGGAGTTCAATAAGTTCCTTAGGCACTCAAATTTCCACAGGCTTGATTGTGCACCATGCATCTACACCAGAGGAAAAAGGGACAACTTTGCAATAGTGATCATCTACATTGACAACATGTTGACCATAGCCCCAAAGCTGGAAACAGTCAAGTGTATCAAGGAGGAAATAGGTAGCAAATGGAAGATGGAGGAGGGTGGTGATGTATCCCATTTTCTTGGGATTAAAATCTGTAGAGACTGAAAAGTGAAGACCATGGACCTCAAGCAAACCAGTTATGTCAAGCAACTACTGGATGAACACTTGGATAAGCACAGAAGAAAGTCCAGTGTACCACTTCAAGACATCCTGGTCCCAGAAACAGCAGCAAGCATAGCAGAATGGAAGGAGTACCCACAGATCATCAGCAAACTCCTGTGGCTCTCAAATGGAACATGCCCAGATATCAGCCAAGCTGTTGGTGTCCTTGCATGCTACATGACACAGCCATCAAAGGAGCATTACAATGCAGCACAGAAAGTACTTCAATATTTGGACCACACATGAGAAGTCCACTTGCAATATGGCAGCAACAAACAACAGGATTTCCTGATGGCACATAGTGATGCAAACTGGGCAAGTGATGCTACAGCACAGCATAAGAGCTCATCTGGCTCAGCAGTATTTGTGCATGGAAATCTGGTAGCATGGAAGTCAGCACTACAGTGGTGCACTGCCTTATCAGTGGTGGAAGCAGAATTTGTGGCTGCAACAGAAGCTGCATGGGAGGATCTGTTCTTTCAACATCTCTTCAAGGCCATTGGAATTGATGTTGGTACCCCCACAATCTTCTCAGACAACACCAGTACCATTCAAGTTAGCAAGGACCCCATGCAACATTGGAAGTTAAAACACATTGACACCAAGTACCACTTCATCAGAGACAATGTACAAGACAGAAAAGTCAAGATCAAGTACATCAACACCATGGACAACTTGGCAGACCTCTTTACCAAACCAGTGGGGAAAGATGTATTACAGCATGTGCAATGGGGACTAGAATTAACACTGCAGCCGATCACAGTGGCTCAGCAGTCTCCTGCTGTGCCACTGAGGGAGGCAGTTGAGGGAGATGTAACAAAGTAGGAATTCTGGCGAATGAATTTTTTTGCAATGGTCTCACTCATGTGCAAGTGGTGAAAGACTTGGAGATCTCCAGACTCAAACTTGTACTTAGCACACCATAATCACAGCAAAAACTCTAGCCTGCAACTGAATACTCGAGTTTTCGAGGGCTCGGAAAAGTTGAAACCGCCTCCAGAAAGGAAGAAGTAAATTTGCACGGAAAACCGTTTCCCGCCTCAAAATTCTTTTATCGCACGAAAGGTGGGTGAGCAACGCTTTGGTCAGGAGCGGGAAATAGAGAAGTGGACGCCACCTCGTCCTCAACACACACCATCCCATCATCCCACGAGGATCGAGTCGAGCTGTTGGAGAAGGATTAGGACAAGAATGAGCATATTGCAAAGAATAGCCCGAACGCTGGGCTTGGGCAAATGGAAATACATGGTCGGTCAGGATCTTGCCGGGAACTGTTACCTCGAATTGCCCTCTCTCTCCGGGTCGATCGATCCACGTCACACCCGACGTTCCATCCAATGGCGCGAGAAAAAGGAACTCGGCGATTACGACCAACGTTCGATCCCTGTGCAATGGGTCATGTGGTTACGCCATACACGACGGGAAGCACCGACGGTCGAAGAACTTGTTCGTGATCGTCAACGTATCCTTACCACCCAAGCTAACGCACAGAAATTGGCACTGCAAGATAGAGCAACGAGGCAAAGAGAACAGCAGGCAAGGTTGGAACAACATACCGAGGCAAAGGAGAGGGCGCAAAAGCTAATGCAGAGTCCAGTAATGGCGGAGATCGGCGCCACATTGGAGCAAGAGAGAGTGGCGCATGATGATGTTTGGGCTGCTAGTCGCGCTAGGTTAGCTGCGAACGGCCAGTTGCCGATAGAGCGCGACGGAGGCGATCCGGATTCCTTACAGCAAGCGATGGAGAGGAGGGCGGCGAGGAGAGAGGCCAAGAGTCAAGAGGAAGCGGAGAGGGAAAGGGCAAGGAGGGAGATGAGCAAGTCACCTTTGGATGCTTTCGTGCCTATGCCTAAGGCTAGAAAGTAACACCCGCTCTCTCTCTCTCTCTCTCTCTCTCTCACACACACACTACGCATCTCTCGCTGGCAAGGTACAATGCAGATATCACACACCGTCGGCATAATATCAGTCTGTACAACATCATCCTTTTCAGACTAGCCCAAAGTCTACATTAGATCAAGGCTACGGGCAGAGCAGACAGGCAAAGAGGACCTTCTTGCTGGATCGTCGGATGCGATACATATCATGGGTTTGGATGGGTTTGCGATGCTCTCTCAAGGCCATCATTGTAACAGCACAAACGGGAGTGTTGAGTTTACGGTGACAAAATTCGGAACTCGGAAAACGGATTTCGGAAGACGGATTTCGGCGAAGCATGAAGAAGGAAAAAAAAAAAAAAAAAAAAAAAAAAAAAAAAAAAAAAAAAAAAAAAAAAACCCAAAAGTTTTCAGCTTCTTCCTCGATCACCACAACCACCATCGCCCTCTATCCTCTCGCAATGGCAGTCATCTCACCAGTCGAAGAGCCGGCTCCTACCCCGGCTGGCTCCTCATCCCGCACTACCCTCCCAAAGCCGCCACGGCGAACGTCGGACTTCACGTACGCGCAACCTCGCAATGCACCTCGCGATCTGGACGCCACTCTGGCATCATGGGATTCCGTTCCACTCTTCATGCGCAATCTGCCGGACAATACCTCCTCCTCGAACGGTTCCTCTTCCACCGAAGATACTTCTGGTACAGCTTTAGAAGCGCTCCAATCACTCGTCTTTGACGCAACGCCCGACGAGGTCGCTTCTCAATTCAAATGTCAAGCAGACGAATATTTCCGTTCTCGTCGCTTTCGAGAAGCTCTTGGCTTTTACAATCAAGCTGTTGAAGCCAATGCTTCGGATAATTCTCTTCTCGAAACAATCCATGCTAACCGAGCAGCCTGTCAACTTGAATTAGGAAACTTCGCCAGTGTCTTGAGGGATACGAGTAAAGTGTTGCAGTTGAATGCCAGCAATGAAAAGGCTTATTACAGAGCAGGCAAAGCTCTTTTAGCGTTGGAGAGGTATGAGGATGCCCTTGGCTGTTTGCATTTGGGGGTTCAGGTTGGTCCGGATAATAGGGAGATGGGCAGTCTGAAGAAGCAAGCGGAGGAGAAACTAGCGAAGAAGAACAAGTGCGAGCAAGAAAGGCGAGAACAGCAAAGGAGGCAGCAAGGAATCCAAAAGGCGCTCCATCAAGCTCTATTAGCTCGTGGATTGTGGTTGGAAAGTACAAGTCGACCTCCAGATAACCCGAAACCTGTTCATTTCGATCCGCAGTCCCTGGCTCCCTCGTGCGACCCGGGGAATCTTGCACTGACCTCGGCCTGGAATCCGCCAGATATCATCCGCACTCCTCTAGTAATACCGGTATTCTTCATCTACCCACAACACGCCCAAAGCGATTTCATAAGCGATTATCACGAAGACACGAGCCTGTCCACCTACCTCTCTATCATGTTCCCACTCAAAGATCTCGGTAAACTACCATGGGACACCAGACGCGAATACCACGAAACCAACCTTCGAGTCTATGCCAGCACCAAGAGAAAGAGACTCTTGAAGATCGGTAAGAAACTTACACTGCGCCAGGTCATGCATCACGCTTTTAAACAAGCCGATCAGGGTAGAGGTCAAGATAGCCTGGAGCATCGAGATGGTTTGGTAATGCGCGATGGGGTTTTGAGTTTGCTTGTTGTGCCTAAAGGAACGGCGGAGGAGGAGTGGGTTGCCAGTTTTAAGGCTGAGAGGGAGAGGGAGAAGGCGGAATTGTAGAAACTGCATGTCCTGTGTGCAAAGATGCATGCGTGTCTATTGCAAAAGACGAGCGGTTATGGCTGTGTATGAGGTTGCAATTGTGATCCTGAGCTTTCTTGACCATCCTCTTCCGATCCTGTGGGTGCGGTCGCTGTGAAATTACTAGAACTGGCTTCGAGTAAAACACTCTGGCTACCCACAAGTGCGGCAAGGTCACCTGATTCGACTAACATTCCATCTTCCCAACCACCTTGACCATCTTGACGCTGTACAAAAAGGCCTTGCTCTTCTCGCGTATGATCTGCAAAGAGAGTACTGGCAGCAGCATTGAAATCAGGCAACTGGATTGCACTGGCGCCTTGTTGTACCTCGGTTTGCGGTGTACCAAGGGAAGAAAACATGTGAAACTGATCTTGCAATTCCAATCTTGAATCCTCCAAAGCCTTGCTAGAGCTGAGATTGGCTGCTTCGACTTGAGCGGCGACTAGAGTTGCAGTTGGGGGCGGGCGGTTGGAGCTGGAGAAACTGTTGAAACTCCTTGCTTTTTCTTGGTCCGCTTGGGTTGTGTTTGAGGGAGGTGGGTGACGAGAGCGTCTACTTCTTCCTTCAGCAGAAGGTGAACTGGGTGTAGGCAGGATATCACCTGCCTCCTCAGCTTCCCTAGCCAACGCAGCAAGTTCATCCATCTCATCCATCTCCTGTGCGCCTCCCACTCCCACTCCTGGTCTTGCAAATGGTCCCATACCCGCCTGCTCCGCCACCATCCCCTCAACGCCAAGTTGACGAGCAAGTTTCGTGCGTCTCTCATGGTTAATGCTAGCCCTATGCTCGCGCGTGCGTTCTCTATCTCTTTCTTGCGCCTGGAATTGATCCCACAATGCTGCTTTTCTTCTCACCTGCTGGCCCTCTGTAATCTCCTTCTGGTTCCTCTCGAACTCTCTCTGCCTCTCTATGCTGATCATCTTGATCTTCCACCGCTCTATAGCATCTTGCAGAGCAGCAGAGTGTAGAGCGAGTCCCTGGGAAAGTTGCGCTTCCAATTGAACAATTCGTGCTTCTGCAGCCACAGCACTTGCTTGAGCAGAGGTGGATGAGGCAGAGGCTCGATCATATAGGGTTCGTAAGAAATCGTGTTGTGCTTCTGCTTCTGACCTTTGCTTTTGCAAAGTCTTGTTGTTGGATGTTAAGGATTCGAGTTCTTTATTTGCCGCTTCTAGTTTGGATTCAAGTAGGATTATCTGCGCGTTGGCACTCTCCAAATCTCCTACACCGCCAACAACCGCCGATGTAGGGGTGTTGTGAAGTTGCGAAGAAGAAAAAGAAGAAGAAGAAGAAGAGTTCCATTTCCTCCCATTGCAGTCGAACAGCACGCTATACCTTCGATCCGCCCTCAGAAGACCAGCTAAACTCTCTTCCAACTCATGCACCTCAAACGTACCCCCGACGGTATCCAACAACAAAATCACCGCCACCCCTCCTCTCCCTTGCGATTGAGATTGCTGGGTCAACTTGCCCACTCTCTCCCCTAGCTCTCCTAACGATTCGAGGGTGGAGGAGGGGGTGGGGAGTAGGAGAAGATCCATGACCCAAGTTTGTTTGGTTCGTAAAAATCCATCTTCTTGCGTCTCTGAGTCGTCGTTTTGCGATTGCGATTGCGATTGCGATTGCGATTGCGATTGCGATTGCGAGTTGCTCCGACGACGGTGCGAGCGGGGGGAACGTTGCGATTGCGATTGAGACTGGGAGCGGCAAAAGGATGCGCGATGGGCACGGAAGATGAATCGTTCTATCTCGTCTTTTAGGAAACTTGGGATGTGTGGGGATGCATGCATCAACGAAACAAGTTCGGGGCGGGGAAGAGTTGACCATCCCACCAACGCTGCGCCTGAGCAAGTTGTTGAAGCGGAGGCGGATGTCGATGGCTGTGTTTGCTGTGCAGCTGAAAGGGGGGCCGCGGGTAGTGCCGGTGTGGATGACGGAGGTTCTGGTTGTGAAGGGATTGGTTCTAGTTCTGCTTCTTGTTGCAACGGTGCGAGCGGAGGGGCACAAGTGAGTGCTGGTTCCCAAACCCCACCCTGGTCATGATCGAAGGCAGGTGCAGGAATCTGACTCAAGACCTCTCCACTAACATATCCCTCTGCATAGGGATTGCTATTTTCCGCTGTCAACGGTGGCAAAACCCACGTTCCGATCCTCGGAACCTCCTCCGGCCTCACCTCGACCGCCTCTGGCGGAGAAAAAGATTGAACGGGACTACTACTCTCGCCCTCCCTAAGCCCATCGTCATTACCGCTTGTCCTTCTCCCCCTCTGCTTTTCCTTTTGCGCAATTCGGTCCTCAGCGAACTCAAGATGCAAGCCAGTAGTATCGTCTAGAAACGGCTCGAACACCGACGCTGATATCGCAGGTAAAGGACGCATGCTGGCGCCGGTGGAATTAGAAGTATCTTGTTGAGTGCAAGGTAGGTATTCGCTTCCACTCTGCACTGGGTTGGGTGGTGCCGGTTGGGAGCTGCTGAACAGAGAAGCGGGGAGGGAGATCTGTGAGTCGCCAAGTTGAGAAGAGGGGAGATGGGAAGCGTGGTATGCAGCCATGGCTGATGATGAGGGTTGGGGCACTTGGACGTATACTCCGCCTCCAACATGTTGCGAATCGTTGTTTGTTGGGTGCGGCCGGAGTGCGGATTCTGGTTCTGCTGTACGTTTTCGTTTCAACCCCGGCGGCGCTGTGGAGGGTGAGGGCGGTTGCGACATGATATCTCGCCTACCGCCTTCGGAAGGATGATAGATGGTGGTGGTGGTGGTGGAAGATGCAAAACGAGGGTCCAAAACCAACCGACCGCATGTCACGCCTGGGCACCTTCTCGTGCGAATAGATGGCATTCCGCACGAGAGAGTTGGAATTCCCATCGTTGCTTATGTAACATCGCATTCATGAATTTTCTCCCCTTTCTGTTTTCCCGATTTCCGAAATCGCACATCCACCTCGGTTGACGGATGGAGATCGCCTCACAGCTAGTTTGCTTTCTCGTCAACACGCGTCGCATCATAGAAGCAGAAGAGCAATGTTGCCTTCTCTACAACTATCCTCAGGCCGAGCGCTAAGGTTGACAATGTACACAGGCACAAACTGTTCGCTATGCGATCTGATGAAGCAACAGATCGAAATCGCATCGCAAAGTATGCCTCAGATCCAACTCTGCACTTACAACATTCGCGACGATTCGCTGGCGCAAGTTCATGTTTGGCGGAGGAAGTATCAGTATGATATTCCTGTGCTACATTTGGGCGATAGAGGTGAGTGCGCAATTCCGCCTCCGTTCTTCTCGAATGCGGACTGTCGGCTGATCAACAGATTTCGAGTTTCGTCATGTGAGCGCTTAGAGATCTTTCGACACCGAGTAAGCGCAGAAGATCTGGTCAAGAGGCTGCGGGAAGAATTGGACGAGCGGAAGGATAAAGAGTAAGAGTAAGAGCAAGTGCAAGAGCAAGAGCAAGTGCAAGAGCAAGTGCAAGAGCAAGTGCAAGAGCAAGTGCAAGAGCAAGAGCAAGAGCAAGAGCAAGGATTGCAGGCGTGAGAACTGAAGGGGTATATGGTACATCGAATGCAGGTCGGAAAGAAAGGACAAGGCGGCTGAGGCAGGAGCTTACTGTTGAGCAGTAGCATTCGGATCCTAACCGCGCGGACGAATGGCAAAATTGTATAAAGAGCAAGGATGTCAGCTTGCTCCTCCTCTCCTGGAATCAATAGCTCTCTGAAGGGTAATGTACATACCTGCAGCACAACAAGAAGGTACTTGTCATTAGGGGACACCATAATCTCAAACCTCTTCGTCCTGACTCTCAAAAACGCCAACTGATCTCCTCCATTGCCCGCTTCCCCGTCCAGCGCCTCCAAATCCTCACTCAGACCCTCAACACTTGTCTTGACCAACTTGGTGACTGCCTTCAGCAACTGCGCCCTCCCCTTGGCACCTGGACCACTGGGGTCGAACATTGCACCTCCGCTTCTAATCACCAAACCATCGTGTCGGGAAAGGACGAGACAGCCGAGTACGCCTTGATGAGAGGAGAGGCGGGTTAGGGTTGCTTCGATCTCCGCTGGTGGTGCTGAGGTTGACGTCGAAGAGGACGGCATTGGTGACTTGCAGTTCGGTGATAGAGACGATGTGGAGAATGGACGAGGAGCAGAGGTGGAAGAGGGATGCGAGGCGGGGGCGATGATTGAGATATGACCGGGCGCTGGTGCGAGGGGTTGCGTCGAGTCCGTCTGTCTCCATCACCAGCGATACCGAAGAGGGTTGCGAGTCAGTACACAACGAAGACTTGGCTGCTGATTTTGGGATCGACACCTACCATTCTGTACAAGACACGTTCTGATATGAGGGCAAAGATGGTGGAGAGAAAGCAAGAAAGGTGAGAGAGATGCAAGAGATTTGAGGATATTTTCTCTTATCGCTCCACATCTCCCTTCCCCACCTTTTTCTGTCTAAATGTCTATTCATATATACATTTCGGTTGGAGGAAAACGACACAGTGGGAGAGGCTTAGTGGTTTGGCGTGAGATTGCAACTTATCTTCTTAAAGAAAGGCGCCTTTATTAAACATCTTGAGGTCGTGGGTTCGATTCCCACCTTCCACTTTTCTTTTTATTCCATTTCCTTCCCCTGCCAATTCTATCGGAACACGGACAAACATCTAAAAAGCAAGACTATTTTGCTAGGAACAGGCATCTTAATTACCGACCACCATAGTCCCCCAAGGCAACGAACAAAGAACATATCGAAGATCCCACTTTCTAACAATCTAGGGCAACAAAGAGAACAACAACGTTGTCAAGATGCCGATGATCGAAGTTCTAGCAAACGATAGGTTGGGTCGTAAAGGTTGGTCTCCCTCGCACATCCGCTGCGCAGCTTTACCCTGGTGCAGGACTTTGTTTTGTCAAAAGTACTCACACGCAATCCACCTGTTTCTCTCTCTCTCTCTCCTCACTCTGGCCTGATTCGGCGCCGGGTTAGTGAGGGTAAAGTGTTCACCGCAAGACACAATTGGAGATCTTAAAAAGCTTATTGCTGCTCAAACTGGAACTCCGCCTGAAAAAGTATGCCCCCCCACCCCAAGCTCCTCGTCCCAGGTACACCTCGAGCTTTGTTTCTTACGAGAAAAGTGGTAGCTGACATAGACTGTGGTCATGGATGTTGCGTTGCGACGTTACAGATCATTTTGAAAAAATGGTATACGGTATACAAAAACCACATTACGCTTGCAGACTATGAAATCGCAGATGTAAGTATCCCTGCCAGCCTGCATCGTTGCTTTGAGGTATAGAAGAAGCAAAGCGGAGAGCAAGAGCGTTACAAGCTGACAAAACGATCGATTTGTTGGCCGTTTGCTTCGTCTTAGGGATTCTCTTTTGAGATGCAATAAAAGTAAACCCAACGAACAAAGTAGAATTTAGGTATGACTAATCAGAGGCCACAGTCAGGTGCTCTCACAGTTGTACAATCTAGATAAAGGCTTAATCATTTATTTTGGTGAGGTGGCAACTAGGCTAGGAGTATATATACATGTCCTAGGCACCCAACTGTGCTCACTTTGTTGAGTCATGCCCATATGCCATGTACCTTCTTTCATATGTGTTGTCATACCAACATACCTCCTGCATACCATGGTGTCAATTGTTGTGCATAGGTTACATTAGTTCCCCACTAGCTTTGCATCCTGCTTGTCTTCCTTGTTGCCCAATATCTTCCTGGTTCCCTGATCCTGTGAGCTCCCATTTAATATGTCACACACTGGCAATGCTGGTGCATCTTCAACTCCCCTCCTCAACAGCATATCCAATCCCATCATTCTCAATATCCTTGTCATGTTGAGTCCCTTGAGAGGCTTTGTGAGTATGTCAGCCACATTGTTGGCCATTCCAACAAACTTGATCAATATGTCACCATCTTGCACATGGTCCCTAATGAAGTAGTATCTGGTGTCAATGTGCTTGAGTTTCCAGTGCTTGGCCAGATCCTTGCTGACCTGTATACATCCCTGACTGTCAGTGTGTAAGACTGGTTTGACTCCCATGATTCCTAGATCCCTGAGTAGGTACAAAAAGAAGAGCATTTCTCTCACTGCCTCCAATGCAGCTACCAGTTCCACCTCTACTGCCAACAATGCTACACATTTCTGTATGTGTGACTTCCAGCTAACTGGGCACCCATATATGTATGTGACTGCCCCAGACATACTCCTTTGTCCATTGGTAGGGTCTGAGGCCCAATTTGCATCAGTATATGTAACCACCAGCTGTTTTGCATGCTTCCTATGCATCCCTCCAAGCTCCAGATGATATTTGCTTGTTTGATTTAGATACTTTAGCAAGTGTATTGCTGCTTGCCATGCACTATCAATTGGCTCCAACATGTATCATGCTAGGGTTCCAACCATAAATGAGATGTCTGGTCATACTGTATTGGATACCCATAGTAGTTGCCCCACCAACTCCTGATATTGTTTAGCTCACTCTGGGGTGCACTTGTTTCCTCTGACAGTACTTACAATGCTTTGCATTGGTATCCATGACTTTTCATTTGACTTCTCCAACCATTTGCTTACCATGCCTTTAATATATGCTGTGTCATGGGCCTGGATGCTCAAGAAGCAGGAGGGTCACGGGTTCATATGGAAGGAGCACAGGTATCGAAGATCTAGTCGAGATCAGTAGAGAGCATGGTCATAGTGCAGTCTCCATGGAGACCATGGACTCCTATGGACTCACATGCAAAGGAGGGCCAAGCACAGCCACGAGGAGGACCAAGCTCAAGGAGCAGGCACAGCCACGAAGAGGACCAAGCTCAAGGAGCATGCAGATGGTTACCACTCAGGGGCTCGAGAGACAAGAGCCAAAGGAACTGTCACTGATCAAAGGAGGAGGAGCAGTGTCGAAGGAGTCGACACCAGGTCATGAGGAGGAGGAGCAGTGTCGAAGGAGTCGACACCAGGTCATGAGGAGGAGGAGCAGTGTCGAAGAGTCGACACCAGGTCATGAGGAGGAGGAGCAGTGTCGAAGGAGTTGACATTGGGTCATGAGGAGGAGGAGCAGTGTCGAAGGAGTCGACACAGCTCAAGAGGCACAGGGGTGCCAAGCAAGCAGGATAGCTCAAGGAGGACAGGAGTGGTGCTAGAGGGGCCCCTGTACAGTACTTGATGAAGAAGGTACTCTCTGGAGAGAGAGAGCAGGAGCAGTGTTGCTGGCAACACTGTGAAGAGGTATATAACCATACCTTCTCATCATCAAAGGTTGAGTGGATCCTCAACCACTCTACACACACCATAACTAGTTATCACTTCAGCATAAGTATACATTAGTTTCAGTCAGCATAGTAGCAATCTATCAAGGTTGCTCCTCATTGTAGTGCATGTGTTGTATCACCACTACCTGACATCCGAAGGCAGCCCATAGCAGGTCAGCAGTCCAGATATAGATAGAACTGAAGGCAGCAGTCCACTGTGGTCTGGGGATCACCTCAAGCATTAGTCAGCACACTGGACACTTGTGTTGACGCCACTGAACTACCACCAACGCCACCAACCTTATCATCAACACCATCAACCTTGTCATCATCATCAACACTCACACCAGACCTTGGTGTCATCATAACCTACATATTGATATTGATCGTGCTGAGCTACCCCTGAACAGAGTGTCCACAGAGGTCAGCCGAAACCTACGATAGTATATACAATGAATGCCACCCACTGTCATTGCACAACTTAATAGTTGCCGAGCAACTAGCTTGCCAAGACTGATACCGAGACAATAGCTGTCGCACAGTTTGATAGTCACCGAGTATCTCGACAGACCGACCTGGGTTTCAGGCGCGAGACTCCTGACATTTCCCTAGCGGCACTTTGGTTCCAACGGGTGGCTTGAGGTAGACATCATGGTGTAGACTCAAGTTCAAGGAAGCCTGCTTAACATCAATTGAGTCAACCTCCCAACCCCATATGGCAGCAATTGCCAGCACTCCTCTGATGGATTGGATGGGTGCCATGGGTGCAAAGATCTCTGTGTAATCTATGCCCTCCCTTTGCATGAACCCTCATGCCACTAGCCTTGCCTTGTACTTTGTGGGAATCAGATTTGCATCCATTTTGATCTTCAACACCCAATGCATGTTGACTGTGTTCATACCATGCAGTAAGTTGGTGGTCTCCCATGTACCCATCGCCTCTAGCCCTTCCAACTCTTTGTGCATTGCTTCCTCCCAGAAACTCTTGTCCTCTCCAGCCAGTGCTTCCCAAATGGTTGGGTTGAAGCTCTTTTCCTTCTTCTGGAGCCCCACTGTCATTAACCCAAAAGTGGGCTGTGCTTTGGGATTCACCTCTTCATATCCTTCCTCCCCAATTGTTGTCTCCATATCTGCATGTTCATCTAGGGGCTCTTGCTCCCTTTCATCAAAGAGATTTTCCTTGGTATATCCTAGGTTGGTGAGATCCTCCTCACTGCCTGGGATTGGTGGTGGTCATATGTCAACTGGTTTCCATTCAGTTCAGTCCAACCAGCATTGGGTCTCCATGAACCTTGCCAAATTGCTCCAGAAGATACTCAGGTTGTAATCAGGGCTGTAGAACAACCACCCCTTTCTCTCAAGGCTATATCCTATGAATATGGCTGAGACTGCTCTCTGATCTAACTTCTTATTGTGTCTCTTGGCTTTTGGGATGTTTACCCATGCCAGGCACCTGAATACATGCATGAGACATATGAACAGCTCCAGCAACTTTCTGAACATTAGCTGATAAGGAAACTCTCTGTCAACGTTGGGAGTTAGGTTCATCTTGAAAGCTGCTGCCTGAATTGCATATGGCCAAAAACCTTTTGGTAGATTCCTCTGTATCAGTAATGTCTGCATCTTCTCACCTAAACTCCTGTTCATTTGTTCCACTTGCCCATTTTGCCAGCTGTTATATCCTACAGTGGTTTGCCATTCTATTCCTTTTACCAGTGTCCATTCCAGTGCCTCATTGGTTCTCCATTCTGTTCCTTGATCAGATCAAATTGCCTTTACCATCCTATCTGTCTGTGTTTCTAAGAATGAGACAATCCTTTTAAGCTGCACAAATGCATGACTTTTTTGTAGTAACAGTTGTACATGCACATACTTGCTATAGTCATCAACCAGCACCAATATGCATGTGTACTCCATTACATGAGATGAATCGATGATCAAATCAATGTGGATGAGGTCCAGGGGCCCAGTGGCTCTTTTGCTGCTACCTTGCCCCATTCTGGCAACCATACTTTTGGATTGCATACACAGCTCACATGTCAAAGCTGTCTCTGGGTCCAATGCTACTACAGGTCCACCTTTTAATTTATCAATGATTGCCCTGGACTTATCTTGACCTGGATGCCCCAGTCACTTGTGCCAGAGCTGTTTGATGGGGATTTTTGGTCTCTGTTCGGCTAGCTCAAACTCTTCATCAACCCCTTCAAACAGTGGTGTTGGTGCAGCCATTGCACTTTGTTGCCATGTATCACCTCGGACCTCTAGTAGTCCATGCTCATGATTCTTTGCTATCTTTAATAGCATTCCATTTGCTAAATGTATTTGTCCCCCTCTAGGGTCTAGTGTCACATGTGCTCCTTCATCTGTCAATGAGTTGGTTGATAATAGGTTGACATTGAGGTTGTGAACATAAAGAACATTATGGAGTAGTATCTCTCTGTACTTTGTTGATATGCTAATGTCCCCTACAGCAGTCACTTCTAAGATTTCGCTTCCAGCAGTGTACACATGCTTTCTGCACCTTCTTGGATGAATAAGCATACTGTAGTCATTGATCATATGGAAGCTTGCTCCCAAATCCAAGACCCAATGGTTTGCTTGGTCCAATTTTGAGAGCTTTTGCCAGCTTGGGGTGAATGAGCACCAGACTTCCTAGTTGGTCTTGGCAAGGGGGGAGTTTTTGGGGATGATGACAGAGGCATCACACTTCCTGGTGCCATGCCCATAACATCTGCATACCCAGCAGCAGATCCTCCTTGGTTTGGTCATAGCCTTTGGGTTGTCATCATCCACTTCAGCATTACCATCCTGTTCATCACTGCCAGCCATTCAGGCACTTGCTTGCTGGGGGTCCACCTTTTGTGCAGGAATACTTTCAATCGCAGACTGGTGCATTGTTAGGGCAGTGGTGAGGGCATCAAAGCTGACCTGGTGAATGGTAGTGACCATCTCCTTGTAAATGGGATGTTGGATCGTGCACCTTTGGAGTGCTGCATAAATAGCATCATCTCCAAAGGGTGCTCCCAGGAGGCTTGTCTCTGTCTGCATGATCCTAATTTCTTGAATTAGCTTTCATGCATCAGCATTGAACATCTTGACCTCATTGAGCTGGGCAAGGAGTGCAATTCATCATGAGGTCCTGGTGGCTTCACTGGGTCAAGCCTTTCTCAATCTTTGTCCAAGTTTGATGAAAGGTTAAGTAGGTCTTGCTGATATCAAGCAGTAAGTATAGGATGTTGTGTTCTCCTTCAGTGTCCAACATGCTATGTAGGACACCCACCAGAGCATCATCAAAGGTTCTATTCCACTTTGGATGGTTACTGTCATATGGTCCCTTCAAGGTGCCTTATAGCATAGGGGACAACTCTAAGGTTGGCTTTGATGAGGGTACTCCAACTATAATAGTTTCATGATGTAAGTTTGGGAACTGCCTCCATGATCTTGGCTATGGTATGGTAGTCATACTGCTCATTTTCATCATCAGTGTCAGACCCTTCTTTGGCTTCATTGAACTCTGTTTCATTGCCATCAGTGACCTCATCATCAATCTGTACTTGTTGGACCACCTTTCCTTTTCTTCCTCCTTTCATCCTCTTGGCCACTTCACTCATGCTGCCTTGGTGATCTCCTTCTCCTGCCATGGTATGAATGTTGTGGGTTCAAGCCCCATGTTGGGAGCCAGTAGAATTTAGGTATGACTAATCAGAGGCCACAGTCAGGTGCTCTCACAGTTGTACAATCTAGATAAAGGCTTAATCATTTATTTTGGTGAGGTGGCAACTAGGCTAGGAGTATATATACATGTCCTAGGCACCCAACTGTGCTCATTTTGTCAAGTCATGCCCATATGCCACATACCTTCTTTCATATGTGTTGTCATACCAACATACCTCCTGCATACCATGGTGTCAATTGTTGTGCATAGGTTACATTAGTTCCCCACTAGCTTTGCATCCTGCTTGTCTTCCTTGTTGCCCAATATCTTCCTGGTTCCCTGATCCTGTGAGCTCCCATTTAATACATCACGCGCTGGCGATGCCAGTGCATCTTCAACTAACAAACATTCCATCCTGAGAGACCGGGAATATTTATATAAAAAAAAAGAATGCATTGACGGGGACTCGAACCCCGGTCGAGTCGAATCGAGTGGATTTACACAACTATTTGGTGTATGAGACTGGCAACGACTCATGATACCCCTACACTATCAATGCTTCCATATGTACCCTATCCACCAGTGTCGATATAATCCATAGTATTTGTTGCTACCTTCTCGCCTCCCTTCTTTCTCACTCTATCCACACTCAGCATGGTTTGCATCACACTCGAACAAAGACGGCGGAAGAAGTTGATTGTGAATGGCACGACAAACCACAGAAGGAAGGTGTTCAACGCTAGAACGGCAAAGCCTGTCTGTAAGCAATGAAAGCATGCAAATTCTCCACTGCCTCCTCGGCTGCTTCTCTCAGACTGACATGTCTTCTCCTATCCACGCTCCTTGCCAACGTTTTACACCTAAACAGTGTCGGTCTGATGCTGGACAGCAACTGTGCTTCTCTAAACGCGAGAGCATCGTAGTGGCTCTTTTCATCGGCGTAGGTATCGATGATTCCGTTGACAGCTGCTATCATGCTTTCCGCATTTGTTCCACTGGCGCTCTCGCTCGGGCTTTCAGCGATGCTCTCGAGGATGGAAACCAGAAAAGTCCCGATATGGGCGTTGAGCGTGGGATGAACGAGGGGGGAACGAGCAATGGTGGATAGGAGGAGGATGCATTTTACTCTCATGCCATCCGTGCTAGCTGACGAATAACCAGTGATGAGGGCGGTGATGATTTCCGAAGAAACCGCAGAGGCATCTGATACGCAAAGCGAGGTAGGAGAAGAGGGGGTGGGGGAAGAAAGCGGAACCGATCCTTGGAGAATGCGAGCAATAGACCAGAGCGTTCCGATGCATGTTTCTACCATTCCCAATCCATCCTTACCTTCCTTCTCGCCCATGGTGGTGCTGGTAGATACGGCGATGGAATCCGTTGGCGTACTCAGGCTGACGTTAGCTACGGCTGGCACGCTTGCGCAACCACGAGCTATCTCGAACAACGTTGTCCAGATGCTCTTCAGGCTTTCTTCCTGCGCTGGTGTTTGGGTCCAGGTGCGGAAGGCTGCGATTCGACGTAAGATGTTCGCATCCGTTGCTGGCTGGGAGGGTGGAGGTGGAGAAAATGCGGCAAGGCGCAAAAGGAGGTTGTTGAGAACGGATAGGGAACGGAGATGCAATCCCCTCAACAAGCCGGATGCGCGGCTTCCAGGATTCGAGGTTAGGGAGGGGAAAGAAGCTTCGAACGGCCTAGCTAGCGTCAACAGCGCTGAAATCAGAGAGGGCGAGTTGGTGGTCACAAGACTAGTGAGAAGGGGAGCATAGGCAGTAAAAGCAAGTGTACCCGTACGTTTAACTGCATCTGCAAACGTATCGCCACGAGACAAAGTTAGACCCATATCGTCATCATCACCACCCTCCTCACCTTGATCTTGGGCCTTGTCTTGTATCCCGGGGGCTTCGCAATGATGACCAATATCCATCTCCTCGTCTTCTTCTTGATCGGCATCTGGATCCTCTAACCACTCATCATCGCCTCCTTGCTCCTCCCCAACCGCACTTGCATTAGCGTTGCAATCAAACGAGGCAGCCATCTCGGCCAAAAGCTCGAGCGCCAACATCAACGTCTGTGCCTTCTCTTCCGCCTTAGCCTGCATCTTGGCCCTCACTTCTGCCTCATCTACATCCTTAGTTCCGTCGAGCGAAACAGCTTCGTCGACGTCACCGCGCCCATCAAGGTCGTCGGCTAACTTGGTCATTTCCACTCCGCACAAAAGGCGGGTGAGGGTGGGGAGAACGATGGATTCTTCGTACTTTTTCAACGTCATTCCCTCCCCACCGGCATTGTTCGCGGAGAAGGGGATGGGAAGGAAGATGTGCGAACAAGTGATCCGAGGAGCAGCGTTCTTGCGTGCCTTGCCACCACGGCAAGAAGAAGCAGCTTTAGCATCGACTGCAGCAGCAATATTCCTGAAAATACCAGCAGATAGTACACCGAGCATAGTAGTCTGCGAAAGGATATATCGCTTGAGCTTGTCCATGTTGGACTGGTCGGTTTGGACGCAAGCTTCGAGGAGGCTAAGTGGCGATTGGATTGCTGTGAGACAGCGGGTTGCTGCTGCTGGTTGTTCGGATAGCGATTGCGCCAGAGGTGCCAAGTCTGCAGCTGGGGTGGGGTCAAATTTGCCACCTTTCTTCTTGCCCGCAGCCGCAGCCGATTTGGAAGGGGAAGAAGGAGTCCTACGAGAAAGCAAACCATCAAGGAAATCGGCTTCTCCTCCATCGGTTAGTGCACATAGTGCATTGCCCGATGCCAAAGCCAAATCCAGTAGCAGGGAAAGCTCTTGGTTGGAAAGCACGGCTAGAGTCTCGCTCGAGTTTGAAGCGGCTCTCGAACCATGGTCTGGAGCAGTAGAGAGTACAGCAGCAGCTCTCGAACCCAAAGCAATCGCTGACGACAACCAGCAAGCTAAACCTTGGCCGCTCAGCTCTTGATCGGCAGCACCTGCACCGACGAGATCTTGGTCAAGCCACTTCCATGTGGCAAGTTTAGCGAATGCTTTGTCGCCCGATTCGCAAAGACACCATACGAGCGTGACGAGGTTCTCAGCGGTCTCGATGAGGCCTCTGCGCGTGTTGCTGTCGAGGCTCAGGAATGGTTCTCGGCGGTTGTTGTGCCAAGTTGCGGTATTTGCGCTGGTGTCGATGGATTGGTTTGCATCGCCATTACGGCTTAAAGGGTGGGAGCAAGTGAGTTTGCGCTCATCATCGGCAGACAACGCCTGGCCGGCAACTTGTTCGAGGGTCTTAGCAAGAGCGGTAGCGAGTTTGGTTGCCTGTCGCTTTTCCTTCTTATTCATCTTGTCGAGTGGTTTAGCTAGCAGCGCGCGCTTGGCCTCAAGATGCTGCTCTGGGGTAGGAGCATCGTCGATCAAGGACATGGAGGAAAGAGTACTGTCGAAGCCAAGTGCATTACTAGCCCATCTCAAGGCTGCCAGGATAGCTGCCACGCCACCTTTATTGACCACCTCATTCCTAACATCAATGCCTGCATCCACACAAAGATTACGCAATGCACCACTAGCCTCCCTCCTCACATCGACCTGTGTATGCGACTGAAGAGCGAAAATCAGCCTGCCCACGAGATTGTGAGCTAAGAGCAGTTTGCGATGCTGCTTGACCTGAGCAGCGGACTGAGTCGAGCTGACGGAGAGAAGCAGCGAAACTGATGCCAGGGACCATACTTTATCAGCCAAGTTGATCGAAGGAGCATCAGCAGCTGTCGGTCCATCGGCAAGGTTAGCGAGGAGAGGAACGATATCGTTGGATGCTGACGTTTTGCTTGGATCGCCACCGTCGGTTGCTTTGGCAACTCCTTGGAGGGCATCGAGGGTAGCAGATGAGACGACAGAGGCGGAAGCGGGTGAGTTTGCTGCGTTACGGTTGGCTAAAGATTTGGAAGAGGAGGAAAGAGGATTGTGTCGATGTAGTTTGCGCTGATGACGCTGTGGATCGAAGCCTGATTTGGGCATTTTGGCGGATGCTAAGTCTTTCTTTCCCACGGTGTGATGATGATGATGAGGAGGAGGAGGAGGAGGAGGAGGAGGAGGAGGAGAAGAGAAGAGAAGAGTGATGGTGTAAGAAGAACAAGGTCTGAGAAGAAGAAAGTCTGAGAAGAAAGTGTCACAACCTCGAAAAAAGTGCATTTTTCTCACGTGACTCGTATTCTGTGTTTTCTATTTCGACCTAACATTTTCTGCACTTGACCGTGCTGGAAATTACGATCCCGTCCGATGCTGCAAAAAGAAGACTTAGTTTCGATCAGATCGGGAATCGGGCAAAGCTACAGGGGAGGGATCGGGTACAATTGTGTGCCACTTGGTGATCAAGGAGGATGACACTTTGTTACTGCCACCCATATTCTTTCTCCCAGGTCAATATAGTATAGTGCTTTTGCTCAATAACTTCAACACTGTGCTTAGACTGTTGTCGACGGCTGAGTGTCGAGACTGCAATAAGGATCGAATATGATGATGCAAGTTGACGTAAGCCGATCATACTTTCCACAGACCGAAGAATTTTTATATTATGTGGAGCAGCGATGATATTCGGAAGATGTTAGAGCGAAGCCTCGCAACACGGATGAGAACCTCTCTCGAAGCAGAGAGAGCCTTGGATGATGTGGCCAAGATGGCAATGAGACACCATGCTCAGTTGTACACCGGCGACCAAACGTGACAGGCTCAGCATCAAGCTCAGCTGGATCCAGTCGATCCATGCAGAAGCTCATGTCAAGCAAAACACAGAGCTGAACTATGGATCGGATTGGATTGCTAAGGCGCGAGCGCTACAACTGTTACGGCACTAGAGTTGATCATTCGACGCTACTTGTGCACATCGAGTGCGCAGGTCTAGTGCTTATCAGCAGTCTCATAAGAGCAAATCGCCTCAACCTTGGCAGCGCTTGCACTGGTGGGGTCAAACTTGTAAGCCAACCACTCCTTGGCCAACTTTCTAGCCAACTCCAATCCGATCACTCTCTGACCCATGCAGAGCACCTGAGCGTCGTTGCTCAAGATCGCTCTCTCTACCGAGTAACTGTCATGGGCGGTGACGGCACGAACACCGTTGACCTTGTTAGCTGCAATAGCTACACCGAGACCCGTACCGCAGATGAGCAAGGCACGGTCCACTTCGCCCGAGGCAACCTTGCGTGCGGCTGTAACAGCAACGTGCGGGTAAGCAGTCTTGTCCGAGCAAGAAACAACACCGACATCGACGACGGAATCAACTCGAGCATCCTTCTGGAAATCTTTCAGGAGAGCGTTTTTGTAGTCGACGCCGGCTTCGTCGCAGCCAAAGGCGATCTTCCACTTTTGCTGGGACATTGTTGTTGAGAATGTGAGGGTGCAAAGTGTTTGTGAGCCGAGGTGAATCTGTGTGTTGTGATGGTATAGGCAAGAGATGCATGCGAACAAGGGTCGATGAGATGATACTTGCCAGTTGATTTCCAGCCTTGCTGTTTTGCCACCGGGGACGTGCGTTTTCGGTAGGAGATCGGCGATATAATGTACCGGCCGAGTCAAATGAACAGTTGTTCTGAGAGGAACGGCGACTTCCATTACCGGCCGAATCAAGTGAAGAATAATGTACCGGCCGAGTCAAATGAACAGTTGTTCTGAGAGGAACGGCGACTTCCATTACCGGCCGAATCAAGTGAAGAAATGTTCCGAGAGGAACGGCGACTTTCCACTCTTTCTTCGGCGTTTTTCTTTCTCGACTCTCTTTCAGTATACACACCAACACACCAACACACCAACACACCATCACACCATCACACCACCACACACCACACACACCACACACACCAACACACACCCTTGAGAGCGGATTGCTCGTGACTCTCACCACCACTTGACCTCGATAACCCACTTTTATGGTTGCAAGAATGTCGTCCAGCACCTCCTCATCACCGCCTTCGGCTCGACGCCCTTTGGTGGGAGTATCGTTCAAGATGTACTTCGACATTCCTCGAACCCGCTCTTACATGTCCTCCACTCTTTCCCTCCTCGGTGCATGCCTCGACACTCTCTCGCAACCAGTCGACATTTTCGTCATTCCGGATTTCATCACTCTCACCTCGGTCTCTTCCCAAATTGCAGCCTCCTCGATGCCTCTCCATCTTGGAGCACAAGACGTACACTCCGAAGATGCCGGAGCGTTCACGGGCGAAGTTTCCCCTCTTGTCCTATCGCAAGCCGGCGTTCGCTTTGTCGAGATTGGTCATGCTGAACGAAGGCGCTACTTTGGAGAAACAGATGAGGATGTAGCAAACAAAGCGGCTGCTATTTCCCGCAACAATATGATACCCTTGATTTGTATCGGAGAGCTCTCAAAACCGAGCAATATCGCAGATCTGTCTATTTCAGATGTCAATTCCGTGGTAGAGGAATGTTGGAGGCAAGTCAAACCAGCTCTCGAGAGGGTCGAGGCGGAGAAGGAGGTCGTCTTGGCTTATGAACCGGTTTGGGCGATCGGTAGAAGCGAGCCTGCAAGTCCCGAATATGTGGTCAAGATTACCAAAGCTTTGAGGAGAAGGTATATCAACGAATACGTCCACAGTGGCAAAGCGAGGAAAGATCAAGGCTTGAGGATTCTCTACGGTGGTAGTGCAGGGCCGGGCCTGTTTGACAAGATTAAGGAGGGGGTCGATGGCTTGTTCTTGGGAAGGTTTGCGCATAAACCGGAAGCCTTTATTGATACGATCCGGCAAGTTGCTCGGACCAAGTAAGAGCGCTTTGCAAGCAGCCACTTGTTAGATGCCATTGCTCAGAAGAAACACATGCAACAATCCTCTTGCTGTCACTTGAGTCCCAGGCGCTGTGATGATGGTGTAGCGAGAAAGTGGTGTTTGGATTGCTACTGTTACGCGCGAAAGAGAGCCTATTCAAACGCTCAAGGCTCCTTGACACCGAGCTCTCCCTCCTTGAACTGTCTTGCCCACTGTAGAACGACATGGAGCAATGATGAGAACATCTGTCAGCGTTCTTCTTCTTCTTACCCGCCCATGTTGCAAGTGCGATAACTTACCTTCATGCTCGGAATTGGCTTTGTGGGGGCGTTGTGTCGCCACTACCGGTTCCAATCCAGAGACCAAGGTCGAGTGCAAGAATACAAATCAAAAGGGTAAGCATCGAGAACAAGAATACGAATCGAAAGGGTAAGCATCGAGAACAAGAACAAATCAGTAGACGATCCAAGCCAAACAGCTTGATTGCGAGTGGGTGGGAATGCATACCTCACGATCAGCGCTGTACTTCCAAACGCCATAAGTTGCTAGTGCGATACCGACGGCGCAGATTGCCGTGTTTGTTGCCCAGTTCGATGGCCTACCATATCAATCATACAGAGGAAAGGGTAAGTATGAGAGCTCAAGGCTAGAGTAAGGGGGCATCAGAATATGTGCTTACCGAGTCCACCAACCACCGGCGGGCGACCAAACTTCTTTTGGGTAAGGGTAACGAGGGCCAGCTCCCTGTACACGGTGCAAGTCGATGTTGTGCAATGAGATGCGATGAGATGCGATGCGGTGTCGAGCCAAGGTCGGAGGAACGATGAAAGTGTTAGTGGTTTGCAATCATGTTTTGCTACCTCATCCTCCATCTAGCACCATCGAGCAGAGCTGCAGACTCGAGCCTTTGCCGTTGCGTGGGGTGTGTACCTACCATCTTGACTTGTATACCGTCTCAAGAGGAATACGGGGATGGTATGCATTAGTATGAAGAGTACAAGTGGATACCAGTTCCACCTCTTGGCCCTGTCGCACAGAGCGAGAATTCGCGAGGATTGGCTGCGATGGTCGGATCCGAATCTCTTTCCGATCGGGCTTTTCGTTCTAGAAATCGGGGAGATCAGGAAGATCGAATGACGGTCTAACACAAACCATCTCGCAAAAAATGCACCAAATGGAAACCAACACGCACGCTCCGTGTAAGGTGCAACTCTGCTTCTCACAACCACCATCTCCCAACGCTCTCACAATGACAGCAACACAATTCGCAGTATCAGGAAACCCAGATAAGGATCCCAAAGCCGCTGTTCGGTGGCTGGCTGAACAAAGACGGTAAGTGACATCCCCCTTCTTCTTCGTAGACGCTCAGGTCGGCGCAGCTTTCTCACGCATCTTGACCCCTTTGCTCTCTGCTATATTCATCCCGCAAACGCTAGGCGACCAATCCGAGCACCACACAAAGCAGTCCAATACGGCGAACTGATCATCGTCTCCGGCCATCTCTCCTCTCTTCCCGATGAAGATCTCTACTCACTCCTCGAACAGGTCGCCATTTCCGCGATCGAACTAGCACGATTCGATCTAGCCGAACTCTGCATCTCTCGTCTCCACTCTCGTTTTCCTTTCTCCGCCCGCGTTACCTCTCTCCAAGGGATGCTTTTGGAAGGCCAAGGAAACACTACCGCTGCACTAGCACTTTACGATTCGGCTCTTATCAAAGATCCCGCTTCCCTCATCCTTTCCCGACGTCGCATTGCAGCACTCAAAAGCCTCGGTGCGTCAGAAGGAAAGCAAAGGGTTATCGAAGCGCTCAACAGTCACCTCGACACCTTTTATAACGACCCGGAAGCATGGCAGGAACTAGCCGAGACGTATGCGGACGAGGCAATGTATGCTCAAAGTGCCTTTGCCTTGGAAGAGGTACTGTTGCAGCTTCCACAGAATAGTTTCTTCCATCTGAAATATGCCGAGACAGTATATACGAATGGCGAGGTGGCCAAGGCGTACAAGGCCTATTTGAGAGTCTTGGAGTTGTGTCAGAGCGATGCTGGTGCGACCGCAACTGCGGCGGGGGACAAGCGGACACAGCAGGGTCCTTGGCTGAGAGCTTTGTGGGGGACAAAAGTCGTAAGTACCACCACCACCGCCCAACTTTTTGATAAGCAAGCGCGCAATACTCACCAATCCTTCTGCTCCGAGTGTAATCCTGCATCGCAGACAACAACGGCTCTTCTTGCAAACCCGGCGTTGGGGAAAGCAAGTTCAGCACAAGACACAATCAACACGGAAAAGCTCAAGAAGATCGACGAGTTGCTAACAGGATTGCTGTTGAACAAGGTCTATACTCCACAAGCAGTACCGAGTAAGCATTTGAGGTATGTTGCCAGGGCTGTACTTGGTGCTTAGGGGTAAGGTTGGGTTTTTCTTTTTCTTTTTCTTTTTCTTTTTCTTTTTCTTTTTCTTTTTCTTTTCATTCATTGCAATCGATCCTTCTCATACACAGTTGGTCAATGCAGTGGGGCCTTTGTACAGTGCTTCCTGCCCATTTGCTGGTGAGGAGTGACGAGCGGCAGTTTCGATACCCCTGCCTTTGCGAGACAGTTTGTGCCTCAGTTGTGCCATGTGACGATACTGAAAGAAACGATCTAGTGTGATGATATGGAGTAACGTAAGCAGTTACAAGATGGATCGGGTGAAGGTCGATCTGATCCGAGATCGAGGATCGGGTACAACCTCGTCCCGCTCGTTGCCAGACCTGGTCATTATGTAGGATGTACCCACGCCCGGCGAGTGCCACCCAGTTTGTATGTATATCATGCGGGGATCTTGAGGCTCCCGCCACATTCCTTTTCTCAGTCAATTGAGTATACACGTTTCTGTCTTAAAACAGCAGTGACATCGTGCTCCGTCTCTCACTGATCGCCAGTCATCGGAACCCGTGCGATCCACTTTTTCTCAGACGAGTGGCACCGATTGGCATAGGCACGAAAATGTTCACCACCGCACGTGTGCAACTTTTGCATCGACATGCGTCGCATTCCTCCATTCTGCCCTGCTAAGGGGCTAATCTGGCTCTGACAGCGTCTAGACTTCTGTAATCTTTCTCCCTTCTTCAGCTGCTCATCCTTGCCCTTGATTGGTCTTCCTCTGGGCCGCATGGAAGACCTTGTCGAGCTTGCGTTATTTTCAGTCGGTCCGATTCCTGCAATCCATTCCGTCTTATCATCATCATCATCATCAACTCTCCCTTGCATGTGTCAGGATACTCCGATCAATGAGCTGAAAATTCTGCAAGAGATTGAAAAGCCATTCCCCTGCACAACAGTCGAAGTGAGCAACTGTTGGACAGCATCGCCACAAGTAACAATGGTGGGGCTCTTGGAGCGTAAAGTCATGGGCCACAACGGTTGCAATGAAATCCTCTCAACCCACTCATTGCCAGGTTATCGCAACGAAATGGCGTCCTGGCCTGCTGTAGCCACGTCATCGGAGTCGTCGTCTGCAGCGATCTTTTACCCACATACGGTATTACGGTCCGGCAGTGTGTTTGGACCAAGTGGCAATCATGACGCTTTGCTCCACAGCGATGGCCCGAGTTAATGTGGCTGCGGTGTGCGCGCTACCGTAGTACGAAGAGTCAGGTTTGAGTGCTACTCGCATCGACATCCGTAACAACCGTCTGGCCTTCACACCCACACCTCATCTCCTCCTCTCTTGGGATGTTATTTGCAACAGATGAAGCTTCACCACCGATCCGCAAGTTCCACCGTTGCTCAGCCATGAATGGCTATTCGCCCACGTCCCTCGTTAATTACAGCCTGGTTTGATGTGGTAATCATCTGACTAGCTGACTCTTTCTCGAGGATCGATTGGTGGGGACCACTTCATCTACCCTTTACCTTGCCTCATCTTCTTCTCTTTGTCTTTCCTCTCCCTTGGCCGCCACAGAGGGCTGTTTAGAACTGGAAAAGTACATATATCTCCCCCTCCCCTAACCGGCACCCTAACTCTCTCCTCACCCATACATCTCTCTAAACCTTCTAAACAGATCGAGATGGCCAAATTTAAACCGATCTTTACCTTGCTTCTTGCCGTAGGAGTGGCTACCACTGCCTATGCCGCCTCAATTCCTGACTCTATGGATTCCCACCGGCATACTGGATATGGAACTGGAACCATGGATGATGCCCACGCAATCCGCGCCCAGTTCGCCAGCCGGGAACAGCTTGCTCCTATCGCCGATGCTCAAGCCGAGACTCAATTGCAAGACTTCTTCTTACACTACGGCCAATGTTTCCATTCTTCCCCCACTTGTAAGAATCAAGTCTGCCTGAAAGATACTCCCCACTGCAAGCCTTACACGGCTGAAGAGCAGAAGGAAACGCTCAGGGAGACGAAAAAGGTACTGCTCGACTTGATTAGCACAGTCAGTTGCTACCCGGTTCCCAAGGGTGTCGAAGGCTGTGACAAGCGAGGTTACTGTGATGTTTTCCAGATAAGGGATTTGACGGATTCCCGTTGCAGCATGTTGACTAAAGAAGAATATGCTGATGCCCTAGCCAATCATCCTGACTTCTCACCTGACCTTTACGAAGAAGACGAAAACGATGAGGAACCTCGTCGGCGCCGAAAGCTCCAACGTCGTTCCGAGGATTCGACTTTCAACCCTGACAAGGTGGAAGCAGACCCAGCAGTCAAAATCGACGCCAAAGTGCTGCAAGAAAATGGTTTAGGAGAGATTGGCACATGCGATGTCGAATCGCCAACTTGTGCCAAAGACCATATCTGCAAGCTTGGAACAGACAACTGCCGGCAGTTCGAAGCGGGAGAGAAAATCCAAATTACAAAGACTATCCTTGCTCTTGAACAAAAGTTGTTTGAAACTGGCAAGTGCCATCGAAGCTCGCACAACAAAGACTGGTGCAACCAGTATGGATTCTGCGAAGCAAGTGAGCATAGGAACGATTGCAGGCCGTTGGAATCCTCGGATGACGAAAAGGCGATCAACGTTTTAGTTCTGGATGATGGCAAATGGGTCTGGCCGGATGAGGTGCAAGGGAACAAGAATGATGACGAGCTACCCACTGGAGTTGCGGAGAAGAAAGAGCCAAGCCATATCAACGAACACAAGGATGCAGGTGTCGACTTTACGCAATACCGAACCCAGCCGCAACAGCCCGCCGAAAGCACGAATGATGAGGTGCAAAACTTCTCGTCTTACCTGAAAAGCATCACTGAGCAACCTGATATGTTGGAAGCTCTATACCAAGCCGCCAACGTTCATGATCAACCGAGCATGATTCAGATTCGAGAAGAACTCATCCTTCTCTCGCAAAACAAGAAAGCTGCCAGGAAACTTCTCAAATCCAGCTCCAAGCGAGCCCGTGCTACCAAGGCAGAACTTTTCTCTCAGGAGCCAGCCTTGTACGGAAGAATAACCAAACGCAGCACCAAGACGGCATTACAAACAGTCACATTCGACCCTACTTCCACCGATCCCACTCCAAACCCTACATGGGAGGAGGTGTGTGCATTCATGCAAGTCGCTGACAAGATCCACTCGGATTTGACTATGGTATACGCTCTAGCTCGCGTTCTGGGTATCGAGTCAATCAGCGGCGTGAGAACGTTCTGGAATCAATTGGACACCTGGGCAGCAGACCAGAAGGAGGCCTTTAAAGCTTTGAAGCGAGGCAAACTAGCAGCTATGTTGGAAGAGTCCAAATCGATTCCCGGTGCTGCTGTATCATCCTAGCTGGTCAAGCCGACAAGAAGGGTGTACAGGGCGAGAATGAGGCTCTTGTTGACCTTGACAAAGACCTAATTCCTGCCTAGACAGTCAAGTAGGGTTCAGGCTGTAAGCTTGCGTTTTGATCACTCTTGCATCTTTCCTTGTTGCCTCTTGCCCGGGCGACAGCTGAGATCGTTTGCTTAATGCAGCGATCCATCGTCGCTCTCATATTCACTCCCATATTCACTCCCATATTCACTCCTTTTTTTTTTTTTTTGTTTTTTTGTTTTGTTTGTCTTTTCACTCATTCTTTCAATTTCATTCTCCCCCTCTCACCGGTTTGAGCCCCAAGTGGTGTGATTGAGCAAGCGAAAAGGCATTTCTCCTCGTCGAAATCCTGATTTGCTTACAATGCGATAGATCGACCAACTCCAAGTACGGATTTCTTTCTATTGTCGATGCTATGATGTATTCTGTCCACGCACAACCACAAGAGAGCAAGTGGTCAGCTATCAAATTTTTCTCCGTTCTGGTTTTATAATGCAGTGGAAAGAAAAAACGGCTGCAACTCACCAGGAACAGCAGTATTACTGACGTCCAAGGTCCTTAGCGTAGTGATGAGTGGTAAAAACTGCCAAGCGCGCTCTGATAGCCTAGCATCCGGCAAGTTAAGATGTTGGACGATGGTGGATGACGAATCGATCTGATCGGGTTCCAGGAAAAACATGTTAGATAGGGATTGGCTCGATTTGAGACTGTGCAGATGAAGTTGCTATACATGATCAAACACGCGATCAAGGACAAGCAAGGTCAATATGAGACTGGAGAAACAGAGAAGGATGGAAATGGCGTAGACTTACTGGAAAGATAGAAAGCAGACGAGGGAACAGATCCGCAAACTCGTCTCCAACATCCAGAATCTTGAAATGCAGTCTTTTCCACGACCTGTTCCGCCAACCGCCGTCACTTGGAGCGGAAGTGAGCTTTTCAAGCAATTCAATCGTTCCATCTCGTGTAGTGCGACTGGGAGTTTGACGTATGAGAAGTGTGTCCATGTTGGGTGCTCGATCGATGATCCTGATCAGCGACGGATAGTGGATGTTTGTATCCAGCAAATTGAGTTTCCTCAGCGATAAGATCGAGTGCGCATCGTGCACAGACGGCACACCAAGCGGGAAGAAGAAGGTAAGCAGAATCAAAAAGTCGGGATTGTGCGGATTTGTACCTCCGACACCAGTTCCAGAGATATCCAAGACCTCTAACGTCCTATGCGCATACTTGAGAAAGCACGCTACACCAGCATCTGCCACCTGCGTGCACTGCCTCAACCTCAGGTTGACCAGTTTCGAGAAAGGAAGGGCGCCACTAGCTGGGGCTTGTAGAGCTACTTGGAGCGTTTTGTCCGAGAGATTCTCGTTGTAGCCCAGCTTGAGGGTATCAAGGTTAGGAGCGAGCTTCATGATGGATGCGACCGAATCTGCGGTGATGTCGGTCAAGTCGAGGTTTAGATAGCGCAGGGTGGTGCCGGTGGAGCGGCAGATAGCATCCAAAGTGCGGTCGCCTATAGCGATGCATCCACGGAGAGAGACGAGATCAAGTCGCAGTATCGGATCTTGCTCCTTTGACCTCGGGATGGCCGTCTCAAAAAAGTGAGCGATGGTGGCATCCTGCAAGCGAGTAAGTCCGTGAAGCTGCAAAGATCGGAGAGCAAAGGAAGCTGGTTGGGCCATCAGAATGCGGGAGGGTAGCGCAGCGAGAGGTACATCTTGATCGTCTGCACTCTGCGAGAGAGATGGAGGCCGACGATGCTCGCCTGCCGAGGAGAGAGCGTTGTTGAGATGAGCGACGAGAAACGAGGCAGCCGACTTATCGTGGGAGAGCAAAGGTATCGAAGCTGGTAGCCAGACGTGGGTTCTAGAAGCTGCAGTGGTGATGTCACGGGATGAAGAGTTGAGGATGGGTGGAAGGAAGAAGTTGCTGACCACAGTCTTGGTGAGATACTGCGGTGCTTGCTCGGCAAGAGCACGGAAGAGGAGGAACGAGGCGGCGGGAGAGAGCAGTTTGAGATGTTCTGAGGTCTTGCGGGTGAGATAGTGCAACTCTGAAGTGGTCCAGCCGGCGAGGAGCCGATTTGAGCTACTGCCGCCGCGGCTATCACGGTTTGCTGTGGTGGAAGCGCTAGTATGGTTGCGTGTTGCTCGAGCCGATGGCTTTGCTGGATTTGCTGGAGGAGTCTCTTGATCACTTGGAAGGTAATCCTCTTGATCCTCGTCTGAATTGGGGGCTGCGCCGAAAGCTGTTGCTCTTGAGCGTTTGCGAGTGCCTGAACTCTTTTTCAGCGTGTGTGCATTCTTGATTGGCTTGTTGGGAGTGGAGATTGATGCGCTAGTCCCTGCAGCAGCCTGGAAGTGGTCACGGGATGGCAGAAGAGCGTCAAAGCAGGAGGCTATGACGCTGCAGCAGAGGCTGCTGAGGGAGGGAAGGCGAAAGGCATCTCCATCACGCAGAGCTTGCTGTGTCAAGGTGAGGGGACGATAGGAGACGTTCTGACGCCGAGTAGGTGAATGAGGAGCAAAAAGATTCTGGACTCTAGTCTCTTCGATGTCGTCTTGCTGGATGTGTAGGATGCGTGCACTCGTTTTGGGTTGTGGTGGCCACTTCGGTCTTTTGGCGGCGCCAGGATTGCTAGGACGTGAGCTTGCTCGAGGGCCAGAGGAAGAAGAAGAAGCAACCGTTCGGTAGCTTTGGCTTGCTCTATTCGAGCTGGAACTGGAACTGGAGCCTCTATTGTAGGAAGAGGAACGATTCAGATCCGGATCATCGCTTCGCATCCGGCTCTGTGCTCGGATCTGGGAGATGGAAAGCTTCTTGGGAGGCATGGCTGACCATGCTGCCCTAACAGCGAGGTGAGATGGTGAGAGAGTTGCCAAGAGGAGAGAGCATGAAGCTAAGCCGTGCCAAAGCTGAGTTCATGGTTCATGGCTCAGCCAAGTTGGGAATAAAAGGAGATGAAGCTGTTAGACCGAGATTGTCGTCGCGACAAAGATATGGAAATTCGAGGCGAGTCCAGCTCCTCTTTTCTCCATCCAAACTGGCACGGGATGCTCGCTCCAGTATGAATCGATAGTTGTTCTTGCACCCTTGATCGCGTCTTGGCAGCAGCTCATTGGTAGCTGCAGTTGGCGTGATTGCTCGGCTCGCATCTTCTCTGTCGCTATTCGAGTGGCGACAGAAACGAGCTGAACACCTTGGTTGGCCGTTGTGAGTGAGCATCCAGTAAGGGCAGATGATCTTTTCGGACGACTGAACGCACCGCCGAGTGAGCTTGGATGGCCATAGCTGGGAATGCGATCGATAGGCTGCCTTGACGATGGTATGGGAGGAAGCTGAGGAGCTGAGGTAAGCTGAATTGCGGGACAGCCGTTGTTGCTCTTCTCAAAGTATTGCCACCTCCGTTCTTCGTCCTTCTCTGTCGCGCTCAGCTGCAGAGAGGCCAAACTTCAGTCTCGGCTTTGTTCCGATTGCTCATTCACACTTTTCGGCTTGTCCGAATGCTTCGACGGCCTCCCACCTTGCCTCTCGCCACCATCACAATTAGCCTTTCCTCCTTTCCCACGCCAATCGATAGCGTAGTCACCACGATCGGCCATCATCCGACGATCATCGAAAGCTAGCTGGTCCAGCTTTGCTCAGCCTTTCCTTTTTTCTTTTTTCTTTTTTCTTTTTTTTTTTTTTTTTTTTTTTTTTTTTTTTTTTTTTTTTTTTCCCACGCCAATCGATAGCGTAGTCATCAAGATCGGCCATCATCCGACGCTGGCTTAGTTCCCGGCTGTCATCTGCCTCATCACCGCATAGCAATCGCTGCCCAGGATGCCTATTCTCGATACGGATCTCGATCTGAACGCGCTCTTTCGCAAACAGGTCAGAGCATCTCCCGATGCCCTCGCCCTCGTCGACCCCTCCGCCACCTACACATATGCTCAGCTCGATAGCAAAGTAGACAGCCTTGCTCTCTACTTTCGTCGCCATCATGCCGTTGGTCGCGACACCCTCGTCGGTATCCTCATGGCCAGGGGCGCAGACTATGTGATTGCTTGTCTCGCGGCTTTGCGTGCTGGAGGTGCTTTCCTCGTTCTCGAGCTTGCCTATCCACTCGGTCTCCTCCACCAAGTCATCAAGGACGCAAGCCCAGCGGTGGTCGTCACCCAGACAGAGCATGCAGAGCTCGTCCCCGAAACCGTTCAGTCCATCTTGATCGATGACAAGCTACAGGCTGCCAGCTTGTTTGCTACCACAGATGCTCCCGATTCCTCATCCTCTCCTCTGCCCGCATTGCCAGCAGAGACCGACCTCGAGCGTCTTGCTTTCGTCTCCTACTCGTCTGGCACAACAGGAAAGCCAAAGGGTATCGCCAACCCACACCGTGCTCCCGTCAAGTCCTACGATCTTCGTTTTGCTGTCAACGATCTCAAGCCCGGCGACCGCGTAGCTTGCAACGTCTACTTTATCTGGGAGTTCATCCGTCCTCTCTTGCGTGGTGCTACCACTTATGCTATCCCAGATCACTCGAGTTATGATCCCGTCAAGCTCGTCCAGTTGCTCGCCAATCAAAAGATCACAGAGACACTCATGACTCCAACCTTGCTTGCTGCCATCCTGGCAAGACACCACAACCTCGGTGCCAAGCTACCCGACCTTCGTTCCCTCTGGCTCAACGGTGAAGTCGTCACTACCGATCTTGCACGAAGAGCCATCAAGGCTTTGCCCAACACACGCCTTCTCAATTGCTACAGTGCTAGTGAGACCCACGAGGTTGCCTGCGGTGATCTTGGCGAAATGCTTCCCACCTTGGCCCCCGACGCACCTTATGTCCCTGTCGGCCTTCCCTTGGACCCCTCTCATACCTACATTCTTGATCAAGATGAGGTCCCACTTCAGCCTGGCGAGCCCGGAGAGCTGTATGTCGGAGGCGACCTTCTTGCTAGAGGCTACCTCAATCTCGTCGATACTACCGCCAAAGCCTTTACCCCAGACACTTTCACCTCCCTAACCAATGCCCGCAAGTACAGGACCGGCGATTTGGCCTGTATCCTTCCCCAATCCGGTCTTTTGCAGATTACAGGTCGAGTCGGTGGAATGATTAAGATCCGCGGCTACTCGATCGTTCCTGGTACCGTCGAAAAGGCCATTGTCGACAACTTTGACGTCAGCAACTGTGCTGTCGTCGCTCACGGTGAAGGTCTTGAACGTCAGCTGGTTGCCTACATTGTCCCCGACGAGGGCGAGCGCGGCAACCCTACTGTCCTCACCATTGATGACAACGGTCACAGTCCCGCTGCACGACAAGTTCTCGTTCAGCACCTTGCACACTACATGATTCCCACACTCTGGGTTGTCTTGCACTCGCTTCCCACTCACGAGGTCTCTGGCAAAGTCGATCTCAAGAACTTGCCCAACCCCAAAGCAGCCATTGCTGCAGCCAGCGGTACCAACTCGAGAGCAAGAAGCCCTGCTCCAGATGAGACGGTCAACCTCAAGTCGATTGCTGCCCTCTGGGCACTCTCGCTCAATGTCAATCCCAACACAGTTCTCGAGGCTGGCAAGACTGTCAGCTTCTTCGATCTCGGTGGCCACTCGCTCTTGCTGGCTGACTTGGCCACTCGTATCTCCAAGACTCTCGGTGGCTTTACCGTGCCTCTTGCCGAGTTGGCCGGTAACCCTACCCTTCAGGATCACGTCCGAGTCACTCTCGCCGCTCGTGACGGTTACAACGCTGCTGTTCAGGCTGACTTGCCCACCGTCCTCCGTGCCGACATTGAACTTGCTCCCGAGTTCAAGCTCGCTACTCCCGACCAGTCGGTCGCTCCATGCAAGCTCAGCGAGGCAAAGACCATTTTGCTCACCGGTGCCACTGGCTTCCTGGGTGGCTTCTTGCTCCATGACCTCATCCAGAACACCTCGGCACGTATCGTCTGCTTGATCCGCTTCAACGCTCCTTACCGTACCGATCGATCCGCTGCTATGGCGAGATTGCGACGCAACATGCTCGATCTCGGTTTCTGGGATCACTCTATGCTCGACCGAATCGATGTCTTGCCCGCCAATCTTTCGCGTAATCGCCTCGGTCTCGTGCCTGAGGTGTACGAACAGCTCGTAGAAAAGGTCCATGTGATTGTTCACTGTGCCGCCCAGGTCAACCTCGTCTACCCGTACGCGGCGCTGCGAGATGCCAATGTAGAAGGCACACGCGAGGTGCTGCGTTTGGCTTTCCTCAGCAACGCCACTGTTCAGTACGTTTCGACGAACGGTGTTTTGCCTCCTTCCAAGACCGGCTGGTCTGAGGATACCATTATGCCCATCGACCTTGTTCCGGAGAAGCTTCTCGATGGATACTGTCAGACTAAGTGGGTTGCTGAGCAGTTGGTCTTGGAGGCTGCCAAGCGTGGTTTGCCTACTAATGTCATCCGTATCGGAACTATCAGCGGTCACTCCGAGACTGGATCTACCAATACTTATGATCTCATCACTGCTCTCATCGTCGAGTCGGTCCATCTCGGTGTAGCACCAGAGATTCCGGACTGGCACATTGAGATGACCGCTGTTGACTTTGTCAGCCGTGGCATCATTGCCATTGGTAACCACATTGACCCTCAACAACGCATCTACCACTTGGGCGATAGCGATCCCATTGACTGCCGCCTTCTGTTCCAGCACCTCGACACGCTCGGCTACCCAACCGCAAGGACCAACTGGAAGTCGTGGGTCGCATTGTGGCAGGAGAAGCGTGGCTCTGCTAAAGGTGGTGATCACGGTTTGACGGTTGATATCTTGCGATCCGGTATGCCTTCCGAAGAGTTCTTGTTGGGCATTATCGCGCTTAAGGACGACGCAACTCGTCCGGCACTTGGTGACTTGAAGAGACCTAAGGTGGATGCTAAACTCCTACAGACCTACGCCCGTCACTGGTACGCACGTGGATGGATGTCAAGACAGCCTTGCAGCGTGCCCGGCTCACCCAACGGCGTTGGCAATGGCACTACCAATGGTCTTGCTGCAGCTGGTGCATTCGACCCCAACTACCCGCTCAAAGGGAAGGTGGCTGTCATCACAGGTGCTTCTTCCGGTATCGGCGCAGCTGTAGCCAAAGCACTTGTTCGGCAAGGTGCTCACGTAGCCCTTGCTGCTCGTCGAGTCGATGCGCTCGAAAGACTCCAGACCGAGCTCGTCAAGGCATCCAAGTCTAGTGGCAGCGTGACAGGCGGAAAAGTACACATCCACAAAACAGACGTAACCGACCGCACCCAAGTCGACTCTCTAATGCAAACTACCACCGACACTCTCGGCCCCATCGACATGATCATCTCGTGCGCAGGCGTTATGTATTACACCCTCATGGAAAACATCAAAACCGACGAATGGGACCAAACCGTCGACGTCAACTGCAAAGGCCTTCTCAACGTCCTCTCTACCTCGCTCCCGCGTCTTCTCCCACGCAGGACAGGCCACATTGTCGCAATTTCTTCCGATGCCGGTCGGAAAGTATTCCCCGGTCTCGGAGTCTACAGCGCATCAAAGTTTTTCGTCGAGGCAACTTTGCAGTCTTTGCGACTGGAAACAGCGGGGTCAGGCTTGAGAGTTACAGCGGTTCAACCGGGAAATACAGCGACAGATCTGTTGGGGATGAGTAGCGATCAGGAAGCCATCAAGAAGTATGGTGAACCGACAGGTGCCAAGATCTTGGATCCATCGGATGTAGCAAACGCTATTGTTTATGCGCTGCGTCAACCGCAACATGTGGCGGTGAACGAGGTTTTGATTGAGCCTAGGGAGGAGCCTATCTAAGCTCAGCACTCAGATTTCCTATAGAATGTTGATTTGATTCTGGGGCTTGTAAACACGGAGATGGTCAAAAATCAATCACATCAGCTTTGGTCTTGTTCTGATCGATATGATGGATTGAATATGCTCAAGTCAAGAAGCGTGAAAGAAGAGCGACAGAAAAAAGAAACAAGGGAATGTTAATACATTTCATCTTATTCTTCCGTCTCGCAGGGTTGAAATTGCAAAGAGGGGGCCCGATCGCTTTTCGTTCTACTCGACAAATCTCGAGGGCTTTTCTTCTGAGCTGCTTCTGTGGCAAGAAGCGATGATGACGAACGGTTCTTGAGAGCCAAGGCATAATAACGTTCAGATCGTTGCAGCTCGTATGTTGTTCAAGATGCCAGCTCGCTTTCTCGAGATGAACAAGGTGGTATGAGAAGTTAGGCGAGCCTGGCGGCTCTTATCAGCTCGGCCAATTTGCTTGATCGAGATGTGCAAGGTGCGTTCGCTGGGTTTGAAGGGCAAAGATGAGGTGAAGCCGGGTGGTAATCGGGATGTGACGTCCCGAGCTCGGAGGGGTGCCTGCGTTTTATTGCGGTGGAGCACTCTCATAACATGAGCGTAGATCATGTGCCGATATCGCTTCCAGAGTATTGGGCTACATGGGCATGCGCTTCTTGATGTGGATATGTCAGCCTACTAGAAGGCAGTGCCGCAAGGGAAGCCGGTTGGCAAGGCACGAAAGTGTCATTATGTAGTTGCACATGTTCGCGCCCAGATCGCCCTTCTCGTCTCACTTGATCTATATGAGCCTTCGGGTCCTACCAACTTCAGCTATCGTGAAAGCTCGTATCGATGCCTAGCCCTGGCGGCTCACCGACCGATGCACATAGAGCAGCTCGCGCCCAGCGTTGAAGAGCTATGATCGGATGTTGAAGAAAGGCAGCGAGTCGGTGGCAAGTGATGCTGGAAGAGCTTATAAGCTGACATGTTTGCATGTTTGTTTCTGTGGACGCCTATCGTCTCCCCATAGCTCCCTCCTCTTCCCCCCCTCTGCCCCCACCCCCCCTCTGCCCTTGTTTCTTTACCCCTCCCTCTCTAGAAGGCCCTCCTCCACTGATCGTTCCCGGAAGCCCAAAGTACTTGTCTGGTGGGAAAGATGAAGCTCCCATTGCAACTATCAGCGCTATTGGTGGCAGCTATGTCTGCGGTGCCGTCCATGGCGTTTCCCAACATCGGCGCCCTGATGCAACGTGGCCCTAACGGAGAAGCCTCGCACTTTGAGAAGCGTCTCCTCTCGGCTGATGCAACGCAGCTCGGCACGCTCTTCAGCGATCTTAAGAGCAAGGCGTCAGAGCTCAACGACGAATCATACGTCGCCGGGGCGGGCGCCTACCTAGACGTGCAAGTCACCGACATCACACCGGACAACATTTATGAAGCGTTTGGTGTTCGTCGCGATGGAGGTCTTCTCCCACCAGCTGAAGATGAGGATCACCCTTGGCAACCACCTCCTCCTGGCGCTAAGCGAGGGCCTTGTCCTGGTCTCAACACAATCGCCAACCATGGCTACCTTCCTCGCGATGGTATCGTCAATCCTATCGAGCTTCTAGTGGGCACTTTCCAAGGTCTCAACCTGAGTCCCGATCTTGCAGCGATCCTGGTAGGTATCAGCTTTGTCGGTCTGGGCGACCTTCTGCAGATGAAGCTTTCCATTGGCGATCGCTACGGACTTGGTAGCGGACTCAGCCATCACGGGATCTTGGAGGGAGATGGTTCGGTCACACGCCAGGACCACTATTGGGGTAACAGCTGGGATGCAGACCCGGATCTGGTAGATATGTTTATCAACGAGACCAACACCTACGGCAATGGTAATGTCAACATCTGGTCACTTGCCCACTCGCGCTATCGTGCTTGGAACCACGGTCGAAAGAAGAATCCGGAATTCGATTTCAATCCTTGGCGCATGCTTGTTGCCTATGCCGAAAGTGGCTTCGTACACGAAGCGCTTCGTGGATCCTATCTCAAATTTGACGAGTCGATGATTAGAAGCTGGTTCTTGCAAGAGAGGTTCCCCAAAGGTTGGAGTAAGCGTCTCGTGCCCATCTCGACGCCAGAGGTTTTGGCCTGGGCGGCTATTATTCTGGCTGCCAAACCGACGCTTCCAGGATGGAGCATTGGTCGGGGCATGTTCATTCCTCTGCCGACGTCGGATGGCGCCTATAAGGAGCTCGCCTCGTTCATCGATCCAAAAAGTACAGGTGCAACGCTCAGTAATCTGCTCTGCGACGCTGGAAACGCTGTAGTGGGCTTCTTCCCAACTCAGATCACCAACTTGCTCGGTAACTTTGGCATACAGGGTGTCGGTGAAGGCTTCAAGTGCCACTGAGAATAACTGTAGCTTTTCTTCCTGTATCGAGAGGCACTTTGTTGCATGGCTTCGCATCGCTAAACATCTCCCGAATATCGCTGCTTCTTCTCCTCCTTCTCCTTCTCCCACTTTTCCTCATCGTGGTGCTTGACGACGCTTTCCTATGGTCTGTGACGCGTCGTGAGCTGTCAAAGACCGCTCACCTTTCCCAAATCCTGTTTGCCACACTCTCAGCCCTGACCAAAGAAAAAAAAAGAAAGAAAAAAAAAGAAAAAAAAAAGAAAAAAAAAAGAAAAAAAAAAAAAGCAATTCTGTCCGCAAGACTGATATTCCAAAAAAGAAAAAGAAAAAGAAAAAGAAAAAGAATTTAATTGAAAATTAGACAGAAAAATAGTGCGAGACAGCTAAAACAAATCCAGAAAAGTACGCTAAAATCCAGTTGGGTCCATTTGCCGAGGTCCGATGGTGTGCGGTATTCGAGGTTACCCGCCAAAGATGCCGAGAGATGGTGCAAGGACACTGAGAAGGATCGTTGATGATATGGATGCGCAAGGGAGAAAGGCAGTAGGACATGGTGTCAGGAAGGATCCAAGCTCTTCATCGATGCGTGCTTGCATAAATGCCGATGAGGCGGGCCAATCTGGGATGAAGAGAGCAGAGCGCCTTTCGTCGTATGGAGCAGTCGTTCCTCGAGCCCTACCCCAATCTCTCGAATCGGCTTGCTTCCCTTCCTCCAACCTCTTCCCTCTCCACACAAGCAAGATTGGTCCGGCGATACGATGAAGCAGAAAAAGCCCGCAAAGGATGCGACGTTGGAAGGGTATGATCCTGTACCAGTCCCCGTCCTTGACAGCACGAGCGCCAACACGGATATCCTGGCACGAATCACTCTGACCTTCCCGCAAACGCTTTCGCTCTCCCGCCTGGAAGAATCGTGGTACGCTCTTGTTCGAGCTTGGCCGATCCTCGCTGCTCGTGTTCGTCGCACACCTTGCACTCCTTCCGGTATCTCCTACTTGATCCCGCAGCCTTCTACCCTTTCTGCACTCGAGACTCGATCGCGCACCACAAGCAAAGAGGCGGAAAAGCATCTCGTGCTCGTCGACGCCTCTTTTCGCTCCATCTCCACCTACCAGCCCATTGTTGGCAAAGCATTGAACGGTAGCCTGTCACCAACGCAGATCAGTGTCGGTCATGCACCCGCTCGAGCTGAACAGGACGAAATGACCTGTGCTAATGCATGCAAGACCTTCAAAGAGCTTCTCGAAGCTGATCAGAGCTTCATTACCGCTCAAGCGACTCGATGGGCGGATGCGACGGTTGTCACTATCGCTTTCAGTCATATTGCAGGAGACGCTTTTGGGATTAAGAGTATCTTTGCTGGTTGGGCGGATGCTTTGCGCGGTCAAGTTCCTGTTGGGCTAGAGGGTCTGGGAAAAGATCCCTACATTGAATATGCCCCGCCGCAAGGGAAGAAGGCAAAAGACGAGAACGGAAAGCAAGTCGGTCTGGGTAAAGGATGGAAGAAGTTTGGTTTTTTCGAGACGGTCAGATTGTTCAGCAATCTGCTTTGGGATATCAAAGTCAAGAGGCCCGAGAAAAGTATAGAGCAGTTCTACATCTACATGCCGGAGGAAAAAGTTCAGCAGCTTATCACGCAGGCCAAGCAAGACCTCGAACAACTCGCAGCCGCCCAAGATGCTCGCAACAGCAGCAGCCAACATGGAGGCCACCTCGAGAAACAATCAACCCCACCACTCGATTACACGGTTTCGACGTTCAACATCCTCTTGGCTTTCCTCCTCCAAAATATCCACGCAGCTAATCCTTCCCCTCGAAAACGAAGCAGCGTGCTTACCATCATCAACGCCAAACATCGACCTCCCGCTGGCCATTCTCCGTCCGACTACCCCTCGCATCAGCTTTGGGGTGGAGCATTCGGCGTCCCTCTCCGCCCACTCTCTTCCGGCGAGTATGCCAAACTTCCACTCGGCCAAATCGCACTGCATATCAGAGAATCGCTAAAAGAACAGATCGATCCAGAAAACATCCGCGCCAACATCGTTACCAGCATCAAGCATGGGTTGTGGAAGAATCCGAGTGGGAAAGTGCTCTTCTTTGCTGGTCCGAGGGATTATTGGTATGGCTGTACCGAGTGGCGCAGTGTGAGGTTCAATGCTATCGATTTTCGTGGCGCCCTTGAGCCAGGGGAGAAAGAGACAGGCGGAGGGGAAGGGAACCAGGTGAGACCAGTGGCGATAGGAACACATATGGAGATTCCAATGACTCAGAGGAATCGATGGGTCATTTTTGGGCATGCCGGTAAAGGTGTTTGGTTTTCCGGTGGAATGACAAGAAAGGAGGTGCGCAATGCAAAGGGTTTTGGGCGCTATGAGTGGGTGCAGTAGGAGAGCGTATTCTCTCTCTTCTAGATTGGTTTGATGCTGTAGTACGCATTCTCTACTCGACGCCTTCGTTTTCTCCCTGTGTCTGTGCGGGGTGTGTTGTGAGAACGAGGGCGGAGCAGCGAACAGTCGAAGCGATATCTGGCTCCTCAGAGGCTCAGCATATGCAATGACATCTCTCTTGGTCATTGCACCTTCTCAAAGCCAAGATGGCTATCGCACAGAAGCCCACATATAAAGGATCACCAGAGACTTTGTCAAACGAGAACAGAAAACTGATATTGTGTACAGTCTTCACTCCTTGCTTCAAGGCATGGTACTGGGCATCTCCGCCTGCCCCACCGTACCCCCAACTGCACTCCTCCCTACCTCCTCCAAGGCAGGAATAGCATCTTCCTTGCTTTCCATCTTGGCCTCGCTCTTGATAAAGTCCGGCAGGGGCAACGGCTCGATGCCCACTGTCGTCACAAAGCCAATGATAGCTAGTGGAACGAACAGCCAGTAGCTCTTCGCGATTGCATCCGCATAGATCTCCTTTACTATTCCCTGCAGTGGTTCGGGTAGATCACGAAGGTGTTCGGAGTAAGCTACCAGTGTAAAGTCGTTGAGACCTAGTGGGTTGAGCTGCGGATAATAGGGGCCGAGATTCTTGGCAGCGGTAGTGGAGAAGATTGTGGTTGCGCCTGTGATTCCCCATACGGCACCAAACGTCCTAGTGAAGGCGTAGGCGGCAGTGGCTGCTTCGAGACGGTGTGCTGGAAGAGCAGCTTGGATTGGAGGAAGGGTGATGGGGAATAGAATACCCAGTCCGGCACCTGCGACGATTTGGGATAGAGCCCATTCGGCTTTGGTGGTGGCAACGCGCCAGTGTGTGATCCAGCCCACGCCACCGGCCATGAGGGCCCAGCCGATGAAGATAAGCAGCTTGTACTTTCCCGTCACAGAAAGCGAGATTCCGGCGGCCATAGCAATGGGGAATGATGGCGCTGTGAGCGGGAAGGACCAAATTGCAGACTGAAGCGGAGTACGGTCTTTGATAGCTTGGAAATAGATGGGGACCATATAAATGACGCCGTAAAAGATGATACCGTGCATGAAGGTTTGCAAGTAGCTCAAGGCTGCTGTCCTGTTCTGGAACAAGTCCAAGGGGAAGACGGCTTTCCTGGCCAATCTATTTGGAATCCACTCAACAGCCAAGAATGCTACCATACCGATCAATCCGGCGACCAGCGGGACCCAAATTCGATGATCGCTCCACTTGTACTTGATCCCACCCTCCGTAACTGCAATCAGAATCGAAGTTACAGAACCGAAGAGGATCGTGTTTCCAACCACATCCAACTTCTGCCACTTTTCCTTCCCCGTCAGTAGCGGCACCTTGATGTTGAGGAACAGCACCAAGAGCAATAGAGCAACAGCTCCAATGGGAAGATTAATCCAGAAGATCCAAGGCCAACTACTCTGACTGAACGCACCACCCAGTACCGGCGCAACGAATCCAGCAACGGCAAACACTAATGCGATCAATCCGAAAAACAAGCCTCTCTCTCGAAGGGTGGTCAGATCGGACATGATAATCTCGCACATCGCATGGATTCCTCCTCCGCCCAAGCCTTGGATTCCACGTCCCACGACGAGAAGGAGAAGAGATTTGGCGCAAGCACAAACGACAGAGCCGACGAGGAAGATTATGAGTGCCGTGTTGATCGAGCGTTTGCGTCCGATCGAAGATGCAAGCCCGCCAAAGACAGGTTGCGAAGCGACCATGGGAAGAAGGAACGCCGAGGTGATCCAGTTTGCTGCGATAGTGGAAGGGGGCAGGGAGCCGACGATGGCTGGAAGGGCCGTGCTGATCATTGTCATGTCCAGCGCTGTCCACATTGGAAAGGAGCAAAGAGAGTAAGCTAGGGTCAGTACGATCACTGCTCCACCACAATCGAGAGAGCCAAAGGCGAGGTTTAGAGTGAGAGATACTTACCTGCGCAGAAAGCAATAAGCAGCAAAGCAGTGAAAATCATCCAAAACCGCCAATCTTTCTTTACTTTTCTCTGCTCATCTTCGACGTCCACCACACTGCTGCTATCGCCGGTATCGGGACCCCTAACAGGGGTGCGAGAAATGGAGTCATGAGTGCTATAAGGAGTACTGTAGCTAGTCGGTGTATCCGGATGCTTATGCTCAGAAGCGCAAGGCGAGGGAGAGGAAGGGTAGGTTGGGATGATTTTCTCGTCCATGTTGACGTACCACTTTTCGCGTTTGCGATCGAGCGAAGATGGTGGTAGTAGACGTACCTGCCAGCCGGGGCGGAGATGGAAGGTTGATGGAGTCGAGTCCAAGGTCTGGGTGATACTGGTGGAAGGAGCGAGAGGAAAAGGTCTGTTACTGCGACGAGGTGTTATCGGCAATGCTTGCAGAGGGTGCTGCTTGCTACCACTGCTGACCCTCTGCAACTCTTGCCAAGCCAGTCTTGCATCTTCTTGCTCCCGCGGACTACTGAAATGCTTGCGATTCAAAGTGTTCACGGTAATGGTGTATCGACTATCAAAGCTATCCCAACCGCTCACATTGGCAGGAGACACAGCGCACGAGTAGACCGAAATCAACTCTAGGCCGTGATCCCATTCCTCTATCCCCTCTTCCTCTATCCCCTCTTCCTCTTGTTCGACCTCGGAGACTTGGCTCCGACCAACAATACGCTCGCCATCTTCACTAGTCTTGTCGGCGGGGCGGCTTGGCATTCTTGAGGGGTATAGTTGCCGGGTTGAAGACTCGGTTATGGATAGGCTTAGTGCAAACTCAGCTGGAGCTTTGCGGACCAAAAGAGTGTCGCTGGGAGCGAAAAGCGAAAACCTGGATGAGGTGTGTCATGGGAGAAGCGCGAAGGAAGGGATGCAGTTGTGAGACACACAGGGCCAGGAAGTACAAGAGGAAAGACAGTGTAACGATGGTGCAAGATGCTCGGCTGGATGGCGGAAGAAAGAGAGTGGATGCTGATTCGAGTGGAGCGACGCAAGGGCGAGGGTTGATGGTGGAGGAGGACGCAGAAGCATGCGTCTCGGGTAGATCATACGAACACAAGTTGCTCTCTCTAAGACTTGGGAAGCGGTGGCGGTCTGAGCTTGTGAAAGAGACGGCTGCACCGCTCCTCTCACCATGAGATCGCTGCCTCGGCGGAACTAAGTATGTGGTTCTCAGAAGGCTGCTTCTTGGTCTAAGCCTGCTGCTAGTATACTTCAGTCCGATACTCTGCTGCTTTGACAACCAACAAGCACAGACACAGGCGACATCTCTGTGCAGTGTGTGTCTCGTCATCCAATGCGATACAAGCCAACACAACAGAGCAAAGTATCTCTTGAAACCTCAAGACCGGCGATGCCAACGAGAAGGACGTTCGATTGCGCCTTCCATGTCGAGACAGCCTCATAACCAAGATCAGATCGCTTTTCTTTTTTCTTTTTCTTTTTTCTTTTTCTTTTTCTTTTTTCTTATTCTTTTTTCTTTTTCTTTTTTCTTTTTCTTTTTTCTTTTTCTTTTTTTTTTTAATTCAGTTTTTACATTTGTTTTTATTGTTGACTCGGCTGCGCGCAAATTCGGCGCTAACCGCCTTCGCGATTGTTCGACTCGGTTGTCGACAACGTCGATCTCCATCAACAGACTCAACTCTTTCCCATCGATGCCTCCCTTCACTCCCTAGTAACGAGGGCGATGGGAGTGGGTACCAATCCTTACTTCCTGCTCTGCTTCCAACTGTTCCTTTTCGTTGCCGGTCAATGCTGAGATGCTGAACATGGTGGCATGAAAAGCTTATCACGTTCAGCGACGCCGACTAGCAGAGGTGGAGTCAGACTGTGCAACGATCATGCTTCCAACACCACCATCCTTGATACTCGAGGGGACATCGAGGAGCGAGTGACAGTGCAGCCACGTAACTGCACACTAACAGCTGCTTCTGCAGCAACCAGGCTGACCTCGGTTAAGCGCTATCTTTTTTGGTGTCCGATTGTGCGTTTTTTGTTTTTTGTTTTTTGTTTTTCTCTTCCTTTTTGGTTTCAACTAAATAAAAAAAATCACTTTCTTTTTGTGGTAATTTTCCGAAGAGGCGGCAGAGCGAGGAAGCAGAGGCTGTTGCCTTATCCATCCGTTGGTCAATTCGTGCCGATTCTTTTTTGACACATGTCGTCGCTTTACAGAAAATTCAGATGGTGAATGTGCGATTAACATAGCGATTGCGAGAAAATTAAGTGACAACGACGAGAAACGACGACGGATAGCTACAGATAGCGAATGCGGAAGGTGGGTTCAGAGAGAGCTAGAGACGTGCAGAGACAGACGCACTCAGGTCGGGCCTCCAAGATGAATTGCTGGCGGCGGTGGTGGGGGAGGAGGCGGCAGCACAGACACGCAACCAGCCAAACACACGCTCCATGAACTGTCGCATCTTGTGCTCCTCGTGGAACTTGGTATCGAAGCCAAGCTGCAACTTGATCCTTCCGTCGATGGAAAGCATGCTCAACCAAGGTGAAGCGTTCACTTGTCGACCTAGATGGCTAACGTCAGTGCGCTCGATCCACAAGCCGCTCGCCTTGGCTTCAGCAGATGATGGCTCAAATCGAGGCTGAACCTTGAACTCGCCGACCGAAGAGAAGCCTGGGGCTTGAGGTCCGATGATGTCCTGCAGCTCCGCCTCAGAGGAACGAGGGGTGGCGCTATGTGCTGCTTCAATCTGCTTCCACTGCTGAGCGAGGCCTGTGATTGCACCATCAGCAACAGCAGGATAAGATGAAATGCAGTGTGCGGTGGTAAGGTGTGCTTGCAGCTCCGTCTTGATCTTTTGTGCGACCGAGACAAAGTCTTGCAGACCCGCTAGACTGGGCTCAAGTGAAGTGTTGGTATCGACGGGAATCCACAAAAACACAGCGTCCGATCCGAGCGGTGTGAGTTGACCTTCAGGTGCACCTTCCGTTGGTGTACGCGACAGCCACCGCCTAGCGTTGCGAACCATTCCCATCAGAGCACCGTTGCTAGTTGCCTTGCGCTCAGGGAAGGTCTCAGCTGTAGCCATGATCGTTGCTGCAGAAGCCAAGTAGGTGATTCCAGACTTGACTTGCTTGGCGAAGCTAAACAGCTCCTTTGCTTCGCTTACTTCCATGGTCTTGGCGAGGCAGATGGTGGAGTGTTTGCGATCAGTCCAGGAAGCAGCTGGTATGAGAGCAAGCGACTGGCAGATCCTCTCCGAGATCAGACGCATATTGGACTGCGCCGCAGCATGGGCCTGCTCCACGTCAGAAGGCTTGGGTTCGAACTGCGTGCGGTACGCTGTGACTACGCTGCGTGGCAGGCGAGGATACACGTCGAGCTCCCAGGCTGTAGGAGTATAGATCGAACTGTGGGGTGCAGCTGGAGTGGCATCGATAGCGCACTGAAGCAAGACGTTGAAGAACTCGACAATGCTTCCACCATCCGTGACTGCGTGCGATACATTCCAGATCAGGCGCGCAGTGCGGTCCCTCTTGTCGCCCAATCGAGGCAGGACAAGGTAGAGCATCGACTGCTTGCCCTGAGTAGCCAAGGGTCGGTTGCAGGTATGAGCGCAGACCTCTTCGAAGCTGCTTGCTCCTGGCATGCCCAACCTTGTCACCACGAATGTCTGCTCTACCCATGCGCGGATGGAAGCCTCGTCCCGCAGCACCCTGTACGTGAAGGTCTGAGGGACACAAGGATCGGCGTGTCGATCCATCTCGACCGCCAGCTCGGGGCGCAGATATCGTGTTCGCACCCAGCCCTCTCGAATACGAGCTACCGCCTCGTCCAACTCCAGCTCGGTCCCTGCAATACGAGAAGAGCGAGGATGGTGCAAGCGGAAGCTGACTGCCATCGAAAGCTCAGTGTGGCCATAAGCAATGTTCTCGTTGAATGTAGCGGATGCTTCATGGCCGATGCAGTTGCGTCGCCAAACACCGCGCTCGACCTGCTGCCATTCGTAAGGGTCGATCTGTGTAGTTTGCTGGATCGACATATTGGCGTTTTGTTCTTGATGATGGTAGGATACGGATTGAATGATCGTCCCGAGTGCGTTATTGGTCATTGAAAGATAGAAAGAGGTGACCCTAGGGATGGACGCCGATGCACAATTGTGGGGTCTGACCCGCGAGATCATGTGAACATGCAGAAGCACGCCGTTTGCAGCTCGAACCACCTCATACATATGCACGGATCGCAGCTCAGGTCGAAGATTTCCCGTCTTAGTTAGCCTGGGTCCTGTGCAGTGTTCTTCATATGACCTCCATAGACTTGCGTACATCGTTCAGCTTTTCTTCCACGCATCTCGGCCGCAAGTCACGATCTGAGCTCAAGTCTTATGAAGGGAGCCGCGTTCACTTCTCTGAGATCGATGGAAGCTGAAGCAGGAAAAAGTTAGCCGAGCGCAAGTGGACCAGCCCGAATGCACTACCAGCATGGCAGCAATCTCGAGTAACAGAAAGACGGCGAAGCAGCATTGTTTGATCAGTTGGACTCGCTAAGGCCTTTAGACCAGGTGCTAGTGGATTCTGCCATGAGACGATGGGAGAATCGATGCTGCTTTCACACTTTGCCAACCTTTTTTTTTTTTTTTTTTTTTTTTTTTTTTTTTCTTTGTCTTGTGTCGTGAAAGATAATTCTCCAAAAGAAAAGCGGTCGCCAAAGTTGCCACATCGAACCTTTCCACCATTGCTCCTTCTCTGTGCTTCTGCCGTGGTTATAGGAAGCAAAAGAAGGGCCCAAAGGTGGGGTACGCTAATGGACAGCCGAAAACTTTGCCGAGCTGCGAAAAAAAAAGAAAAAAAAAGTTTGCAACAGAACTAAGCGAACTGCCTATTCCCATCGAGTCGCCATTGGGCTGCAAGAAGAGCCGCTCGACCGCATAAACGCCCTCATGCAACTTCTACACGCCTCCTGCCATCTCTGAAAGCCATCTGCAACCAAGGTTCGGACACCGATGCCTGGCTTGCCCACTTGATGCGATCTGCGTTTCACTACTAGGCGCTGGGCGATTTCGCAGTCCCCTCAAAGTCTTACATGTCCCTGGTATACTGTCATTTGTGGTTACTAGCGCGCTACAGTGAGATTAGCAAGAAGAAATGAAATGTAGAAACCCCTAAATTGAACTCCATAGATCCGTGACAGAAGCAAGCTTTGAACCATAATGTAGGAAGACGACCGTCTTTAGTGGGTGGTGACAGTGTATGCAGCGCTGGACAGCAGGTTAGGCGTCAGACCGGCCTCACTCGGGAGGTCGCCTAAAGTGCGACCAGTGAGACTGTCAAAGCTGCTGCCGCTGGCAGCCTTTTCGTTGATGGATGCTGTAAGCTTGGCCTGCTTCTGCTGGAGGAAGAGCATGGCCTGTGTCTCGAGCACACGAGCAGCGGCAGGTGCTCCGCCAGCATTGCGACTCCGTGTCGACCAGACCTTGGCATTGCGTCGGATCTTGTCTGCCTCCTCACCCTGAAGCAAGCGCTTCATCTTTCGCACCATGTCCTCCTCGTCGACGCGGGGAGCGTACTTGCTTCGAAGACCAATGCCAAATCGTTCCGCCAAGATGGCGTACTCGTGCGTGTCAAACCATTGCGACAGGATCATCTGAGGCAGACCGTAGTGGACAGCTTCGTTGAACGAGTTGCCGCCGCCGTGGTGGATGACCACCTTGAGAGCAGGATGCTTGTAGATGCGGCGCTGGTCGTGGACCCATCGAGTGACGCGCACGAACTCGAGACCCTCGAACTCAGACAAGGTGAATTGAGAGTAGCCCTTCTCTGCATCAGACTTGCGTCGAAGCATGATGTTGTTCTTGATTGCCTCACTGAGTTTCTCAGCTACAAGGGTAGAAGCACCACTAGGTCGCCTTGAGTCCAAGGTGGGTCGCTTCTTGTCCAGATAAGTAGGGCTGTTGAGGGGCGAGGCTGCGCCTGGGCTGTTGGGCCCACACTTTGGCTTGTTGAGCTTGAAAAGGAGCTTGACCCTACCGCCGCTCTGGTGGTAGAGACGCTCGAAAGCGCGGAGGATGGTTTGTACTTCGGCATCTGTCCACAGGAACATACTTCCCATGTTGAGGTAGACGACCGATTGACCTGCAGCGTGAGCAGCGCCCATCCATTCGACATCCAGATCACGCTCCCCACTCTTGGGTAGTGGAGATGATGTCGAGTTGAAGGTGGTGGAAGAAGAGGCGCTGAGTGGGCTGGAGAGGCTGATGAGGTCGTGAGTAGCAGTATCGTGGTTCTCTGGATCGCTAGTGACGCCGGCACCAACGAAGGTGATCTGATGGGGCTGTCGGATCGAGTCCCAGAGACCAGGTGTGTTGAAGTGGATGCCTCCAACACAGTTGCGGTCCTTCCAGAGAGGGGGGACAATGGCACTGTCGGCGTTGAAGCCCATCGAGTTGAGACCGAACTCCTTCTTGAGGAGAGCACGGCGTGCATACAGGTCCTTCTTGGTTGCGTTGCCGTAGGTCTCGATGATGGTGAGCTTGAGATTCTCTAGAGCCGACGAGATGGTCCTTGATCTCCTCTTGCCCATAGGATGAGGGTCAAACAGGCTTTTGCGAGTAGCAGTGAGGGATGGTGAGCAAGGAACAGTGAACATCCATGGAAGGCCAGTCATTCGGACACCGGTAACTAGGGTAGGGGAAAGGGCATCGGCGGCAACTGTGCAGGCAGCGAGCGTAATATGGAATGCGGAAAGGTTAGTTCTAAGTTCAGAGACACAAGGAGGTCCAACCAGGCCAAGGCATCGGGACTTACTCATGTCGGGATCAAGCTCAAGCAGCCGGTCACGAACGAGCGTGGCCGCATCGCGAAACTCTTGCTCTGTGACGAGGGCAACGATCTGGCAGAGCTCCATGCTGCTGTAGTCACCTGGAGACTTCCTCAAGCCCTTCATATGGGACTGCATGCCTCGTGTACTGTCATAGTGGGAAAGATAGACGGAGAAAAGACGGTCAGATATGAACTACATGGACGCAGTAGACAGAGAGCAGCTGCGATTGAACTTACAAATCTTCTACTGCTCTGTCAGAACCCAAGTCGGAAAAGTGGATTCGTGCTGCCAAGACTGGGTCATTCTGCTCTTGCCTGAACTCGGCGACAGCATTGCGGAAGGAGGTGCCGGTAAGGAAAGTGCAGTCGTGACCAAGTCGAATGAGCTCGTAGGCGGTAGCAAGCAAGACATTGATCTCACCGCGAGCAGGGTTGGCAAGAAGAGCGATCTTCATTGTGAAGTAATGGAAACGGCCAGATGACGGTCCTGATCAAGATTGGTGAATGTGGAAAAGGCAAGGTCGTAAGAAGCTTAGTTATGGAGAGGTTTTTGTAGACGCTAGGACAAGAAGCATAGGGTGGGGGTATCAAGGGTCCCAGCGCAATAGGAGGGGTGAGAAGGATTGGGGCCCTCGCTGGGAGAACATGAAAAGGAAGCGACGGTTTTATGGATATGTGCTCAAGGCGATGAGGGTCCAAGTCTGACAACAGCTTAGAAGAAGGTCTGCATGCGCAGGCACTCCTAGCGCCGTAGGACCAGGGGCGGCGCACTATCTGACACAAAAGGGAACAACATTGCGGCGAGACGGACATGTCTAACCCTAAGACAAGGCAAGCGTCGCTTTTCTGGAATGGCAGCCGGGAAGAAAAGGGATCGCGAACAAGACCTGGGACAGCAAACCGTCGGGAAGCGAAGACAAGAGAGACGAAATTTCTTGTTCGGTGCACACAGATGCTCGCCGTTGTACAAGTGGGCTGTTGCCGAGACGTAGAAGAGGTCAGAACCTCAAATGATGTGCACTGTTGCCGTGCATGAACCATGATAGCCTGCGTGGACTGGTTGAAGCATATCCGAGTGTCCGTGAAATTGAAGGGCCGTGCTCCCCCGCAGTGGGCGAGAATGACAGGAACAGAAAGCGATGGGATCATAGCGATCGGCAGAGTAAGGTGGCACGGACAAAAGGAACGGCTCAACACGGGAGGTTGAGGCTCAGCGAGGTAGCTAGCGGACGGCACTACTGGCAAGGGAGAAAGAAGAAGAGGATGTGAAAGAGGGTCAGTTTATTCTCATCGATGCACCAACAAAGATTTCAGGGGAAGATTTTGATGTGAACGGTCCACACGAACTGGTGCTAGTAAGCGCACGGCCAGCGAGCCGCGCTTTGGATGCCATCGAGAGAGGATTCTGCGGTGAAGAGTGTGTTTCAGGAGGAGCATACTAGCTGACAGCGACGACGACGAGGGGGAGATCAGAGAGAGGATCGGCAGGACCAGCGAGTATCGAGATACAGACGAAAGAGATACTAAAACGATCTTATGATGGCGCTAAACCACCTTCGGTTGAACAACGTTCGAGAAATCTCCGACCGGGCTCGAAGACGTTCGCAACTGCGTCACACCACATCGCAACACCCTGCTAGCTTGCTTGCTTGCAGGGCCAGTTGACTTGTAAGCATTAGATCGAGTGGCTTTTGAGGCTTGAAGGTTGTCATGGCGAAACAAGGGCCGATGGTCGACTCAGCAACCCGCTCGTAGGCAGAGTGCGAGTCGGAAACTGAACCTATATGCAGTCGTATACCGCATGAGCGCCGTGGGCGTGCATGGCCGTCTATGCGATTCAACTCTTTCGAACTGGCTCACGGACCCAGGTTTCGCTTCCTGAGTCGAATGAGTTGTCACTCAGATTCTTCAAGCTTCTGACAATCTATAATCTTGACTCATGTTGTTGCGCCGCCCCTGGGATGGAATAGAGATCAGTCCAGCAGCTCGCCATTCGCCATCGTTCTCGAGAGATAAGGTGATGGAACAATAGTGTGGCATTCAGTCAGATACCAACGGAGGGGACCCACCCGACAAAGCCACTCGGTGACAGAGACTCTTAGCCCCGCAGGGGAAAAGCAGGGTTCTGAGCTGCACCATGCAGGACTTGAAACAAGGGACCTGAAGCGACAAGAGACAAGGAACGGGCGTTTGTGTCTGCATCACCAGCACAAAGTAGCCGAGCTCACCAAGACAAGTGCGATGACATTGGAGCTTTGCAACAAATCGACACTAGAGGTGTGGCCTTGTTCTGCAAGCCGCTGCAGCCTATCGACCAAAGCTATACCCTCGGCCAATGTATCTTCTTGCATCGCCAACTTTGAGCTAGCGAAAAGTTATCGAGCTCGTGGCCATGTCTCTGCCATGCGCGCTCGATAAAGCATTGTTTTCATTTACTCACGTTGTCATCTTTATCAATGCGGTGTCATTATCCAATGTCGCTCCAAGTGCAACATGTGCGCTTTGACCTTGCAAGATTCGGCGTCGAGACTATGGATACAATAGTCCCTCCTAGTAGTCGTGCTAGCATGAACGTGAAAGCAAGGTAGAGCGACAGAAGCATCGCTTAGTAGCGACCAGGCGCAAGGCGTCGATCCGACGATCAAAGCGATGATGCAGCTTCAACCTTGTCTCTTGCTCCGTGAGGAAGCAGGAGAGCAGGCCATCGTGGAGGTGCTGATCAGAATCGACATTTGTCGACCGCTGCATATCAAGGCGCCTTCAATCTTGGCTCTACGCTAGTCTCGCCAACGTCTTTCTCGTCACCAGCGAGCCGGTTGCAGGGCGTGTTCTGACACTGCTACGGGATGTGTTGTTGCGTTACTTTGCCGGAGTTGGAGGCCAACAAATCGTTCTCAAACCCGGAATGGAGGGAAGCAAACCCGGAGGTTCAGGGAAGCAAATCGTTCTCAAACCGTTCTTGACGAAGCCGAGGAGGTGACATTTTGCCTCGGATGGCAGCCAAGCGCCGTGTCGACGGCTTTCTTGCCAAGTTGCACATCGACGGCGGCCTAAGCGAGACAAGCTAATAAATAAATTGATTTTTTAACACACGCCCATCTCCAACCAACCCAAATCTCATTTCGATTTCACATGCAGTCAAGAAAGATTTTTTTCCCCCTTTTCCGACAGCCGAGAGGGCGTCCTCTACCTGAACGAACGAGCGTCCTCGTCCAGGGCAGGGTTCTGCGATGATCTGCCATTGTGCTGACCAAATTGCGCCTTCGCTTGCATTTATTCTCCGAGCCCAAAGAGACGAAAAGCAAATAAAAAATCAAAATCAAAATCAAACCCAAGGAAAAGAAAAAGAAAAAGGAAAAAGTGGGGTACACTCTCGGTCATCTCGCGTTCGAAATTCGCATCCTTTTTTCTATTTTCTATTTTCTATTTTTTTTTTTTTCTTCTTTTTTTTCTTTTTCTTTTTCTTTTTCTTTTTCTTCTTTTTTTCTTTTTCTTTTTTTTTTTTTTTTTTTTTTTTTTTTTTTTTGACTTTTCGGTAGCATGGATGTCCGCTACCAGCCAAGCGAGGTTCAATATTTGGCTGTATCGCACTAAACGTGTTGAGCGTCTTCGCCTTTCCATCTCTTTGCTCTGTCTGCACTTGTCGTCTTCAGCTCATATGTGCATGCATAGCATAGGCTCTCTTTCTGTTCCACGCTCACCATGCAGACCCCAAAAGTGTATCTGCGGCCCTTGTTCCATGGTCTGTTGGGCTTGCATCTTCTGTGCACCAATTTGCGCTATTGGAATTGACCCTTGACTCGACTTTCTTGCATTGCGACTTTGAGGTTTGTGCGCCCCACATCCATGAGGTGGGGTTTGCCCTTTGGCGCCGATATCAAGAGGGATGAGCCCAAGACGTTGCTCAGCCTAAAGTTGGAACTTGTTCACACTTATCCATGCCGTCATTAGGCTCTTACACTAGCGAAACACAGTCCAAATCATCGTGGGAGTCCGTCGGGTCCTGTGTCACTTTTTCTCAACGTCACTTGGGATGTGAAGTGTGCGAACAGACCCTTTGCTCTCGCTCACTGTGTGCAGAAGACAATGCTTTCCACATTCGCTTGAAAAGGTTCGGACCTCGATAAGCTTGTCCAGTGAGCTTAGCTCTCTTCCTGATCGTGAACATACCTCCTCAAGACTCGTAGCGCCACTCGAAGAAGCAACGCAAGCACCTGATCCACTTCTATCGCTTCCGCCACCACTCCCCCTTCTATAACAACTTGCTCTCCGCACACTTCCTCATCCAGTTGAGCTACACCCGCAACCATGAGCGCAAGCCAGGCCTGGAAGGAGGTCTCTACCAACCTCGCAAAGAGACCGCTCATCGGAGTAGAGAAGTTGCTCAACTATGCAGAATACTATCAGAATGGCAATGTAAGTAGCTCGCCAACTCACAAATGCTATCACTGTCGACAAAGGCACTGACTCACAGATCTCCTTTTCTGGCTCGCTCGCAGTTCCAATTGTCGATTGCCATGATCTTCGAGACCAATCTGCTTCCTGAGACGCTTCGACAGCGATTCGGTTTGGCTCTTTGGATCGTTCGAGGATTCCTGCCCGAGCTTAGTACCTGGACGGTTGGAAGTAAGCAAGATTCGTCTCTCGACCTCGATCACGCTACATTCGCGGCGATTCAGACTGTAGAGGAGGCGCAGAAGTGGATCGACGAAACAGCTCTTCTTGTCGAGGATGGCACCACTGTAGAGCAAGTCATCGATCGCACTTCCAACCAGCGCATCGAGCCTATTGGCAAGCAATTCCGTGCTTACCTCGTCTCCAACCCACGTGAGGGCAACCCTGCAGTGATCATCAATGCTTCTCACGTCCTCAACGGGCACCGTATGCTCTTCCAGGGCTGCGCCATTGTTCAAGCACTTGTTGACGGCAGACTTGCAGCTCTCAGCGAGGCCAACCCAGACCCTCGATCTGCTCTTGAATCCATCTTTGCACCTGAAGACCTCTCTGGTCTGCTTGGCAAGCTTCCCATCAGTCTCAACACAGCTTATGAGGACAAGTTCAAGCTCGGAGAGGCAGAGATCGAAGCTGGTCTCGAAAAGCTTGGCGAGCGTCTCAGCAATGGAGCTCAGTCTACCATCGGTATTCCTCGGTTCGAGCAACCACTGTCCAAGCCGCTATACTCGCTCGGCATGCTCAACGGCGAGCCCATGACGATGCTCAACTTGAGGAGGCAGATTGGTGCATCTGAGCACCGCATGCTTCACCAGGCATACAAGAAGCGAGGCTCGACCCTGCCTTCGTTCGTCTACGCCTGCATCGTCAACAGCATCGACCGACGCTTTAAGGCCAACACTGCTGAAGAAGGCGAGATCCCAGGTGCACACCTTGTCTACTCGGCGCACGCTAGCCGATGGTTCCCTCAAGAGACGTTCATGAGACGATCGCCAGTCAACATGGGTGTCGTCATGGCCTCTGGCTACATCGTTCCTGAAGCGCTTCGATCCAAGCAGCGAGGACGTAAGCTCAACGAAGAAGAGATCTTCCAGCTGGCCAAGGCCATTCGCGCCAAGCAGGAAGCTTACCTCAACACGCCTCACATTATCTCGGCCATGGCACAGGTGGGAGACGAGGTCTCGAACCTGATCGCAGAGACTGCCATCAAGCAGCGTGAGGCTCGTACTGATCCTTATGTTGCCCTCTGCGAGAACTCGCCAGCCATCTGCCCTCCCACCTTGACATCACAGGGTGACATTCCCATTAAGAGACTCTACACTGCGGATGGAGCATCTTTCGAACCCAAGCCCAAGCAGCGCGAAGGAGAATACATCTACTTTATGCGAGGTATCTTGGGAGGAAGAACTACGGACGCATCGGTCTGCTTTGCCATGTGGACCTTCTCCGGCATCTTGACGCTACAAGCGCACTTTGACTCGCGATTCTTCGATGCCAAACTCATCGACACGATTCTCGACGATGTCGTCTCTCAGCTCCGATACTCGGCGACCAGTGCTGTTGAGCAACGGGCTGAGGCTAAGCTGTAGATATCGATTTGATTTTGCTCCGTTCTAGTTATCGTTCTTGTCGCATTGTATCATTCGAATTCTTATCGTTGCACTGTAATTGCACTATCGTTGTCTGCACAACTCTGGCAAAGGGCGAGAGCTGTGGCTTTTACGATGTGAGATCATGTACCATGATGAAGTGAGCTGAGGCGAGTGAGATCATTGATCAAGCATTTCTGCCACACGTCCACGTTTCGGCCAAGCTCACCGGACTCGTCCGCAACAGCACGCAGCCAATCGCACGGTCGCAGTTCAGCAGGAGCTAATGTCTCGCATGGTATTGACCAAGGGTTCCGTTGAGAAGGTGAATAGTTGCGATTGTTATCGGTTTGCCCGTCGGGTTACGGCTGACGGAGCTGTGTGGCCGTCGAAGGAGGTAGTCAGGCGGCACAAGGTCAGCAGGCTGAGACACGGTTGGGAGACGTCAAAAAGCTGAGTCTTCTGAATTGACCATGCCCGAGAGCGGCAATGCGTGCAGCCTTGCCGGGAGTTGTGCGTTCAAGCCAAAGATACGCTGCTGAGCGGAAGCAAGGTCGGTTCACAAAACTGAGGCTTGGGAGAGCTTCGTTCGGGCACGACTTCCACTTCATTTTGGAACATTGTCGAGCAATCAGCTTTGACTTGGACTTGGCTTACAGCCCCCGACCGCAGACGCTCACGTTGCTAGGTTCGACGAGTGTCCTCTCTCACCACACTCTCCCATCAGGACGGGAGGATGCGCCTCTCATTCGAGCCAATCTTCATCCGAGACCGCCGAGGAGGGCTTGGGCGACGTGATATCGAGAAGATGCAAAGGTTGGGTTGACCTGGAGCAACTGCCGCTCGAACTTTCATCGGCGTCGATCGGAAGTGAGCTCCATCACAAAGCATTCAATGCCTTCCAGTTGGCGGTGAGTGAGAAGTGACGACAGTGAAGGATTATTGGCTCCGTCTGGGCACAGCGCGCTCACGCGTCGCTTTGCATCGCTCACTTCTTACGCTACAAGGACGCTTTTGCAAGATGATCGTGCTAGTAAGCAACTATGGGCATGGTAGCTGCCGATGCTTCTGTGCATGTTTATGTTGAACTGTGAAGAAGTTTTGTCCCGATAGCTGGCGATCGGGGAGAGTCCGATGTCACTACTGTTTTAGACAGAAACATATATACTCAATTGACTGGATGAACGTGGTGAGAAGCTAGTGTTCTCAGCTTGATATATATACATTTGTGAGGCTCATACCGAGTGTGGGAGCATCCTACTTCATGACCTAGCTTGACAACGAGCGGGACTGTGTTGTACCCGATCTCTGATCGGATCGGCCCTTGCTCCATCTCCAATCAGATCGGCTTCCCCCGATCCCTTTCATATCGGCTTACGTCAGTTTAAAGTCTTTCTCGAAGGCTGTTACGCCGCGCTAAAGTCACAGCTGAGGAATCTACGCGCACGAACTGTGCACGGACCATACACAGCAGCCGCGATCCAAATTAGCCGCCAAACTGGAAGAACCGTGCGCCCTGCTATGTTGCACCATTACTTGCTCTTACTTACTCCTCCTGCCACTGTCGCTGGCGGCATCCTCCTTGATGTCTCATGACTCTCGCTTGCATTATCGCACCGCTATCCGTAGAATGGCCAACGTCAGCTGGGCAGGCAGATGCTCCAACATAGTACGACGAAGATGGCTTCTCCTTAGCCTGGCGTGTTTCCTTTTTACTGTCGTCTACCTCTTCAAACGCGATCGCACCCTACAAAACACGCTCAGCTACAGCACTCGGCCACTTTGGGATAAGTCGGATACCACCACCCCTCAAAGGGAGATCAAGCACTATACAGCTTGGTCGATATCCGCCAACGACACCGCAGCTTGCAGACGACATGGTTGGACACCATATACCCCAGCACAGCGACCCAAAGTGTACGATGTGATCATCTTTAGCGTCGAGCTTGAGATGTTAGAGCTGCGGTTTCAGGAGCTGTACGATGCAGTGGATGCTTTCGTGATCGTCGAAAGCAACACAACCTTTATGGGCAAGCCGAAGCAGCTTGGGTTTGATCCAAGTAGATATGCAACATATCGCGACAAGATCAAGTACTTCACCATCGCAGGTCGAGCGCTAGCTCCTGGCGAAGGGCCTTTTGCTATCGAAGGCGAGCAACGTTACAAAGCCACCGAACTGCTCCGTACGCAGGTGCAACCACCGCAAGGCAGTCTGATCATCATGTCCGATGTCGACGAGATTCCTTCTCTCGCTGCTGTACAGCTGCTTTCGAGCTGTCAAGCACCTCTACCGCTCCACCTTTCCTTCAAGTCGTACATCTACTCGTTCGAGTTCCCAACAGCTGCCAAATCATGGCGAGCACAAGTACACGCATGGTCACCCACCCACACCTGGTACAATCACGGCAAAGTTAGCGACAATATCTTGCTCGATGCAGGTTGGCACTGCTCCTCGTGCTTCAGTAGGATCTCGGACTACCAATTCAAGATGCAGTCGTACAGCCACAGTGACCGTCTCTTTGGCAACAGACATTGGCGTCAACTCCTGCATCCAAAGCTGATCTTGGACAAGATCTGCGCAGGCAAGGATCTGTTCGATATGCTTCCAGAAGCGTACACGTGGAGCGAACTGCTGTATCGATGGAGTGGAGAGGCGCATAGCAACAGCACTGCCAACTTGCCCAGAGGCCTCATGAATGATCAGAAGCAATTCGAGTTCTTGTTGCCCGGAGGATGCAAGGCTAGAGATTTGACGTCGAGATTGGAATAACCAAAAGTACCTCATTTGTAGTGTTGGAGTGTACCTCAGTACGCTCTTTCTTCGTTACTTCTCGAGCATTAATCCACCGACCGACAGAGAGGTCATTCGGAATAGCATTACCTCAACTATTGGCCTTGTTCTCAGTCTGATCTTGCTTCACAGCCGACACCCATCGCCCTCTAAGCGAGCAGCGAGCAGCGAGCACCATTGCGGATGCTTCACGAAGCGATACACTGGAACATGATTGCAATTGGATGTGCCAACGTTGACCGGGACACATGACAGAAACAAACTGACGAGAAACACTCAATCGAAACCGTGATTGCGACCTTCCACTGGTTTGCCATCTGAAGCCCTCGTGATAGGCTAAACAGTATCCAGTTCCATGGGCTGCACAGCGTCATACTCGGTGGCTGGTCCATATGGGGATGGCCAGTCCACAACTGCTGGTTGACCTTCGTTAACGTGCTCTTGTTCTTCAGGATGTACTCCAGCATTCCAGAGAGGCAAGAGCATCCTGTTGTCTTCCTTGTACTCTGCTGAAAGGGCCACCTCTTGGAACAAGGTGCTAATCTTGTCTCGAATCCTAAGATCATCCAAACATGGGTACATGCTCTCCTCCTTCAGCCCTCGGATCCACAAATGCAGAAATTTTGATTTGTCTTGTACTGGCGAGATCTCTTCCAGGAAAGGACGCATGCTGTTGGACTCTGTCACGACTCGGTCATGACTCCTCTCATAATTATCATAGATCTAACATGGATTTGGCATTTCACTACAAAAAGAGTCTTAGACTTGTCACATCGAGTCTTGTACTTTCGATCACATAGTTAGCTCCTTCCTTCTCCTCTTTTCCCTTAAGGAAAAGAGATCATAAATCTGTTGGGGGATCAGGCAGTATCTATTAGAGAACAATTGAGTCGATGATTTCGAGAAGAGTAAATACATGAAATAGAATGCATATATATAGATGACAAGTCTGCCAAGTGTGTGTGTGAAATATGGCTAAGTCAAGTGAATCTGTCATGTATGGTCTGAAGGGGAGGTCTTTCAGAGACAAAGAGAAAAGTTGAGTACAAAGGGGATATGGTTATGCAAGAATGCCACAACCATAAATGGAGTTTCTGATCAAAGGGAATTCATTGTCAGGGAGAATAAGATGAAACAGAGGAACAAAGGCAATCAGGAAAAGGGGGAATCAAAGGGAATCATGGGAATGAGAAAATAGAGTAGACTTCTGAGGCTGATGGCAAATGAAGTGCATGTGTCAAATTTTAACTGTCCCCCTCGCCATCTGAGGAGGCAAGGCTGGACTTTGAGTGGGTCGAGGCATTGAGTGAAATTGGGTTGTGACTGGGGGAAGCCTGGCAAGCAAAACCCAGTCTTTGGCAGGTGGTGGTAATTAAATGTCAGCTTACAGGCTTGGTTGAGAAATCAGCAGCATTATTGAGGGTTTTGACATATTTGATATCCACTTCCTTCTCTTGGACTGAGAATTGGAGGAAGTGATATTGAGTGTCAATGTGCTTGAGCTTGGTGTCATGGGCCTAGGTGCGCAGAACGAGGAAAGACCGAAATCCATATGAAGGTAGCACAGGAATCATGGAATCGGGTAGATTGGAGGAGCTGTGACAAAGTTCACCGAGATCGGTAGTAGAATCAGCTCTATGGCAGATCACAGCAAAATTGGCACAAGCATCATCAATATCACGAATCCCACCAGAACCTGCAGCAAGCAAGATTGTGTGGCAGATTCCATGGGGATCGGTAGTAAGGATGTCCATACGACGATTCACATGTGAGAGGGACTGAGCTCAGCAACACGCAGTCAGTTACCACTCAGGGGCCCACAGGACAGGAGTAGAAGAGAACCGTCGCTGGTCAAAGGAAGGAGATCTGTGTATGGGACACTGGCGAAAGGGACATGAAGAGGAGGAGCAGTGTCGATGAAGTCGACACAGCTCAGGAAAGACAGGAGGGACAAGGCTTGAAATGGAGAAGGTGCCTCCTTGGAGTTCCCTGTGCAGTACTCGACAAGGAGGGTACCCTCTGGAGAGAGGGAGCAGGGGCAGTGTCACTGGTGACGCTGCGAAGAGGTATATAGTCCTACCTCCTCGTCACAAATGGTCGAGTGGAGGCTCATCCACTCTACACTCATCAACCATACTAGTATTACTTCAAGCAATAAGTATCATTAGTACACAGTCAGCATAGAAGTAATCAACAGATTGCTCCTCAACGAAGCGCATGTGTTGTATCACCATTTCCTGGCGTCCGAAGGTGGTTCATAGCAACCAGCAGTCCGGATAACAATAGAACCAAAGGCAGACATCCACTGCGGCCCGGGGATCACTTCAAGCATTAGCCAACACACTGGACACTTGTGTCGGTGTCATCAACCCATACTCACACCAGACCATTGGTGTCAACATCAAGCTCATTTAGAGTTGTATCATAGTCTGATCGTTAGGGTTACAAGGGGGTTCCATTTTTAAATCGAGTAGGGTTGCTTAATCAAAGTTGTAGTACTACCCAAACTATGCATGTTTCATTATCCAACCCTACTCCAGTTGAGTAATAAAATTTTCCGATACAGCTTGGTGAAGTTGGGCCTGGTATGAGTCAGGTCATTGAAATATTGATATTTTTGACATGCACCCATAATAAAAGTTGTTGCTCTATACACCAATAAGAGTGTCCTAGACTGTCATGATGATAGACCAACTTGTTGTGGAGCTGCGGCCAACTTTGCATTTTTGAAATTTTGGCCAAAGCTGCAAGGGTCCCCCCTTGGAGGGGTGGGATATGGACCACCTCAGATCTTTATGCTACCTTAATGAACATTGTAGACACATGCTAGGAGATGATGGATACAGAGTTTCAGACAGGAGTGAAGTCTGGTCATTGAGATATGGTGACTTGTGTTGGCCAACTCTAACCCTACTTGGTGACATGTGACAGTCATGACCAGCAGAGGTTGTTGGCTATTTACAAGGGTGTTTCTTTGGGCTTTGTGAGGAGTGCTATGTACATACAGTCTGGTCAGTCAGATCACAAGCTCAGGATCTCATAGTGGTTGCCACCCAGGTGGATGAGCCCCTGGTATGGTCCACCAGCTCCACCTGGGTAGGTGGTGTGGAGGTCATGCTGGTCAGAGTACACCCACAGGCTGCAGTGGTGTGCCTCTGCAAGTCCCAGAAGGGCGAGCTCATCTCCCCAGGTGCCTTCCTTGGCCATCTGGTCCAGCCAGGCACCAGGTCCAAGGTGACCACTACCCTCTGCAGCAAAGGTGGCCACCAAGTATGGTTGGCTATGCAGCCACTCCACTGCATCTTTCCTGACCTCCATGTGGTGGTCCTGAGTACCATAGACATGGTAGCTGACAGCCCTAAAAAGACAGTTACCATCTGGCTTGATTGTGGTGGACTGCTTGACCCTAGCCCTAGCCGGTGTGTCTTGCTTGCGGGCAACGCACAATTGCGCTCCGCCAAATTCGAAATTCACGCGACTGCGTTGACCCCCAACACACTCGAAATTTACTCTGCTCAAGTGCTGCAACGCAAACAAATTTATTTTCGCTGGAGCAGCGCAAATTGAGCAACGCACAGCTGGAGCAACGCACTCACAGCTGGAGCAACGCACACTCTGCTGGAGCAACGCAATCTGAGCAGCGCACAGCTCAAGAGCAACACACAGCTCAAGAGCAATGCACAGCTCAAGAGCAACACACAGCTCAAGAGCAACGCACAGCTGGAGCAACGCAATCTGAGAAGCGCAATCTCATCAGCGAACTGCTGGACAGCGCACACTCTGTCGGAGCAGCACAATTGAGAGCAGCGCAATTGAGAGGAGCGCAATCGAGAGGAGCGCAATCGAGAGGAGCGCTCACTCTGCTGGAGCAGCACAATCGACATGAGCGCAATCAAGACGAACGCAATCGACAGGAGCGCAATCGACAAAAGTGCAATCAACAGCAGCTCAATCGACAGGAGCACAATCAAGACGAGTGCAAGCGACAGGAGCGAGCACTCTGCTGCAGCAGCGCAATCGAGAGGAGCGCAATCACGAGCAGAGCAGGAGAGAGGAGCGCAATCGACAGGAGAGCAATCGAGAGACCAGCAGCTGAGAGGAGCGCAATCGACAGGAGTGCATTCGACAGGAGCTCAATCAAGAGCAGCGCAATTGACAGGAACTCAATTGAGAGCAGAGCAATCGACAGGAGCTCATTCGACAAGAGCACAATCAACAGGAGCTCAATCGACTGGAGCGCTCACTCTGCTGCAGCAGCACAATCTAGAGGAGCTCGATCGAGAGCAGTGCACACTGTGCTGGAGCAGCACAATCAAGAGGAGTGCACTGCTGGACAGCGCTCACTCTGCTGGAGGAGCACAAGTCGAAGGAGCACAAGACTAACCGTCATTTCAAACCCGATCTAACATTTGGAGCATGTTGACCGACATTTTTGACATCAAATACAATCTAACATTCTTGAGACGCATCTAACATTTTGTGACCTCTATTTTGACCTAATATTTTCGCACCTTTTGTTAAATATGTGTTCTTTGTTTCGATCAAGTATTTTGCGCACATTACTGATACTTTGAAATCATTGTTTCGATCTAACCTTTTTGGCATGTGACCTGTGTTATGTAACCCCTTTTTGATCTAACATCTACCACCCGTGACTGATATTTTCCTCGTGCCTCACAGCTAGCAGCGCACTGCTGGACAGCGTAATTAAGAGGAGCACACTGCTTGACAGTGCACACTCTGTCGCAGAAGCACAACTCAGAGCAGCGCAATCGAAAGCAGAGCAAGAGAGAGGAGCGCAATCGACAGGAGCGCAATCAAGAGGAGTGCAATCGACAAAAGCACAGTCGACAGGAGCGCAATCGAGAGATGAGCAGCAGAGAGGAGCGCAATCGACAGGAGTGCAAGAAAGAGCAGAGCAAGAGAGAGGAGCGCAATTGAGAGCAGAGCAATCGACAGGAGCGCAATCGACAGGAGCTCAATTGAGAGCAGAGCAGGAGAGAGGAGCGCAATGGAGAGCAGAGCAATCGACAGGAGTCAATCAAGAGGAGCGCAAGAGAGAGGAGTGCAATTAACAGGAGCGCGATCGAAAGTAGAGCAGGAGAGAGGAGCGTAATGAACACGAGCGCAAGAGAGAGGATCGCAATCGACAGGAGCGCCTGCTCTGCTGGAGCAGCACAATCGACATGAGTGCAATCGAGAGCAGAGCAAGAGAGAGGAGTGCAATCGAAAAGAGGGCAATCAAGAGGAGCGCAATTGACAGGAGCGCAACTGAGATCAGAGCATTCGAGAGGAGCGCTCACTCTGCTGGAGCAGAACAATCAAGAGCAGCACAATCGAAAGGAACTCTATCAAGAGGAGCGCAATCAACAGGAGCACATTGGAGAGGAGCATAATGGAGAGGAGCGCAATCAAGAGAAGAGCAGCAGAGAGGAGCTCAATCGACAGGAGCGCAATTGAGAGGAGAGCAGGAGAGAGGAGCTATATCGACAGGAGCCCAATCAAGAGGAGCTCGATCGACAGGAGACCAATCGACAGGAGCGCAATCGACCGGAGACCCATCGACAGGAGCGCAATCGACAGGACAGCAATCAATAGGAGCGCAATCGAGAGCAGAGCAGTAGAGAGGAGCTCTATCGACAAGAGCGCAATCGACAGAAGTGCAATCGAGAGGAGCTCAATCGAGAGCAGAGCAAGAGAGAGGAGCGCAATTGACAGGAGTGCAATCGACAGGAGTGCAAGAGAAAGAAGCGCAAGAGAGAGGTGAGCAATCGACAGGAGCACAATCAAAAGGAGCGCAATCGACAGGAGCACAATCAAGAGGAGTGCAATCGACAGGAGCGAGCACTCTGCTGCAGCAGCGCAATCGAGAGGAGCGCAATCGACAGGAGCTCACTCGAGAGCATAGGAAGAGAGAGGAGCGCAATTGATAACAGCACGGAGCTCAATCAAGAGCAGCACAATGGATAGGAGCGCAATCGAGAGCAGAGCAATGGACAGGAGCGCAATCAAGAGGAGCGCAATGGACAGGAGCGCAATCGAGTGAAGAGCAGCAGAGAGGAGCGCAATCAAGAGGAGCGCAATCAAGAGGATCACAATCAAGAGGAGCGCAATCAAGAGGAGTGCTATCAAGAGAAGAGCAATCGACAGTAGCGCAATCAAAAGCAGAACAATTGACAGGAGCGCTGTAGAGAGGAGCGCAATCGAGAGCAGAGGCGGAGAGAGGAGCGCTCCACTGCTGGAGCAGCACAATTCAGAGGAGCTCAATTGACAGGAGCGCAATTGAGAGGAGCGCAATTAAGAGGAGCGCAATCGAGAGATGAGCAGCAGTGAGGAGCGCAATTGACAGGAGTGCTCACTCTGCTGCAGCAGTGCAATCAACAGGAGTGCAATCGACAGGAGCGCAATCAAAGCGAGTGCAATTAAGAGGATCGCAATCGACAGGAGGGCTCACTCTGCTGGAGAAGCCCAATCAAAGGAGCAAACACTCTGCTAGAGCAGCGCAATTGACAGGAGCGCAAATCGAGCGCAATTAAGAGGAGCGCAATTTGACAGGAGTGCAATCGACAGGAGCTCAATTAAGAGGAGCGCAATTGACTGGAGCACAACTGAGAGATGAGCAGCAGAGAGGAGCGCAATCGAGAGCAGAGCAAGAGACAGGAGCGCAATCGACAGGAGCTCAATCGACAGGCATGGAATCGAGAGCAGAGCAGGAGAGAGGAGCGCAATCGACAGTAGCGCAAGAGAGAGCAGAGCGAGAGAGAGGAGTGCAATTGAGAGGAGAGCAAGAGAGTGGAGCTCAATCGACAGGAGCACAAGAGAGAGCAGAACGAGAGAGAGGAGCGCAATTAAGGGTTACAAGGGGGCCCCCTTGAGAGTTTTGATGATCCAATGGTACCATTGGAAAGCTCTTTCAAAATGGTATATGTTCAGAAAATTTTGGGTGGAACTGATGGTGCATTTTGGTGCAGTGGAGGAAAATGTATGTCTATGTGATGACTATGGCTGGTGGTGATGATGAGGAGGCAAAACTCATGGAATATTTTGGTGGTGTTAGGTGCTCTATAGGGGTACTAGGGGGTATGCAAAGGGTTAGGGTTAGGGTTAGGGTTAGGGTTAGGGTTACAAGGGTGTTCCCGGCGAGACCCTTGGAAACATGAAATCTGTACTAATGAGATATGTAGGGATACCCTAGGACTATGTGTATGCAAAGTCTCACGGTACCCTGTTCCGCGGTGGCTGAGATATGGGCCATCAAAGTTTGGTCACTAGGTTTGAACTTTGGTGAACCTAGGTAAACTTCAATGAAGCTGGGTAAACTTCAATGAACTGGGGTAAACTTCAATGAACCTAGGAAAACTTCAATGAACCTAGGTTAACATGAATGAACCTAGGTAAATGTTGATGAAGCCAGGCAAATGTTGGTGAAGCTAGGTAAACTTTGATGAAGCTAGGCAAACTTTGTTAAGCCTTGGTAAACCCCAGTACATCTATGTTCAATGTACCTCAACCTCTGTGAACCCCAGCAAAGCCTGGTTGAACCCACACTCACCACAGGTAAACTTGATGAACCTATGTGAAGCCACATGAAGTTAGGTGAACCTCACTTGAAGTTTGGCCAAGTTCAAAGAACCTAGGTACAAGTTTGGTCAACATAGGTAAAGGTACTTCATTGTGAGGAAAAACCCCCAGTACCCTGGTGGCACTGAGGATGAAAAAAACCTCAGACAAAGTTTGAGGTACTACAAAGCTGGGCCAGAGGAACTATATACAGGATCAAGCAGGGTCAACCTAGGCTGAAGAGGAGGAAGGTACCTTGAACAGAAGTTCATAGTGGTTGCCAGTATAGTATAGTGCCTTCCAACCAAGGGGCCCCTCAACTTTGCTAAGTTCAAAGTAGGTTCTGTCTGGGTTGACAATGACCAAGCTAAGCTTGTAGATGGTTGCAGCTGCTGACAAGGTAGCATCATCTCCCCAGTAACCAGGGTTAGCCATACTTGCAAGGTAGGTAGCTGGGGATCTGGTACTTGAGAAAGCATGCTGCCTTGGTTGATCTGCTACCAACATAACTTCAATGAGGTCTGGATGAAGTTGAAGGTACTCCACCACCTCCCTTCTGACCCTGGGATGGTACTTCTGGTGACCATAAACCAACTTGGAAACAGCTCTGAACTGGCAACTACCATCTCCCTTGATGTAACCTTGGGTTACAAGGTACTTGGAGCTACCTTGAAGTTCATGGAAGAGCTCCAAAGGTCCAATTTCCCTGGTATCAGGTAGGTTGTACTTCTCCAAGTCCGAGTCCAAGTTGGTTCCAACCTGGGTTGAACTGGGGAATGGTTCCTCCACAAGGTAGCAGAACTTGGTCCACTGGAACTTGTACTTGGCAAACAGTAGCTTACCAAGTTCCAACTTTGTGGGACAGGACCCTATGGTTAGGTTCTTGCCATCTTCACCCTGTACAACTGCTCTGTATTTGGTTCCTCTCTTGAATATCTTGGTACACCGAAGTAGCTCCTTAAGGTGACTATCTTCCAACAGTGGGTCCATGAAGTTCAAGGTAGTTTGAACTTGGACATCCAAGGCTGAGTCAATGTCACCCTGGGTTGGAACCCAGGTCCACCAAGGTCCAAGTTCATGTTCCCACCTATTGGTCCTGGTACCCTGGTTCCAACCAAGGGCATTGAATAGGTCCTGAAGTATATACCTACGTACCTTCCCAGCTTTACCTTGGTCCCTACCCCTAGCCCTAGCCGGTGTGTCTTGCTTGCGGGCAACGCACAATTGCGCTCCGCCAAATTCGAAATTCACGCGACTGCGTTGACCCCCAACGCACTCGAAATTTACACTGCTCAAGTGCTGCAACGCAAACAAATTTATTTTCGCTGGAGCAGCGCAAATTGAGCAACGCACAGCTGGAGCAACGCACTCACAGCTGGAGCAACGCACACTCTGCTGGAGCAACACAATCTGAGCAGCGCACAGCTCGAGAGCAATGCACTGTTCGAGAGCAACGCACAGCTCAAGAGCAATGCACAGCTGGAGCAACGCAATCTGAGAAGCGCAATCTCATCAGCGAACTGCTGGACAGCGCACACTCTGTTGGAGCAGCACAATTGAGAGCAGCACAATTGAGAGCAGCGCAATTGAGAGCAGCGCAATCGAGAGGAGCGCTCACTCTGCTGGAGCAGCACAATCAACATGAGCGCAATCAAGACGAACGCAATTGACAGGAGCGCAATCGACAAAAGTGCAATCAACAGCAGCTCAATCGACAGGAGCACAATCAAGAGGAGTGCAAGCGACAGGAGCGAGCACTCTGCTGCAGCACCGCAATCGAGAGGAGCGCAATCACAAGCAGAGCAGGAGAGAGGAGCACAATCGACAGTAGCGCAAGAGAGAGCAGAGCGAGAGAGAGGAGCGCAATTGAGAGGAGTGCAATCGAGAGGAGAGCAACCGAGAGGAGCGCAATCGGGAGCAGAGCAGCAGAGAGGAGCGCAATCAAGAGGAGCGCTCACTCTGCTGCAGCAGCGCATTCGACAGGAGCTCAATCAAGAGCAGCGCAATCGAGAGGAGAGCAACCGAGAGGAGCGCAATCGGGAGCAGAGCAGCAGAGAGGAGCGCAATCAAGAGGAGCGCTCACTCTGCTGCAGCAGCACAATCTAGAGGAGCGCACTGCTGGACAGCGTAATTAAGAGGAGCGCACTGCTTGACAGTGCACACTCTGTTGCAGAAGCACAACTCAGAGCAGCGCAATCGAAAGCAGAGCAAGAGAGAGGAGCGCAATCGACAGGAGCGCAGGAGAGAGCAGAGCAGCTGAGAGGAGCTCTATCAACAAGAGCACAATCGACAGGAGAGCAATCGACAGGAGAGCAATCAACAGGAGCGCAGGATGGAGGAGGTCTATCGACAGGAGCACAATCGATAGGAGCGCAATCAACAGGATTGCAATGGAGAGGAGCGCTAGAGAGAGCAGAACAAGAGAGAGGAGCTCAATCGACAGGAGCTCTCACTTTGCTGCAGCAGCGCAAATGAGAGGAGTGCAACCAAGAGGACCACAATCGACAGGAGCTCACTCGAGAGCAGAGCAGGAGAGAGCAGCGCATTCGACAGGAGCACAATCGACAGGAGCACAATCAACAGGAGCACAATCAACAGGAGCACAATCAACAGGAGCACAATCGACAGGAGCTCAATCAAGACGAGTGCAACCGAGAGGAGCGCAATCGAGAGGAGCGCAATCGACAGGAGCGCAATTCGAAGCAGCTAACACTCTGCTGGAGCAGCGCAATCGAGTGCAGAGCAAGAGAGAGCAGAGCTATCGACAGGAGCGCAGGAGAGAGGAGCTCTACCGACAGGAGCGCAAGAGAGAGGAGTGCAATCGAGAGGAGCGCAATTGAGAGCAGCGCTCACTCTGCTGTAGCAGCGCAATCGAGAGGAGCGCAATCGAGAGGAGTGCTCACTCAGCTGGAGCAGCACAATCGACAGGAGCGCAATCAAGAGGATAGCAATCGACAGGAACTCTATCGACAGGAGTGCAATTGACAGGAGTGCAAGAGAGAGCAGAGCAAGGGAGAGGAGCGCAATTGAGAGCAGAGCAATCGACAGGAGCGCAAACGACAGGAGCTCAATTGAGAGCAGAGCAGGAGAGAGGAGCGCAATGGAGAGCAGAGCAATCGACAGGAGTCAATCAAGAGGAGCGCAATCAAGAGGAGCGCAAGAGAGAGGAGTGCAATTAACAGGAGCGCAATCGAAAGTAGAGCAGGAGAGAGGAGCGCAATCAACACGAGCGCAAGAGAGAGGATCCCAATCGACAGAAGAGTAGCAGAGAGGAGCTCTAGCGACAGGAGCATAAGCAACAGGAGCGCAATCGACAGGAGTTCTATCGACAGGAGTTCTATCGACAGGAGCGCAATCGACAGGAGAGCAATCGACAGGAGAGCAATTGACAGGAGCGCAATCGAGAGCAGAGCAGGAGAGAGGAGGTCTATTGACAGGAGCGCAGTCGACAGGAGTGCAATCGACAGGAGCTCAATCGACAGGAGAGCAATCGACCGGAGACCCATCGACAGGAGCGCAATCGACAGGAGAGCAATCTACAGGAGCGCAATCAAGAGGAGCGCAATCGACAGGATCTCATTGGAGAGGAGCGCAATTGACAGGAGCGCAATCGAGTGAAGAGCAGCAGAGAGGAGCGCAATCAAGAGGAGCGCAATCAAGAGGATCACAATTAAGAGGAGCGCAATCAAGAGGAGCGCTATCAAGAGAAGAGCAATCGACAGTAGCACAATCGAAAGCAGAACAATCGACAGGAGCGCTGTAGAGAGGAGCGCAATCGAGAGCAGAGAAGGAGAGAGGAGCGCTCCACTGCTGGAGCAGCACAATTCAGAGGAGCTCAATCGACAGGAGTGCAATTGAGAGGAGCACAATTAAGAGGAGCGCAATGAAGAGGAGCGCAATGAAGAGGAGCGCAATCGAGAGATGAGCAGCAGTGAGGAGCGCAATCGACAGGAGTGCAATCGACAGGAGCGCAATCGACAGGAGCTCAATCAAGAGGAGCTCGATCGACAGGAGAGCAATCGAGAGAAGAGCAGCAGAGAGAAGTGCAATCGACAGGAGCTCATTGGAGAGGAGCGCAATCAACAGAAGCGCAATCAAGAGGAGTGAAAATGACAGGAGCTCAATCAACAGGAGCTCAACGAAGAGGAGTGCAAGAGAGAGGAGCGCAAACGAGAGGAGTGCTCGCTCTGCTGGAGCAGCACAATGGACAGGAGCGCAAATGAGAGGAGCGCAATTCGAAGCAGCGAACACTATGCTGGAGGAGCGCAAAAAAGAGTGCAATCGACAGGAGCTCATTCGACAAGAGCACAATCGACAGGAGCTCAATCGACTGGAGCGCTCACTCTGCTGCAGCAGCACAATCTAGAGGAGCTCGATCGAGAGCAGTGCACACTTTGCTGGAGCAGCACAATCAAGAGGAGTGCACTGCTGGACAGCACTCACTCTGCTGGAGGAGCACAAGTCGAAGGAGCACAAGACTAACTGTCATTTCAAACCCGATCTAACATTTGGAGCACATGGACCGACATTTATTTTTGACTTGAAATACAATCTAACATTACCAAGACACATCTGGAATTATGTGACCTCTATTTTGACCCAATATTTTCGCACCCTTTGTTAAATAGTTGAAGTAGATAAAGCTACACAAAGCGTAGAGACAGTGAAGGTAGTGCTTACGGCCGAGTAAAAGGCCTGAGCATCTTAGCATGGACCACATGTGTCACAACCTACTCAAGACAAATGCTTTGTTATGTTCCGCAGTCAATGCGGCTCTCTGCTGCTCTTCTTTTGTATATATATAGACTCCTTCTCTCTCCTCGCTCTCTCGCTCTCTCCCTCTTACCATCATCAACAAAACTCCTCAACTCCAACTACTGACAAATGACTTTAACTGATTAAGAGTCTGAAACTCAACGCAATGCCGCCATCAACAAGAGCTGGACAGATGGGAAGGGGCGATGATGATCAAACAACCACAGGCAACAGACAGGAGGAAGGATGGCTCATGCAGGTAGTCAGGATCCTCCAGCTGGCGAACCCAGCACTAACGGCCGAGGAAGCGATCGTGCGAGCTATGGGCCTCATCAGCATTAGCAACCAGACCCTGCGCAGGGAGACTGAGAAGATCCCCAAGGAGGTGTCGAGCGCCATTGTGCACATCAAAAAGCTCAGCGACAGCAACTGGCACACTTGGGAACCTACCTTCATTGACTGCCTCCAAAGAGTACATAATGCGAAGGAGATACTGTATGGCACGGTGGCGCCTGGAAACGAGGAATACGACGAAGACTTGGATAAAGCCCTCATGGGCCTCATCCATGCCTGCTGCGACAACAGTCCAGACAGCTGTATCGACACCTACACCATCAGGGGAGCGGATGAAGAAGTCCAGCTCGGTAGCACACTCTATGCCAAACTCAAGAAGGCACTAACACTGAATGACGCTGTAAAGCGAGCAGGACTGCAGGATCGTATTCACACAGTGCGCTTGCACAATCGAGACGTTGTCAGGCTAGGCAAGGAACTTGATTCGATCTGGAACAATGCAGCATGCCTGGGAAAGCATTTTGACGAGGACCTCAAGAAATCAACTCTCTATCGCTGCACGGCCCAAGATTGGTTCTATGCCAATGCCGTTGACGCACTGAAGATGGCCAGACCAGACTGTAAGTATGATGAAGCCTACCATGCACTCGCCAAGAAACAGCAGGATGGTGAGGTCACTGGCCATATTAGAGGAGCAGCAAGGGTGGCCACAAGCATGGAACAGGGGAGCACCAACCAGGCAGAGCAAGGACCCAGGGGCAGGCACAATCCTCACAACCCCTCGGCCCCCCCAAAGTGCTATGCTTGTGGAGGACCTAATCACATTGCTCGGAACTGTACAAACACCAACAATAACCCCACACCAAGTAGGGACGGACCCACCACCAATCCAGCACAAGAAGCGAGTCGGTAGGAACTCGGGTGCACCCTCCTAGCGATCA